ACGGCTGACAAGGACTCTGTTGGCCAAGGCAGGCAAGGCCCTAGATGCTAAGAACGCTGAGATTGCATCTTTGAAGGCCCAGGTTGACCACTTGACGAGAGAAATGGAGGCTTACGAGCTACACGGCCGTAAGAAGATAAAAGGGAATGCCAATGACAAGTTTGCGAGGATCGAGGATATCATCCAGGCAAACGAGGATTCGATGAAGTCCCCAACGAAGAAATGGAGGAAGACGCAACAGAACAGCCACGCAGTCGAGGAGGCCGAGGAGATAATTGTGTGTAGCTTAGAGACTATTCGCCGGGCCGAAGAGGAGTAGAATCATCAGATTCGTGTGTAGATTGCTTGCAAATTGGATGAGCTGGATGTCTTTTATCCTGGTGGTGATGGTGGTGCCAAAATTCCATTATGGGGTTGATTCCGTTGTTGGATCCAGACGTCTAATCACTCGTTCTGGAGGGCTCTGGGAGTCCTCCAGTAAGCAATACAAGCAGTTAGCTCCACCTACTGTTGAGTCATTTGCTTGTGCACTTGTTGTGAACCTTTTGGCTTCACCGAACCTCACCCCGTTGACAAGTTATAACCTTTCAGGAGTCCCTTTCAGAAATTGGGGCTTCGACATTCGTCACACCAAAGCAGTACGTACGAAAACGGCCTTGTTAGGACGATTCTATTGTGAAGGAGCATGCAGAGGAGGGTTGGGACTCAGTGAAGCAGGAATCTATCAACAGATGGGTCAACCAGATACCCCAGATTTTAAAGAATTGTATCAGATTAGAAGGAGGATTTACCGGCAATTGAAACACAATAAGTTGCGTCAGATTTGAAAGTGATTCGCTAGTGTTGTCGAGATAAGCTTCGGTGGTCTCTTTGGTGTACAGCTTTTTTAGTCCAGGGCGAGCCTGTGCTGGCGTTTGCCGGTCACACCGAGGTGGTTGGCTTCTCCAGTCCTAGCTTTCGACACCCCCTCTTTTCTTTGGCAATAGTCGCCGAGGATCCAAGACTAAGAGCCGTGGCTCAGCGAAATCAGGTACTCACTCGAGGCGACTGTTGCCGCCGTCAGCAGTTACTTTGACTTCCTCGCCAGCATGTATCTCGACGAGGAGGCCATTCTAAGACCGCCGGCCGAGGGATGGCTCGAGATCACGCCTGGCCGTCTCCAAGGCCTTGGCAAGACGGACGAGGTCATTATGCTGCTGCGCCACATCCCCTACCTTTGTACTGATACAGACAATTTCAAAAGCGAAGCGAACGCTGGTCCCAGTTTCGTTCGGTTTTGGAGCTGGATTGAGGCCATTCGGTGGCTTGACCGCCCTGGGATAGACTTCGAAGCAGAAATTGACATATCCATGATCATGACGGAGCCCCGCCCCGGCGAGGATATTGGATTGGCGCCCGCGCACGTCGTCGGCCTCATCTCCACCAAGCAAGACCTGTGGTTGCTCGACACGGAGCTCGGAGTCATCTACTGGCTCGACTGCCCCAGCTGGATCAAACAGCACCCGACGCGTGAGCCCATTCTCGACGATGCCTACGACTACGCGCCCGACGGCGAGGCGGACTGGCGCAACGAGCCCGCGTGGGCCATCGTCGACTTTTTCGAGCTCCTCAAGGACCAGTTCCGGCGGCTGTCCTCGATCCCTCTTACGCCAACTCGCGTGCTCGACCCGGAAGGTGTGAAACCTCGACCCCAGTTTGAAGGAGCCCTATTGTTGGTCCAGGCAATCTATCGCGAGCATGGCTGGCCTGATTTAGCCCACTATCGCAAGGACGAGTGCTTGACGGCGGTTCGGGTAAGGCTTGAGGAACGATACGGCGAGGATAGTCAATCGCTATTGGGCATCTGATGTCGGCTCAGGCAATAAGAAGCTGGCGTTGCAGGCGTATTATCGATTCGATGTACCGGTGGGTGGAAGATAGCGGTGGTGGAGAAAATGACGGGCTCCGTGGGTGTGTCTGGTTGTCAGGCTTAAGCTCGCCTCTCGCGCTGAGCTGAAGGGAAGGCCACATTATCGCCTGGGGATAAAGGATTTCTGGGATAATACCACAAGGAGGTTCAGGAGATTCAAATTCACAACTGATGGCGGCGTTGGCCCTAACGGAGCGGCGAAGGTAGGATCTGAGTTTGGAGAGTGTGGTAATGTCGACAGGCTGTGGATACTCGGGAAGTTACTCCGTTACGAGAGGCCCTCGTGATGCAGAGTTGCAGATAGATGATATTATACAAGGTTTTCATGTATGCCCCGACAAGCTCTGTCGTCCGTCTCAAGCCTGTCGTACGCGGCGTTCCACAATCTCTAAGACGTGGAAAGTGGCAGGGTTCTGTTGTTCTGTGCTTTCCGTCGCCGCTGGCATCGCTCGGGCATTGACGGGCAGGGCCGGATGCGGAGCGCATGACGCTGCAGCTTGCTGGCGATTGTGGGTGGCTCTCGCATCTGAGATTGTACGACGGTCTGTGAAATTCTTGTACCACCGTGGTTTGTTGCTGGAGCAAATCTCCATCTCTGTGGATTACGGGCGCCATTCTTCCCAGCCCGGCACAGGGTGGAGCGGGCGTGGATTGGTGCAAAATGGCCTCTTGTCAAACTGGGCAACAACCTTGCCGTCACCATGGCCGTCGCAGTGGATGAATATCCAGAAACAGCCAGAAGAATGACTCGAGGTCGTGTATGAACGAGTGCTGCTCGCCTAGGAGTGCACCGATGGCCATAGAAGCCCTCGTGCCGGTCTTTCCCTTTACTCCGAGGCGCCAACACCTTGCTCCTTAATGGCGGGATCCAAGCCGATGACAAACCCGCTATTGTCTTTGCTCACCATCAAATTACTGATAGATATATCTCGATGAAGGAGGCCAGCTTTTCACCGGAACGACTCATGTTTTTGGAAAGCCAACAGCCACGGATTGACCGCACCGTGGTGATTGGGTACCCAAAGATGGGCAACCACTGAATTGATGATCATATTCCTATCTACGTTCTTCCAAAAGTCCCCTGCCTGTTCTTGATCCTGAGAATCCTGGTGCTGCCTCACTGACCACCTGCCAATCCAACAAACTCTCTACGATGCGCTCGTTGTCGCCTACTATATCGACGAACCATTCCAAAAACACTTGGAACTCTCTTGCGATAAAATCCTCGGCTTTGTATTCTTCTTCTTGATTAACTTTTCAAGTACCCTAAAGTAGTCCTAGATAGGTTTAAAGTTAAGCGAGTACAGTGGTAGGAACTCTAACACCAACTCCTAGTTATATCTCTGCACATATATTGGATCTTCTCCGAGCGGTGCTAAGTAGCGTTGTCTATAACGATGATAAACTTTAGCTCTGGGTATCTGCCATAGTGATGTAGCGCCTGAGTTATGAAATCCTTAAATAAATCGCTGTCGGTAGATCCTTGGTATACTTACCTCAGCACGATACTATCTTATAAGTAGTTATAACTAGTTAACGTTACCAGGTCTAGATTCACGTTTTCGGCCTCCCCACAACAACGACAGGTTCTTGTCTTCGTTGTTGTTCAAAGGGGGGGTTTCCTTGTCCGCATAGCTACCAGTTCTGGACTCTTCTGAGCAGACACAGAACTTTTATGCGCAAAATGACGCTGGATTCGGGGTAGTTGAGCTAGCAGCCCGAGGCAACAAAAATGCCGTAGTTTCCGAGGTAGAAAACCCATGGATGCGGCGGCAGATGCACGTGGAATAAGATTACTACGGAAAGAGATCTCAGGTTTTGAGGGCACTGTCATTCAAGGAAGATTTTCTCGAACAACTCCGGATTGGGATTCAATGGGTGGGGTTGTTAAAAGCGAAAAACTTCATTTTTCCCCGTTGGAGGCTTTTACCGGCTTTGTTGCTGTCTGTGTAGCGGTTGGGTCTCTGCCCCAACATATCTCTCGTTGCCAGCTTCCACTGCCTTTTCTTCCACACACCGCACACAGGGTAGCAATGTCTCACTGTTCTGCGTACTCCGTTGCCGGCATGCCACCACATGTGGGCGTCGGGATTCGCGAGTGCCAATGGGAAACAATCCACCTTAACCCCGATCCGCACTCATCAAGGTGCAGGTCTTGGCCAGCTAAGACCAGCTGTGCCTGGGAGTGGCCATCAAGGTTCTCATCCCCCACGGCTTCAAGCAATCACATTTTCAGCTCCTCTCATGCTCAAGATCAAGCTGGTTTTCCCTCAAGAACTTGAAGGTGAATCTGCGAAGTGTTTGATTTGCGATGCGAATTACTACTTGGGGAGCGGCTGCTTTGTGTCTGCTCTATGCCGGGCTTGCTTTTGGCAATGATGATGCTCCGTCACCGCAGGCAGGACTCGTCGGAGTAGATACCTCGGATGTAAGACCCTCAAGACAAACGCACTTCTTGGATGCTAACTGGCACTGATGACGGCGCAGCCGCAATATCTGGTCTACGAGGTCCACCAACTCGAAATTGTCCTGGCCAAGGATGAAGCACCTCCGGTGAAGCCAGACTCAGAGCGGCATCGCAGAGAAAAGGAGCAGCTGCTCCAGATAATGGACAGGAAGCATGGCGCTTGGAATGAGCACCACCCGCGCCACCGGCTCCTCGAAGCTCTCCGCGGCTTCTCAGCGTACGCCGAAACTCAGCAAGCGGAGCTCAACCGGTTGAAGGGGCTGTACAGTCATGTTTTCAAAAATCAGAAGACGGTATGTATCCCGGGCTGGAGCGAGTACCCTTGAAACATGAATATCCGTGCTAATTCAAGCAAAGCTGCTCGAACGGGAAGTGAAGTACAGCCAGAAATTCACCGACATCGAACAGCTGCTCAAGACGAATCAGAAAGTCTGTGACGACATTGTGCGAAGCGCCATGGAGTTCTACGGCGTCGACCAGCACGAGCTGGACCAGCACACCCAGTCCATGAAGGCAGCAGGCCGCGGCGCCGAGAAGGTCAGCGTGTCGCAGGCCTTGAAGCACTTTGTCCGCGACTGGGCGGCATCCGGAGCCAACGAGCGCGACGCTGCCTTTCCCTGCATTTTGGGGGCTCTGAAGGATTTGTTTCCGAGCATTGGGCAAAACGAGAAAGTCAAAGTTCTTCTTCCCGGGGCCGGCCTAGGACGATTAGGCCACGCAGTAGCAAAGATGCCAGGTCAGAACATCACCACGGGCTAATAATTACCGCCAATCGCGCTACTACTGACCGCACGACGCAGGCTTCGAAGTAACAAACAACGAATGGTCCTCCTACCAAAACGTCGCCTACCGCTTCCTCACCGACCCCAAGCACCCTCACCATGTGCAGTCCAACAGCACGTCAATCCACCCCTTCCTCGACTCGTGGTCGCACCACCGCTCCACAACGGACATGCTCCGCCCGGTCTCCATTCCAGACACCCCCATCGACCGGAACGCGGTACTCCTCGTCGAAGGGGACTTCACCACAGCCTTCCGCGACGAGCCGGCGGGCGCGTACGACGTCGTGGTGACGCACTTCTTCATCGACACGGCGCGCAACCTGATGAGCTACTTTGACACGATCGCGCGCCTGCTCCGGCCGGGCGGGTATTGGGTCAACTTTGGCCCGCTGTTGTACGGGTCGGCGCCGTTTGTGCAGCTGTCGCTAGACGAGATCATCAGGGTCGTCGAGGGGATGAGGTTTGAGTTCCTCGAGGTGCCGGGCGAGTGTGGAGGGCGGGAGGAGGTGGTGATCCCGGGAACCAGTGTGTATGGCGTCGAGGCAGTGTATGGGTTTGATGAGAGGGCGCTGACGAGGAATGCTTACGAGGCGCTGTTTTGGGTTGCGAGGAGGGGGTAAGGACTCCAGCGGATGAGCAGGTATCCTTCTCGAAGTTGTTCAGTGTCTGCGTGTAACTAACTGTCACGCCGATAAAATAACGTTACATGCCCGGCTCACTTGTGTGTTTTATGTAACGTTACTACATGTTGAAAGTTGCCATTAGCAAGAAATGCCTATGTTCGCCTCTAAAGTCCACATATATCTGGTGCATAGAAGCAGTTCCAGGTAGAAATCCGTAAAATATAGGTGGGCCTAAATTTACTTCATGTGTAACTAACTACTGTGCAGCAATGAGATTGCCTCCAAAATTCAACAACTTTCGTGGTTCAGGTGAGTTACCCTGTTCGTTTTGGTGGCTTGACACCGCAGCCAGATTTCCATTCAAACCCACAAAGCAGCTTTTCCTACCCAGCTTCTGTTCTCATTCTACATCTAAACAACCACTCAAAACGAATCCGCACAGACGAGATATGGAGGCGGCCTCACGCAGCAAGACGTGGCAGCTGTAGGCCGACCAGGAGCGTGAGGTTCTGGATTTGATATCGAGAGAATGTTCCAATCACGTCATGGCGCGCATAGATCGCCTTCGCTCCTTCGCGGAGGATTTCATTCAGCGCAACGGCACCAATGACCCGCTTGCCTCAGATTTTGTTAGCATTCTCCTGTCCCGCCATCCGCACGTAGTGACGAAGCTGGCCAACACCCCTCGGCCATGACGACCATGTTGAATTCCAAGACGCCCCTTCCTCCAGGCCAACAGCCCCGGGGCCTCGATAGGTTAAACCAATTACGCAGCGGGACCGCACCCGGGCCACGTTTGGCAATTCTCCCCCTCCGCCGCGGCAGCCTGCCCCTTGCCCTGAAGGCAAACTTAACTTTCACTCCAACACCCGTTACGTCATTCGCCATGGCGACACCGTAACGGAAATGCGCGACCGACTGTCATGGCGTGGGCATTAACGGTCATCCAAACGAGGCCTTGGCGCTCCGTTTCGTTTAAGGCGAACACCACGATCCCGGTACCTGAGGTCGTCAGCAGCGACTGGGATCGGATTACAATGTACTAAATGTAGGACGTTGAAGGTCAGACGTTGGAGAAGGCATTGGCCAAACCCTACGACCGATCAACGTTCCAATATCCTTGACGAGCTCTGAAGCTACATTGCGCAGCTGCAAGCCCTCGCCAGCCCATGCGACGTCCGGATCGGCCGTCTTGACGGCCAAGGCGCAGTACTCCTCAGCATTATCCCGTGCTCTGGCGGGCCTTTTGGCAGTCTCGCCGAGCTCCACCACTGGCTTGTACGCCCGCCGAGACGCTTGGAGAAGCAGTCGATATACTGACACCAAATCACGACAGCTTGGTGCGGACTGTCTTGTCGTCTTCACGCATGGCGACCTTCCGTCTCAAAACATCATGATGCGAGACGGCCACATCGTCGCCACTCTCGACTGAAAATTCGCCGGCTGGTACCCAGAGTACTGGGATTACGCCCTTGCATTGCGCGGGCTTGACAGTGTCGATTGGAAAGTTTGGGGCAGTCACCTTCCCTCCCTCTTTTCTAAGCGCAATGATCTCGAGTACATCCTCATGGCCATTGTTTTCCGCCTCTCTTGATACCAGAGCTGCTGTACCAGCACCTCAAGACATGCTCAACCGACGGTTTTCTCACGCAGGCTCGGGCGACTACTAGAACGAGGCCTTGGCCCTGGGCTTTGTCCCGAAGAAGACAACGATCTGCGTGCCTGAAGCCAGCGGCCGCTATCGGGATTGGATTGTATCCTCGGCTATACGCTAAGACGTAAACATCACGAATGATCAGCGTTCCAGAGTTCTGGCTCGCCTGGATGAGCTGTCGCCTGTGAGGCTCCATTGGCGCAGCTGCGGATCCTTATCGACCTGAACACCGCCGACGTCCACCCGTGACATCGGTCGCCTAGACCATCACTGCGCTGTACGCAAAACTATTGACGTCGCGCTCAGGGTCCGGCAATTGGGGCCAAATACGTCGTTATAATGGTCTAAGACGGAACGTGGCTGAGAGTGAGGCAGCTGTGGCTGAGACATGCATGTTGATCCTCAAGTTATAATTTGAGCGGAGTTGAGACCGCCGATCTGCAACAGGCCAGTCAATTTGACCAGCTGATCACAGCAACGGCCAAAGCTTGAGATTTAAAAAGCCTGGACCATGAGGTCTCAAACCGGATCGGCGGAGCCCAGTGATCCTCGTGGTTTGAGGCTGTCACACCGCAATCTGATATGGTGCTCCCGCACCTACCTCTCTCACTGTTGTCAGCCTTCGAGTGTCCAGTCGCTGATACTCCGGCTTCCACCCCTGTATTTGACCATTCAAATGCCAGGACGCATCCACGAGCAACCCAGTCGACCAGGAATCGCACCTTACGGCTGCCGATGGGAGGCATGTCAAGCTTCGTTTCGTGGCCGATGGCGGACCTTAGTCAATGGAACTACTTGGATCGTCAAAGAGCCCCTCGGCGCCGTCATCGACCACGGGCACCGTGCATTAGACCATTCCTCTGTGAAATCCTGGCTGTCGAAAAGTATATAGACCCCGTGCTTGCCTACTTCAACCTTCTCTACCTCGCAGTCGAACAGCATCAACAGCACTCCGCGCTTCTTAGCTTCATAAACCATCCAACTTGATCCAACGTTCCCACGTCGTCGCCAATATGCGTTCGTACGTCGTCCTTTCCGCTCTTATCTCTGTCGCAGCAGCGGCAGCAGTCGGTAGGCCCGCCCACCTCAGAAACCTCACAGGCCGTCCGATGACTAAATATTTCTAGATGCCCTTGTTGCCACGGACGGCAATCGCCATACGGCCAGACAGGTGGTTGACCTGCCCGGATGTTTCTGGGCCGGAACCTCTCCTTTCTGCGCGGGGGCCTGCCCCCCAGGCTATAATCAGGTTCAGGTGGATGGCTGCGGTGATGGCGCTTGCTGCTGGACAGGTACCAAGGTACGCTGCTGCACACCCGGTGCAGCAGCTTCGGAGGGAAACTAGTAGGAGGTAGCGAGGTGCAAACAACGGCTGTGCTGCTTGAAGGGGGGACCTGGTGCACATGTGGTCGATGATGGTCTTAATCTGATCCGTTGTCTTAGACGTTGCGCTTAGGGGGTCCGAGGAGTGGAAGGGCTACCGCTCATCGGGGACGAAAGGAGGGAATAGTCTGTCAATATCGAAAGGGCGAATGTGCTCAAGACGGCCTGTGAACGCCTACACAAATCGTTATTTTGATTCAGCCGGCCACCATTCGTTGACCTGAGAGAACTTGAACGTGTCGGGCTCTGGTGCCGTTAGCTTCGCCCTCTTGCATCGCTTGCAGCCTTGCTCATCCAGTTCTCCGTAATCATCTTGTTATCCGAAGACACAATCACTTTAGCACTAAAGGATGGACGCTTCATGCTAGGAAAATTAATTAGCGAACATCCAAGACAGATGATCGAGCTTTGGGCTTGGAGTGGTCAAGACCAGCAAGGACCGAAATGTAGGCAGCTGAAAAAGCATGTGCTAATATACTTGCTAACACAGCGCTACTTCCCCAGTTCTCTCAGCTCTATTTAGGTGTAGTTTTATTTCAACTCCTCCTTGCTGTTCCACTCTCTCCTTCCCCAGGTTTCCTCTCTCATCTTTTCTTCTTTGCCCTCGTTGCCTCATTTCATTCTTCTCCTCCTCCCGACCCCTTCCTCCCTTTTTTCTTCATTTTCTTCATTTCTCAGCCGACGGTATCCTGGCTACTGAACAACACCATGCCTTGCCACTCCCGCACTGGAGTCGCCTTCAAAAAGCCCTGGTTATCAGAACATTTATCCAACAAATCCTTTGGAATGATGAGAAAGAGATTCCCAATTCTTTCCCAACGTTCCTCTTCTGCTCCTTCCAGTCTGCGCAACGTGAGGAATCTCGCGTCTCCGTGCCCCGAATGGTCCTCGGCCAGGTAGCGACAAGCAAACATTAACATACTGATGACTTCCCCGGATATGTTTCGAGTCCACTCTTCCTCACTCATCTTGACACTCAGATAGACACAACACAGTCGTTTGGCGATGCGGTACCATTTCCCATCCCAGTTGAAGCTCTCTCCGTGTCGTTGGTCTCTTCCTACTCTGCCAGTAATGGGAGCCCATCGCCACTCGTGTTTGTTGTCTAATATGCGGCTGAATTATTTAAAGAACCAATGGGTTGTGAAAACTTATTATGGTCAGGTTTCCCTGGTTCAGCCTGAGACGATGGCCGAATGAGGGATGTTGAAGCCTGATGGCGCCTGCACGCTGGCCCGGCGAGTACAGATACGCACCCGCGGCCCAGAGCAATTGACGTCGCTCCGTGTCCCGCTGCTGAGGGGGCAGCTCGATGAAATCTGCCATCTGCGCGCAATGCTCGTTGTATACGGCAGCGCGCGCCGGTCCACCCAGCCCATGACCATGACGGCAGATGCGTCCTCCGGCGGCAGGATTCCGAGACGAACGCACCGTGATGGCCGGTGCGGTGGTGCCACGCGCTGACTGTAAGCCCGAACGTGAAGTGAGCCCCAGAGTGGACTCCGGCTATGCTCCCCAGCCAGAGTGGGAGGCCGTGGAGGATAAGGAGTTCCGACGAGCGCTTGTACATGCCGGTGATCACCATAAAAGTCGGGAGGCGTCCGAGTCATGGATGAGTCTGCGTTTGGACTATGCGTGGATGTGCTCGTTGAGCCCACGCAGCTGAGCGCGGGTAGTCGCTTCGAGGTACCGAGGGAATCCGTAGTCAATACGGTAGTCGTCCTCGCCCATGATGACAACCCCGCGACTGTCACTCAGGAAGCCACCGATGTAGGCATCGCCCTTGAACATGCCCATGATCATGAAGTCCGCCATGACTACTTCGTCTGAATCCTCCCCGTCCGAAGGTTTATGGAGGAGGGGAATGGCCATGGTCTCTTGGGCTGCCATGTTTCGACACTCCCAGTAAATCTGCATCCGGGTGGAAACCAGCCGACGGTTGGAAAGCACCCCCTTCTTTATAGGTCCAACCGCGGGTCCAATAGTCCGACTCAAGAATGTCGTAACGAGGGTCGCGGAGAGGGGAAAGTAGAAGGCTCCCGCTGTTTGAGCGTGTATTTGGATGCGGTGTACGAGGGGTCGAACGGATGCCCAGCAGACCATGCGCAGCCCCTGAGCCAGCAGCAGCTACTATAGTGAGATCTGCTTCTTCGTAGATGGTCGTCATTCTCGAAATCAAGTACGCCGTCTAGTCAGCGTCGGTGTGGTTGATGCACAGCCTGTCGACCCAGATGTACTGCAGTCCCATCTCTTTGGTCACTGCAACAGCGTCCAGCACGGTTTTCGGCCATTCTTCCCTGTCAGCATCGCTTGTTCCCCAGACATAGCTCAAGACAGCGTACTTGGTTCCCCACGGGTGGGGTCCGACCTTGGGTGGACCGGCCGTGCAATCGATCAGCCGAAAGCCCCTTGTGACGGGTTCATGTTTGCCCCGTCTCCTAGAGGTACCGCCATGGTACTAATAGCATGCGTCAAGCATTCTTTCGCGAGGGCAAGGTTTGCCTCCTCTGAACGTAACTCCTTAGGGCGGGCTAAGACGTCGATATCTGGATCCCGTTCCTCATCCGCACCCAGTCGGTATACCACTCCTGTCCGAGGAATGTACCTCACCATCCACTGCACTCCGTGACCAGTAAGGGGAAGCATCTCATGGTCTGGGACAACGGCCAAAAACACTGTATCTTTCATGTCCCACGCCGGGCTCTCTTTCAAGACATCAGCTCGCCACATCCAATTCTCACTGCTAGGAAACGTCAGGAGCTTGTATAGTTGGTGCAGTCCCCACCGGATCCTCATCGACCTGAAGAATGTGCATGATGGGCAGTTGGACACCACGAGAGCCGGTCCTTGAAGCTGTGAAAGAATAAAGTCTCGATGTAAAAATGTTCACCCTCAGAATCCTTGGCCAGGTTTTTGGGGGCGTTTGATCTTGCCTTCTCTAGCATCCTGAAACTTCCGTGAAGCTTTCTCAAAAATGGCATAAAGGTCGAGTGATCGACAATTCTCGCACAGCGAGAGGTCGGCTCCAACTTCCGGCGCTTGATGCGCCTTGGCGACGCGTGTTCGAATGAATGTGACAAATTCATGTCGCTTTGCTGAGAAACAAGGTTCGGAGAACAGGAAAGCGTCAACTATGCCAGTACGGAGTCCTGAAAGTCTTGGGAGGGAACGACATGGAATCATTATCGTCTCGGCTCTCAAGAAACTCGTCTCTTTGAGGGGTCGGAAGGATATTTGCGGGGTGGAACCTTGGCGCAGTCGGCGCGCTGGCGGGTTGCCTTGGCATAGGCTCACCACCAGGCTGACTTGAGTTGAAACATGAATGTCCGATAGGTTGCCGTGAGTACTTTACTTAGGTATCGAGCTTAATTACCTCCAGCCGCCAGTTTTCCGCATCGACTTTAAGACTCCGAGGTCCCACAGCGGCAGCAGGCGCCCGGTGCCCAACTCCAGAGTTAGCCCGGAAACAGGAGAAAAGCGGACATGACCTGGAAGTGCTCGCCTATCTGAAATCGATTTCATCCTTCCTCCAGTATGCATAACGATGGGCAGTCGAATCCTTATGTATCTTGATGTTACGTTGACAGATATTGAACTGTGAAAAACCTCACATTTGTTCAAGTTCAACTGAGGAATCCGTCAGGTACCAGAGAAAGAAAGCATTAAACTGTCGGGAAGGAAAGTTACAAGAATATGAGCCCCCTTCTATTCTTTTCTTGTCCTTTGTTACTTCCATTCCCCGCAAGGTCTCTTCTCTTTTAAATTCAAACATTTGTGGCTCTGACTCGGCGCTTCACTGCTTCAGTTTGAATTCTGATACCGGACTTCAGGAACTTGGGTAAGTGAATAGTTTGAGCGAAGCTTATCAGCTTATCAGATACCAAAGCCAATGAAAAGCAACCGAAAAGTAGATCATCCAAGTCAAGTCTCAAAACACACTGCTTCTTCCCCTTCGCATCCATATAACGTGAAATGCATCCGCTTACAATACGTTGTTGCAGCCACCTCAGGAGTGGCTCAATACCGATATCCATAATTGCTGGCCGACAGTGGACTAAACCGAATCCATTCAGGAATCCTTCTCACACTCTTCCGCTCTGGCTTGTACGACGGAACCACGATGCGCCGTCAGCAGCCAAGGCCATCGTCATCGGCGCCGGACCCGCCGGCATCGCCGTTGTCGGAAACCTTTTTGAAGCCCTTCCGCGTGGTAAAATAGTGTGGATAGACCGAGCATTCGAGGGCGGCAGCGTCGGCCAGTTCCATCGAGAATTGCCCAGGTGAGTCTTGCCCTTTCAAATTCGATTCATACATAAGCACTTGCATGAGCACTCACGTGCATCCCAGTTACTCCCCGGCAGGCGATTATCTTGAGTATGCCCGCGCCATCCAGACCTTTCGGGACATATCCGCCGAAGCACAGCAACCAAACGCCGTTACCAAGCTGAGGCAGCTCGAGCGCGAAATGACCTGCTCCCTCAACTACGCCGCCGACATGCTCATGCTCATGACCGACGGCCTGCTCAAGTCCCCCCGCATCGAGCCCGTCATGGGTACCGTGGCTCGCGTAGTTCGCAACCCCAGAGTCAGTTCTCCCCCTTCCAACCCCCCCCCCCCCCCTCTCTCTCTATCAAAACGTCCTTTCCTCTCACCATGTTTCATCCCTCACTAACCTCTTGACCCCACCCACCTTAGATCAGAGAATGGACTGTCACCCTCGACACCCCCGAAATAGGCTTCGACCCCAACCCAGTGACCTTCACCGCGCCCATAGTGGTATACTGCACGGGCACGCACCCCAAAGTAACCGCCCTGCCGCTCCCCATTGACCGGCTGACCGTCGAGACGGCGCTGGCCCCCTCGCGGCTGAAGCTGCTCCTGCCGCGGGACGAGCACCGGCGCGTCGCCGTCTTCGGATCCGGCCACACCGCCGTGCTTGTGCTGAGAAATCTGTTCCGGCTGGCGGCCATCTCGCACCGGAAGCTGCGGATCCGCTGGTTTACGAGGAGTGAGAATCTGGTATATGCCGAGCCGGATCCGTACTATGATCTGGATGAGGATCTTGCTAGTGCGGTGAAGGGGGAAGGGGTTGAATGGGGCGCCGACATGCGCGTGAAGAACGAGTCCGGCGGCTTAGCTGGCGAGGCGGCCTGGTTTGCGCGGACGCAGCTCGAGGGGGAGAGGCTGAAGGGAAGCGATGCGGGCCAGTTTATCGAGCGTATTGTGCTGCCACAGGTGGAGGAGGGGCTGAGCGAGCAGGAGCGGGAGGCGAAAGAGCACGAGTTCATGCTGCAGGGGGGCCACCTCGAGCGCGTGGACCATGTGGTGCAGTGCATCGGGTGGGAGAGGGCGCGACTGCCCGAGCTGAGGCCAGGTCTGGGCCCATGGCGAGGTCCCATCGGCAAACCGAAGAAGTTGATATTCAATGCCCTGACGGGGTCGTTCTTTCCGAGTGGAGGGAAGAGGAATGAGGTGGTTGGGTTGTATGGCGCCGGGAGTGCGTTCCCGGAGTTGGTGCCGACCACGAAGGGGTGGAGGGAGCCGGCGGTCGGGATATGGAAGTTTATGAAGTTTGTCAACAAGATGGTGCCAAGATGGGTGCAGGCCACGAAGAAGGGGTATTTTGCGAAGGAGGACGATGGTAAGGATGCGGAGGGGCGGAGAAGGTTCCATCAATATTACTAGGATGGGTTCCTGTAAGAGAAAGGTGTAGACTGTAACTTATAAGAAGCCTTTATGTATAATCATCCCTTGGGTTGGTAGAGTTGGCAAGGTGCAATGTGTTCTTGTCCAGTAGAGATGTTACCCGGACATGCGGCGGTACTGATGAACGCTGTTAGATAGTATACCATGTTGTTTTCCATGACTCGTTGATCACCACGAAGGCCTATTTGACGATCATGGTGTGCGCTTGTACATTTTGGCTAGACTTGCCGAAAGAGTTTTCTTTACTGGCGATCCCAAACGGATACCAGCACCCGTTAGGGATACCGGAACTTGTAGCGAGCGGTATATGAATCCTCCAACAAGTAACAGCAACAGGAAGCCCACCCTAAACCCTTACTTGCCTCACCAGCTATGGTACTTGGACACAATCTCACCGCTCACTTACGTGTCCTTACAAGACGCTAGGTAATGAAATGGCTCGAACGTCAGAAAGCCTTATGTGTGAAACTGACTTTGAAAATCTCGTTTTCAGAGAAAATCAGCAAGGTGTTGGCATGTTTTTGGATTAGTTACAAGATTAACATTAACTAGCAAGATGCTCTGCAGCCTAGTTCTTCAGATCCCATCTTGCTGGGGAAGCCTAAACAGCGACCTCGTAGATATTAAGGCGGTCAGGGGCACCGCACCACTGCGTGGCATCGCCCACGCACACCTGGCTGCACTGATCCTCCGCAGCAGCCACGCCGCCAAGCTCATTGCCGCAGTAGCACTCGCGCGAGTACTCGAGACCAAAGTACTTGAAGCCCTGGCAAAAGTTGGCGCACTTCTCGACGGTCATGTCGTCCGCGCGGAGCTCCTGGCCGGTCAGAACGCGGCCGGCGACGTTGTCGACCCAACAGCTCTTATAGGTGAAGCCAGCAACAGTAGGTACGTTGGCGGGGTCTTGCTTGCAGTCGGTGCTGACGAAGACGTTGAGGCGGTCGGCATCTCCACACACGCTGTTGTAGTCGCCGCTGCAACGCATGGAGCATTCGCCTTGGGGCCGCTGCTCCGCGCTGTCGGCCAGAACGGTGCCGCAGAAGCACTGCGATCCATACTCGACGCCGAAGAAGGAGTAGAGGCTGCAGAAGCTAGCGCACTTGTCGAGAGTCATAGCCGAGTCGAAGAAGGCGGTCCCGCGCAGCACGCGCGCATCGCCCTTGTCGGTGAAGCAGCCCATGTACTCGTAATCGCCGACGTTTTCCGGGGAGGGGAGAGGAGAGCCCCAGACGTTGATTCGGTTACCGGCTCCGCAGATCTGGGTGTTGTCTCCAGCGCAAGGGAACGAGCACTCGGACTCGGGAGCGGGGCTCTCGGGCGGGCTGTTGCCGCACCAGCACTCGCGGCCGTATTCGACGCCAAAGTAGCTGTAGTTGGAGCAGTGTTCGGCGCATTTCTGGGCCGTCATGTCGTCGGCCCCAAGAAGGTTGTCAGGCAAGGCGCGGGCACCCTGGTCGACGAAGCAGCCCAGGTACGGGGCCTCGAGGGTCGCGGGAGCACCATCACGCTTCGCCTGGGGCACGGCCTGGGAGGTGGCGGCCAAAGCGATGAGAGAGACGGCAGCCCGGAGGCAGGTCATGGAACGAGAGGAAGCCATTGCCGAAAATGAATGTGAGGACTAGCTACTGGAAGGAGCGGCTGTCAGATGTCAGGGCGGCGGTGATGTTGATGACAGGCACGGGTTCCTCCAGGGCATTCCTGCTCTCTGGGGAACGGCCGCCTTTTGATCAGGCCACCTGGTCACGGGCGACGCTCTCCTGAGTTCGGTCCATCATTGATGGCGGGCGCTGGAACGAAATTGGGGATTTCGATAGCCTGCAATATCCGCAGGGAAGTTCCATTCAAACGGCCAAGGGTCCTGTCCGGGTTCCTCGGAGCCAGGACCGGATCACCAGGGTGCCGCCGCACGTGGGGTCGATGCGAAGAACAGGTCTTGGCCAATGGCCATCCGTTCGTCCCGGACAAGCGAGGCGATGGCGCGCGCGGAGCGAGCGCCATTGGTCGAGTCAAGGAGTAGCCCACAACGCAAGTTTTCGCTGCCTCGCCTGACTTTCGCCCAAACGGGAAAAGGCTTGGCAAACTAGTGATTCGCTGGGTCCAGACTAGCCAAGTGAGGCGATCCCCGACCAGGCCGTTGGGTCCAGCCTGGGTATCATCACTCTGGTCTCTTGCTGCGGACTTGAAGGTTGAAGATCCATCGAAGGAATCGGTGCCAAGCAGGAAGGAGCATGCATGAGGAGACCATCCTGGCCTCGGTGTTCGGCAGCACCACCCACATGCACGCTGTCTGTTGGCTTCCATGTTCTTTCCGAAGATAGAGATTGCGCAGTTAACAGCTCTCTGTTCTGTTGCTTGCGTTGTGAAGCTAAACTGAGCAAGGCAGACACCAATGAAATCAAACACATCGGCGGCGTTAGAAAGGTCATGTTTACCCCGGGCTGCAGTGAGGTGAGATGCCGTGGGATAAGCATTGGATGGGCAGCTCCACCCTGTGCTCCAGCATCGGTCAGCGAACAGGAACCCTTCCAGAGCGCTTTTCAGAACACTCCAGATTTTTGCAAGGTCACAGGGATAAACTCGAGACCTTGGACCACGTGCACCTCAAGCATCCTCTCAGCAGTCGCCTGCAGTTTCTGCTGTTGTATATGGGCAAGCGCGGTTTGGGGTACACTTAGATTGACTGGACTAGTCACTTCAGGACTGATCCAGCCGGGTTTTGTAGATATGTATAACTAACTGGCTAGGTAGAAATCAGGATTCGGGATCATCTAAGCCCCTGATAGCGGGCTGACGAGGCGGCTTGGTCACACAACTAGAAGCTCAATAAAGGATGGTGGTTGAGGCAGTCGACGCCGTAAAGAAGATCCGAGTCCGCGAGCCGAGGTGCGCTTGTGCGAACACAAAGGCTTGAGGATTGACTCCCTGGAATATCACAGGTTCCATATAGATGCCTAACTTGAAGCATCAGCACTGGATCCTGATCACGCTTTCCAGTGGAAGTCTCGGCCCATCACGGAGTAAGAAAGAAAATGTCTTCTCACACTTATTCGCTGGTCCCTCATCAGTTCAAGTTGTAATCATGACCTGCAGTGTCTTTCTATAACACATCATGCCTAAGGCACCCATTCACATAAACTAGCCTGCCCCGGGCCTAGTAATTCAGTAGGAAGTGAAATGAGGAGTAGCAATCCTATATAGGTAGGAATCCGTTAGCCATGATACGGAGCGGTAAGGTTGTTGTGAGGGTTTCACTGCTGTGCATGATTTACAATGACATTGTTCGATAGAATTTGAGTCTGCGAGAGCAGGGCAGATTGGCTGGAAACGCAAGTTGGTCAGGGTGCCATGGCGTTCGCCAAGGTCCCTACAGTAGATACTATGCCAGTTATGATTCCTCCCTTTGCCCGCAGGACTTGTCGTCCTTAGTACCAGTGCAGTCCCATAAAATCCCTTGCCTTCATCCTCAACGTCACGTGCTTGCATCCCGGTGGATGGCAAATCACATCTGACCATGCGTTCCAACCCTCGGACTTCACGAATCCACAGAGAAACATGGAAGTTTCCGAGTCATACTGTCAATTTGTCCACCCCACTACAACTCTCATGGCACGCGGCTTGGGCATAGGACAACCAACTGACCAAGCGGGTTGTCTAGGCGGTAAAGTGTGAACTGACATTTCCGGCGAATCTGGACATAACCAAGGTGGTGACAGACGTAGCTTACCTTATACCTACACAGTATTACTTCCATCCACCCAATACCCCGAGGGCCGACGCACAAAGCCGACCTGCCCGGCCATCTGCGAGATCCCGGGACTCCTTAAGGTACCGCCGCTCAAGATTCTCCCCGAATCGGCGGGTTAGCGCCCGAAGCCAGGAGAGTGACTGTGGGGTTTTGTCTGGGGAAAATTGGGTGATGCCAAGAGACGGGCACAAAGTTAGCAAGACCGCCAGGCTAAATTCGATATCGGCCTTTTCATCAACTTCCGGGCTTTTAGCCTGTCTGCGGCTTCCAAATTTGGCAGCAAAAGCACCCTGCAACCAACTGACTGGGACCCCGATAAGAGCGCTTCCCTCGCTGACCACGTTGTCACGCTCTTGCGAGGGGCGCATCGCAGAGTGCCTGTGGCCTGCTGACTTTGGCGATGGACGCCAGGAACAACGGGTTCCAAGACTCCCAAACCAGCTCGTCGGTGATGCATTCAATGCAGTGCCACAATTTGACAACCCCTGGCTGCTGACGGAGCTGGCGAAGGTGCCTTGTCGGTGGGTGTACACCAGCTCCCAACATGCCTCCGGAGGACGGCACCTCCGGGTACCTTTTTGTCGGAAGCGGTTCCCGTGTGGGTCTGGGGATGATGGAAAACGTACACCTTGATTGACATTCAAAGGCTGCCACAAAGTGTACGGATCCGTAAACTGCTTCGAGAAAGGAATTCGTGCATGGCAGTATGGAAGATGTTGGCTGGATACTGGAAATTGCTGACTCTTCTATTAGATACCTTAGTGTTCAACTGGGCACCTCAGCAACCCCGCCCCCTGCGAGAACTGGATTCGACCTTTGCAGACAGCTTAACGCTCTATCAGCCAAGAGCGACAATCGCCTTCCCAGATTTACCTGATTTCAGAATTCTGGCTTGGGGCACCGCAGCGGCAGTTGGTTGAACGTTTCGCGTCATCTAATACGGCAATTAAAGGCCAGCACCTCATAACCCCACGTTCACGAGCAAGTTTCATCGCGGCGCGCATCCATTTTATTGCGATGCTGCCATTTCATTGCGCCGGTTGTCTAGCCCTGACGCAGCTTGGGCCTATGAAAGCTACCGCATACGCGAATTCGGCCCTCCTCCCGCTTCAGTCGGGAAGCTCATCCGCCAAGTCGAGCAGGTGCCTGCTGATTCGCAGCGTCAGGCCGGATGCTGACCCTTTTTGTCCGCAACTTTTTTTTCACGAATCCCGCCGCCTAAGTCATCTCCTAGGTTCATTACGATTCTTAGGGTCTCCTGCAGTCAGCACGCCGTCTTGCTCGAGCCATTTCATCACATCTGACCCTCCCGAACCACCCCATACCTCCCAATTTCGACACGCCAAGGGCAGCGCAGGTCCAATGGATTGATTAGCTGGCAATCTAGATGAATTGACGTCAATTCCGTCCGTCTGCTTCAAAGCCACCCCGACCAGGCCTGGCCCCAATCCCGGACTGTTCCCCTCTCCACCTTCTCACCTGGTTCTGCCCGCCATCAAGGACGGCCGGGTGCTACACAACTGCCGCCCTCATTACAACGTACGTGCGTGCCGCAGCGGCGGGAACTGTGGAAAAGCACCGAGAAGAGAAGCCCAGTCGTTGCAACTTCTCTTTATCCCAAGCGGTCGTGGCCAGTGGCCGCGTGGTGTGGGTGTGGGCGGGTTCTTGTGCAACTCACTCAACGTTCAACGGTTCAACCCCCATTCACCCCCCAATCCCTAAAAGGCCCCGAGACACCTCTCTCTATTTGCTGTCTGGGCCTCCCCCGCTAGCCTGGTCCGGTTCCACGATGCAGTGGATGCACCCTGTGAGCCACCCAACCACGCCGTGCCTGTCGCCATGTCGGATTTCCCTCAATACCTGGCTATGTACGATGCGGCCGATGCGGGGCCATTCACCGCCGCCATTCGCGCCGGCGGTCATCACCATCACGCCGTCCACCACCAGGCCCCGGTGACGAGCCACTATGTTCCATGCCCGTAAGTCGACCCTTTAGATGCCCGGTTGGTGTCCAAATCAACCACTCGCATTGGCGACAGAACTAGTAGCTAACCTCCACGGACCAGGTACGAGGACAAGGTTACAAAGGATGGCACCACGGCGCGCATGGTGCTCCTTTTTCTCCGCGAGCTCCTCGAGCAGCTCTCTGTGGAAGAGCGAATTTATCAGAGCTACAGCTGTCCCATGACTAAGTGCCACAGGACTTTTGCGGCGCCGCTGCACGTCATTCAGCACCTCTTGTCGTGCCCAGAGATTCCCAACGGCGAGTTCAACTGCGACAAGTGTAGCACCAGCCACAGCTTCCCGACGAACGAGAAGGATTGGACGCAATGGACGGGGTGGAGGTCACCGCACTCCTCACATGGAGGGAGTGTCCAACGGAAGCGGAGCTTGGGTTCGAAAATGAAGGAGCTCGCTCTGTGGAAAAAAGATTCGTTTCGAAAACACAATGCTGCATCCGACTCGCACTTCAAGAACTACCCTGCCACGGATACGAGGCCGAGCACGGCGGCTTCTGAGGCGCCCAGCATCATTTTCACAGGCAGAGCCTCTCAACATCATGCTGCATTCCATGAGCAGCCTGGTCAAAGGCCCGGGTCGGATTTTGCGAATTTCCCGAAGCCCCTGCTGCCTTCTGGTCTTCCGGAAGTCGATGGCAGCATGTTCTGGCCCACGTTCCATGCCAGTTCCTCCGACCTGCCCTCTACGGTGTCGTCAATCGCACTGTCGTCAACGGTTGATGACGGCCCGTCCTCCCGTTTCTCACAAAACACCTCGCGGAGCACTCTATTTACTACCAACTTGGATCAGCCGCAGGCTCCGACGCAGTCGACACAAGACTGCAATACTGTCTCAGCCTCGCAACAACAATACGTCTTTCCTCCACAGCTGCCCTTCAACGCGGGTTTGGCCGCGTTGCAAAGGCAAGCACCACCAACCTCGGCCATGCGGATAGAGGAGCAGGTCTCGCATGCTCAAAGCCCTTTACCGCCGACGGAATTGCGCTCGGCAGCTCCGAACGATCATGGGTGGTGGGATCCAAAGGTAGGAATCGAAACACCTCGGGCCACTCCGCCCGCATCCGGACCAGAACCTGGCTTCCCACGTCAAGCCAGGATGTTGAGCAGCCTCGGCGCTGGTGTCAGCAGCGACATGTCAAGTCCAACCTCGCCTGGTACAGCCGCGTCCCCGTACTACCCGCTCCAGTCAACCTCGACGCATTCCATGTCCCGAGCACTGAGCCAGGAATCCATGCAGAACGGCATGAATACCGTCTTTGGGACGCCAGTCTCAGAAAGAAGCGGGCTCGGGGCTCTGTCGCTGCATGCTGACACGAGCCAGCCGTCGTCCTCAGCTCCAGGTCAACAATCTCCGGAAGACCCAACCGAGGATCTCGTCTGCGACGAATGCCAGTGGAAGCCACGGGGTGTACGGGAGAACCTGAAAGGCTATCTCCGCAAGCACAAGAACACACACAAGGGTGTGCGCCTGGCTTGTGATGTGCCGGGCTGCGTCAAGACGTTCAGCCGGCTGGACAACCTAAAGAAGCACAAGAAAGAGAAGCATGGCATCGAAGACATGGGCGGCTCGGTGCCGGCGAAGCGGATGGCTGGCGATGTTGGAGAGTCCGTTAAAGAAGAGGAGGAGGCGGAGTCCAAGCAGCCAGGCAGCGTTGTGGGTTCTGATTTCAGGGCGGTTACGGAGGATCACTCGATGACGCTATGGCCGTCGTTGCATTGCTAGGCGGCCGGGTGCATGCATGAAGCGGTTGATTTCTACGATGCTCTTGTTCAACACGAACGAGGACACTACGCGCTTGTCAGCGAAGATTTCCTTTTCTGGTTTGTCTGTGCTATATCGGGACGAGTCGAGTCTGGTGGGCTGACTGACCATCGGGCTGCGAAACGGGTCATTTTCAATGTGTTTTTTTCCATGATATCCATGCATCTATATCTCAAATACCCACACTATACTCAGGGTCGGGTCTGAACCCTTTTATTTTCAGCCAGAACATATCGGGTATCCAGCATTGATTTTGCGTTGAACCAAATTTGGCGATCGAATCACAGATGATGATGCCTCGATCTAACGCTCCTGCACCTCGCCGTTTCGCAGGCTGAAGCTGTGTGGTGCACTTTGGTGAACACTTGGGCGGCTGTCGTAAGTCGATGCTCCCCATCAGCTGCTTCAGGTTCAGCGTCAGGCGAAACCTTTCAGAGTCTCAGAGCGTTTGCCAACCTCTCAGGTTTACCAGTGGGCAAGTATCCTCCTATTCCAATCCCGAACCCATGGAACTTGAGCCTGGAGCAAATCGACTCCGTCTCTGCCATATCTCAACATTATGGCAGATCCCCTATCGGTGGCGGGGAGCGCCTGGGGCACCAAATCCCTCGCATTCAAATCTGCCAGGGTCTTGTTTCATATCTCTGCTCAGGTCAAGGACGCCAAATGGAGACTGTCAGCCATCTGAGGGAGATTCGCGGCCTGGCATCGGCGTTCCACTTATTGGACGATGCATTGCCTCGCCTTGCTCAGCAGCGATCTGACGACGCAGTGGTTGTTGGTCAGTGTCTGCCCGACTGCAAGGAGCAACTCGTGGAACTGCATCTGCTCGTTCTGAAGCCGAGAGATCCGCCAAACTCAAGCAACGTCAAACTCAAATGGATCAGGCGGAGCGTGCTGTTTTCTAACCCTTTCGTGAGGGGACCTTGCTGCAATCCAGCGTGGTCTACAGAGCCTTAAAGGCAACCTGAGTCTGGCCATCAACATTGCTTCGATTACACATACATGCTTTGTTTCTGTAGCTCCTTGGAATGGTATGGTCGCGTCGACGAGTGATGGGAAATCCGACATTTCGAGCCGCGAAGGCGTCGAAGCTATCAGAACCGCCATCGGAGTGCTTATACAGGGTCACATGTCACACAAGAAGCACTAGTCTACAAGACGACCAACCCACAAGCCCAGTCACCAGGAAGGCCAGGAGCTGGCACCATGGAAAACCGCAACCTTAGTGAGAGCAGCCATGTTATTGGCCTGCAGTGTTCGGCTTGCCGAAGAGACTCGATCCGACGCCCTGGAAAAACAGAACGCCCAGCAACTCGAACCTGATGGCCGAGTTTGGACCCCAACTTCCGGATCTGGACTTCTCCAAACTCGAAGGCATTGGAAGAATTGGTTTGGGCCCCTTGGTTGGCGGCGACGGATTTCAGAACTATTCATAGTCGATCCTGGAATCGTAAAGGGCATGGAACAAGTGGCCAAGAATGTAAAGCTAGCTACCTTAACTACGTAAGTCCGAGTCAGATCCCTCACTGTGGCTATCCATGATCCGAGTCTTTGAAAGGTGCCGCGCTGCTGACCTCTTCCTCCTGACCATCAAGATGAACTCACCGCTCGAGCCCAGAATCTGCTCAGGTCTGAGTTGACTGTGCTAGGAGTATCACCCTCGTGGTGTGGTTATGCGTTGACTACAATCATCAAGAAGCAATGTCCTCGTGCCTGTCCTTCAAGCCAATCGAAACATACCAGTGACAGAGTCAGAGACCTGATTGGAATGCCGATAATCTGATCTTTTCGGATGACGCTCTTGGTCTGGCAAAGGTGCGGGGTTGTGTGATGGTGTTTTGCTTCGAGGGGGTGAGTTCCGCCAGTGACGTTCCAGAACCTCGCCGACTTCTCCAAACGAGCGATCAAGATGACGACACTTGACGCATAGACTCAAGAGGACCGCCACCTTATATCAATTCCCTCATGACACGCTTTTTTATGGCTCTTCCCCCTCTCCGACCACCACATCACTCAGACTTATATCATAGTCAGAACTGAAATACTCGCGTAATCAGACTCAACCATCAACATGGAGGCACCGCGCACCCAAAAAGGCCCCAAGAAGATGAGCCATCCGCACCACGTCGGGCCCAAGCAGGAGTCGGGCTACACCGACGAGGCGGCTGAGGAGTGCCACGACTTGATTGACAAGGCCGAGGAGGACGCCCACGTAAGTTCCCGATCATGTCTCAGGGGCCCATCAAGCTTGGTGATAACTATTGACGGCCTGGCAGCTCCACGAACCCGGCTCCATGTACATGCCCACTGACAACCCCGAGCATGTGCACCGGATGAAGGGGGGCCTCGAGGGCAGCAGCAGCACCGAAAGCGGCGGTGGCGGAGCTGGCCCGACCAAGAAGATGCAGGAGACGGGCAAGCATGTCACCAGCACGCTTGGCGAGAAAGTCGGCCAGATGAAAGAGAAGATGGGAATGAACAAATGATGGACGGTGTAAAACAAGTCAGAATGTATGATACTCAAAAGGGTGATTCAGAAAAGTCAGTAACCGATTTCAACACGGCCCGGGGCAGACTCATGTCGGTAGCCCTCAGTAACAGTCAATGCCGAGAATTGTTCCATGTTTGGTCACTTGTGGTCAGAGTCTCCCCGAGTCATTGCATGATGGAGTTTGGCGGATGCTAAGATGGAGCAGAAGCAACAACGAACTGAATGAAGCGAACGAAATGAGCGGGGAAAATCAACCATACCTTAAAAGCTGCAGTAAGCAAGGGTCAATCTACCATTATCGATTCGGATTGCAAGTTGCCCTGGGTACGGGCTGATCGCCTTGTTTATCCCAAGGCAAGAGGATTAAGTTGGTGATGGCTGGCAGGATGCCTTGCTGGCGAAGTCTGTGGATGACTCCATTGTTAGTTGGAATCCTTAATCCTTGACTTTTCATGAAATGATTGTCGGAAGATCGCCTGGTAGAAACCGTGATCGGTCCTCAAAATCGCTAATCACATGTGACAAAAATGAGGGTTGGGGAGTCGGTATCGTTGCTCATACAGGCAGTAGCTCGGTAGGCGTTCTTCTGCGCCATTGGAATGAAGAAAGCATTGTGGTGGCAGAACTGGGCCTGGCCGGGGGCTGTGCCGCGCGCCAGCGGCATACCACGGGGTTCACAAGGAAAGCCGATCTTGTTAGGTACAGTACATACTGTACTAAGGTTAGCTGCCAGTGGCGTTTGTTAGCGCGAGCTGCGGCCTCCAGAACCGCCCACTTTGGAATGGCGGCTGAGGACAGCCACAGCTCATTCTAACAATAAAAGTCGTCCGAGTCGTCCTTCAGACAAACATGAGATTTAAGCACAATCTTCGCTCTCATACGAGAGTAAAAGTGTATACAATACAGAACCAAGAACTCTCACACTCGGTCAAAGTCGCACCAACTTCAACACTTCTACATTCAACCCAACATGGATCCATCATTAGATTCATCACCATCGGCTGAACCAGCCCAACCAACCCTCTCAAGCAGCAAAGACACCCCGGACCTGCTTCTCAAAGACTCAATCATGGACGAAACGCCAGACGGCCACCAGCCCCTCCCGGAGGCTGCCCCCCTACTCAACGCCCTTCTCACCCTCAGCCAGACCCTCAACCCACACATCAACCATGACGTTACCACCAATATCGAAGACGAAATCACAACCCTCCCGCTCTACACAGAAACCTCGCCCTCCCAAGTCCTCTCATGCACCTCGCCTGAAGCGCTCCTCACGACCATCCTCACCGACCACCCCTCCCTAACCACCCTCCTCTCCCTCCCGCTGACAACCTACCCCCTACCACTGCACCCAGTCTGGGGCACCGCAGCCACCAACCCGCTGGCATCCAACCCAGCCCTAACCGACGACGATAAGCAAACCCTCCACACCACCCAACTTCAAATCATCACCACCTTCTACGACGCCCTCGCCGCCCGTGACACCGCCCTCGTGACCCTCTTCATCCAGCACGGCTTCGTCTCTCCCGACGTCCCTTCCTCCATCGGCATGACTCCTCTCCTCGCAGCCGTCCAACACGGCGACGGCGCCATGGTCTGCACACTAATTGGCCTCGGGGCGAAAGTCAACGGCTACGGTTCCATACCAGACCCGAACTGGGCCGACCAACGTCTAGAGAGAACTCCGCTCATGCTCGCCGCCGCGAGAGGGAATCTCGCGTTGGTCAGATTGCTGATGCAAGATTTTGGCGCCGACGACGGCATCATTGCGCCTGACGGACAGCTTGCGCTGCGGCTGGCGGCGGATGCGGGACACAGGGAGGTGGTGGCGTACTTACCCGCGCGGAGAGGGGGTGCGTGGCGGAGGTGGAAGGCGCATCACGCGATAGCACTGCGGAGGGTGAAGGCGGCGGGGGTGAGAATATGGTGGTTTTTTAAGGTGTTGGGTTGGTGTGTGCCCAAGTTCTTTGTGTGGGATATCCCGAAGCATGGGCTTGTTAAGCCAGCGTATGCGGGATGCAAGTATTGTTGGGAGAACAAGCATCGGTTTGGGGGTTGGTGTAGGAGGCAGGTGGTGGAGTTTCCTGGACGCGTCAAGAGGGCCACCAAGGCGGTTTGGAAGGGGGTGAAAAAGGTGCCGAAGGTGGCGTGGAGTGTGATGAAGGAGATCCCGGAGGCGATCAAGAGGCTGCTCAAGTGGTTGTGGAAGGTCATCACTCGCATCCCCTCAGCCATGAAGAAGATATGTGTGTGGATCTGGGAGAACTTGAAGAGGATGGGAAAGGCGGTGGGACACGTGTTCCTGCGTGTCGTGTCGGTGTTGCACACAGCTGGCGCCGCCGTGCTGGACTTCTTTAGGAACATCAAGCTCAAGGATGTGTGGAGCGGGGTGTGCGACGTCTTCGATGCCATCTTACGCGGTCTGCCGCTCGCGATATGGAAGATCATCACGTCTTCCGGGTTTGTCGTGGCTGGCGTCATCATCGGCCTCTTTGGATTGGCAGGGAAGCTGGTGGTTTTCCTGGTTCAGGCACTGTGGTACGTCGTCCAGTACGTCCCGCGGCAGCTTGGGGAGATTCTGGCGGGAATTGGGACCTCGATCGCCAACGGATACCACGAGATCATGGTCTGGATCAACCCCAAGCATTAGGGCTATTTTTCTTTGTCATGGTGCGGTGATCTTACTTGATACCCCTTGCAACGGTGGGATAGACGTCTAGTTTGTTATCGCTCTTAATACTGCTAATAAAGTCGAGTCTCGTCTGATGTGCTACAAAATGCTTTGCCTGAATGATTAGCTTTCGAGGCCTACGAATCCGACTCGAGCAAGGGGGCGACATCTTGGCTGCTCCATTGTTGTCATCAACCCAGTTGAGATACATCTGGCTCCAATCTCCAGACCCATGTTGTACATGTGTGAAGGAAGCGGAAGTTAGTCGAATGATGACCCAGGTCCTCGCTGTTGTTCCAGCCATGACTGTTCTAATCAGAGGACGTGCTGGTCATCGGATTGATTTTCACTCTCCTCTTATCTAGTATGAGGCGGCTTTGATGTAAGTACTGATGAAGACTCCATGGAAGATAAGATACCCCAGCGCAAACCAGAACTCCCGTGTAGAGTGGTGTCACCGCTCATCCAACTCCAGTCATCAACTCACCCACATCATCCAAGAAACCCGCTGTTTCCTTTCCCATCTCCTCCTCATCATCATCAAAAAGAAAAGCCAAATAAGAGTTCGGATCCTCCAGAAACCACTCTTCTCCCTTGGCATCCGTTACCTTGACCACAGCCCCAACCTCCGAAGGCTCCGTCTTTGTCTTGCACCAAAAGCAAGCTTGTGGCCGCCAGTACCCCTTTGGATCCGTCTTCAGCGCGATCCTCTTCTTGTTCTGTCTCACGTCGTGCCACCGCCCAGGTGGCCTGTCGAGTCCACGTAATATTCGTCTTCCCAACCACGCTGACGGCGGCGGCGGTGCCGGCGTGTCTTGCTGATTCTGGTACGCTCGTATTCTTCTTCTTCGGGGCCCCGGGAGGGCTCTCAGAGCGGTCCTCAAGAGGGGGCGCTGCGCTGTGGCGTTTGCACGTCGCGGGGAACGGGGGCACCTGTGCGTCGCCGTCTTGAGGCATGCACGCTTGGGCGTGGGTCCCCTGTGGCGGTGAGGAACCGAAAAGCTTGGCCGGGGGTTGAGGAGCGGCGAAGAAGGTGGACCACTCGCGTGGTAATAGTCTCGAGGTCCGAAGAAAGACAGGCTGGCTGCGAATTGCGGTCTGGGTCGACGGCAGGAGCCTGAATGGTGGACGCAATAGCCGGAAAGGAAGGTGCACCGTGGTCAGCGTCAAATTCAGTCGCCTGAGAAATGGGCGAAGTAGTCTGAGTTTCCTGGTTGGATTGCTCGTCAACCATTTGTCCATGGCGTTTCCTCCTATCGTGATGTTTGTGATTTCTGGTTTTTGGAGAGGACCTCGTTACCGAAGCGCTCGCTCCCGATTCTTATTTCTGACAGAAATGGAAGCGAGGTTGATCGGAGCGGCGAAGCTGAGATCTGCTCTTTCCAAACGGTGACAAGTTTTAACGTTATGTGTAAATAAAGCTGTTTGTCGGTGAAGACGAATAGGACAGGAAGTGAGGAACGGCAAGAAACCGAAAGAATATGCTGTCTCAATGAGCCAGCGAGACGAGTCGTGGAACTGGTGCATTCAGACACCACGGAAACTGGGCAAAATGTAGTCGGCACGGATGAAATGGTATTCCACGGACAGGTGGGTTTGTTGAAAAAAGCAACTAACGTTAGAGAGATTTGGTGGCTGTGCGAGAACTGAGAAGCCATTTCGATTTAATGCACGAAAACCGGTCTCTACGACTGCCAATTACGCTCTACATGATAAGAACTATTCCGTCTGAATCGAATTGCAATTGACTCCCGCGGATGGCATCATACATGAGATGAGGAAAGAAGTCCAGGACCTACAGGCTGACACCAGTGAAAGCATTGAACAGAATTGGAAGGGGCAGCGCGATCCTAAACGTGTTGTTGCCGAACCCTTCTTCTCGATTTCGAGATACTTTGTAGTGCTCAGACTTAGGCATCGCCGCGTGTAGAGTACAGATGTCGACTTTCTTTTGCGGTTCAGTGGCCAAGGAAGGCCACGAAGACGGGACTTTGTATACTGGAATTTGTCACTGGCGATTCTACTTATATTTCGCTATGTCCGTAAGGATCGTTTGCTTGACGGTGGCCTGCTGCAAGTAGGAAGCCTGAAATATGTACTGGCTAGTAATTGGGTGCGTAACCAAAGGTGATGCAAATCACAAACTGATGGTCACTCTTTCCGAGATGGCCAGTTCAGGGCATATTCCAGGCACGAAGAAGCAAGCGTGAATGATGTACCCGACTGCTGTCCTGTGGTTATCTACGTACACATGCAACAATATTGAAGCCGGTCCTTAGTAGCTCATGTCGGAAACACATGCTCACGATCAGGAAGTGTTTGCAAACGCCGGTACAGATTCGTCCGCTGTTAACTATCTCAGTCCAAGGCCACACTCACCACAGGTAATCATGACAACACCTGGGCGTTGTCTCGGCATCCCTGGGCCTCGGCAGTGTCAACCGCTTCCGCTCCTTACAACATGAGACGAACAGCACGCCAAACATTGCATGAATGTGCAGGGAAAACAACTGATCAAGAGTCAAACCAGTCTCTTCCTCGTACACCGCCCCAGATGCCATGTGCCATGCCAAGCCCAGCGGCAAGACAGGCGGGATATTAAATCTCTACAAACATACGACTCTGAAACCCACTGGACCACGGCCCAGGCCGCGGCCCTCGCTCATGCAAGTCAAGATTCCTTCCATAAACCTGACATGTAGGTATGCCCGTTCCCAATCCCAATGCGTTTCCTACCCCTCCCTCCCAGCCTCCATGACCCTCCTTCTAAGTTTAGACAAGATCGGTTTCATCATTGATAAGATGACAGACAGGTATAAAGGAGCCAGCCAGTCAAGGTTGGGGCAAAGTACAAAAACGGAAAGGAAAGGAAATCGAGGTCAAAGTGTCCAGTGGAGGATCGATATAATAGAGGAAAAAAAATAGAAATTATTCATATTCCACCAAGCCACCCAGAACAGGTATTCCCGACCATTTTCAATTCCAACCCACCCATCCACCACTCAACTCCCTGCACCCTTAGTAGAATTTGCCGCCGTCCTTCGCGAGTCCCAGCAAGGGAGTAGAAGGCACAAACAAGTGTTGCCATCCAATCCACGGTTCAGCAATTTCCTCTAACGTCCCGCCCATCCATCTGTGACCAGCCCAGTCCAATGGAAAACGAAATGAACCCCCCTCCCTCCCCTGGTTTCATTCATCCCTTCCCGCCGTTCACCGAGAATAAGCCCGGCAACTCAACCCATACCTAACCCACACCCTTCACGGGCCGGAAGGATGGGGAAGAAGCAGCATAAAAATGCCAAGATAGGTCAAAAAGAGATCGCTTTTGAGTTATCTGGTGTAATATGCACAGCCCGATTGTGACAGTCAATATAAGAAAATAGGAGAGCTGAGAGGAGGACACACCGTCACACAGATGATAGGACAGAGAAGTAGAAAGGAGACAAAAGAAAACCCTCGGTTGTTGAGTTCGGCGTCGTCGAGACGGATAAACGCTGGCGGTTGTCGAAACGTAAATCGGTAGGGCTTGCCTCCATGCCTGCGTCTTAAGCTGGGCTGGCCCCAACGCAGAGCTCGCTGAATGTGACGCCCGTACGGCTGGGGTTAATGAGACATCGTGATGTGGAATGTCGTTCTTGTGGAAATTGTGCCCCTGATCTTGACCGGGTCGCCTGCATGGGGCAGATTTAAAGCCTCGAGCGGAATCTGCAAGCATCGGGGGGTTGGAGGACACACTCCGGAGCTGTGTCGGAGTTAAGGTGACGACTCGACTTTTACCGTCGTTTCAGGCGTAGATTCGGGCAGGGCATTGACACCATATGGGACCAGCGTTTCAGTCAAATGCCGGATGTCCACCCGCCCTTTCTCATCCCGAAACTGACCACCTTGATATGACGCTATAGCTGCTTCTTCCAGGCTTCCCTAAAACCTGGAGGGCTCGGCAGGCCGGTAGCCGTTCACCCTGGGCGGCTCATATTGCACGCCCGTCATCGACTCGGGCCCCGTGTGTCCCGTGGGCGACTGCAGCGACCGGAGCGGCGGTAACTCTGGGGGCCGTGGCCTGCCATACTGCTCCTGCGCGTACTGGTCCGCAGCTGGCCGGGAATGCGCCGCCCCATGCATCCGATCCAGCTCTCGTCGCAGCAGTTCAATCTCGTTCTGCTGCGTCGCATTGATGCTTTGGAGCTGCCGGATGAGGTCGTTTTGTCGTTGGTGCTCCGAGATGGCTTGATAACCGGTCAGCGCACGGGACAAATTGCTGAACAGTGTGGCAATACTAACCTTTGGTCAGAATTTCCCACTTCGACGCCTTGGAGCCTCGCTCTTGGGGCATCAGATCTCGCAGCTGATCAAAAAGCTCCTTCATCTCAGTGCGCCGCTTCCGCTCGGCCAGCTTGTGGCTCACACGGAGCTCGGGCGTCCGGCTGTACGGCTGCGTGCCCGTGTGAACGCCCGTCTCTTCGTTCCGCAAATCTCCCAGCTGCTTGTGTTGCAGCGTGTGGTGGTGGACTGTGGAGTATTCGCCGGACGCGTTTGACAGCCTGTGGTAAGGGTCCTCCAACCGCCTTTGTCCTGGCGGGAGCCGGGATTCGGTCGTATATTGGCTGCTGGCAAAAGATTCGGCAATGCTGCTCCTCCTCGAGTCTATCAGCGACGGAGCCGCGCCGGAGGGCATCCTCTGGATCTCTTCTTCTGGGAAAGCCCATGCCTGGCCCTTGGTCGGCTCCGCTGCCCGGGCGATCTGGCTTGTGGCTGGTCCGGTAATGGCTGGTGCGATCCTCATCGTCTTGGGGTGCCCGTCGGGATTGCGCTCGGCACTCGGTTGGTACCCGTTCGAAATACGGTGGACCGCAAGGTTATCAAGACCTGGTCGCGTGTTTCGGTGCTGCTGGAGTGTTGTGTGAATTGATGTCGTCGACGGATTGTGGCTGGCGTAGGGCGAGTTGCCCAACCTCATGTCGTGGAAGCCCTGGTTAATCCTGCTGTCAACGCTCTCCCTTCTCGACAAGGCCTCGTCCCCATTCAAGAAGCCGGCGCTGTTCGGCGCCGAGTCTAGTGATTGTGGTCGGTCGAAGCGCCGGGGATCGGCGCTTCCGGGCGTCGTGGGAGAGACCATCGAGGCCACGCTCATGTTCCCGTTGCTGGTAGGAGAGACAAGGGGCTGTGGCAGTAGATGGGATGTCGTAGTGGGTGAGGGGGTCTTGTCGACGGGCGAAGGCTGGAAGGCCGAATGGGGAGGGCTCAGCACGCCGATCCCAGAGGCAGCTGAGGTGTCTGCGACAAGTAGAGTAAGCCAATTGGTCAACGGACACCATTCAGAGTTTGCGGGAGACTGAACGTTTGCTCGATGCATCCGTACTGGAGAAATAGGCCGAGTCACGGTTCTCCTCCGGTGAGTTTAGAACGCCAGCCAGTCCTGCTGGGAACTTCTGAGATGCCGGCCTTTGCTGCTCCATGTTGGCATTCAGTGAGCGGATACGTGGCGGAAGCTGCCCAATCCACCCTCTTGACCCGAGTCTCTGGCGGTTCAAGATACCAATAAGCTTCGGTCAAGCCTCGGCCCGTGGTCCAAGACCAACGCAGGCGCCGAGAGCGGAGCAACGAAATGTGAGTTATTGGGCTCTGTGAAGCTCCGTGGACGGCCAATAGGCGACGGGTCGCGAAAATGAAGCGGATCGTTGGGGGTGTCAAACGGGCATTGAAGGGACGCAGATGTCGAACGGCGAGTCGGCGGGTTGATGTGCAGAAGTTACAATGCCCGGGTGCGCCCCGACCGGTTTGGACAGCGTGGTGGTGCGTGGTGGTTGTGGGCGGATGCAATATCAAGGGCGGCGCTCCAAGGGACTGGGGGGCAAGACCTCGAAGCATGAGGGACGGGCCAGCACGTTTTTCAAAGCAGCCAGCATCTGGCACACAAGTGGAAAGCTGGGGCGGGTCGCTCGCGGGTGGGGAGCGAGGGGGTCAACGAGGGCCACGATTGGCCAGCAGAGCTGGAATTGATGGCGCATTGCATCCACCCCAGAAATCGTTCCTTTGCAGCCACATGGTGTTGTCCGCATGGTCTAGGATCTCGCTGCACATGCCTCTAGCACGGACGGCGCGATCCAGGGTGCCAGCCCGCGAAAAGAGGGCGGTGACTGAACGAAGGTCGCACTGTCCGTCGAGGTACCTTACTCGGGCCATACCCCTCCCACTCTAACCGTACAGGGCCGTAGCCGCGGGCCGAAAACGGCAGGAGCTTAAATCCTAGAGTCAGTCAGAGAACCAAAGAGATGGTCCAGGCCGGTGAACTTCCGAAACCTCGCCTCGTCACCGGGTACGCTCCTGTGGTTGAGGGATGCGCTGACTGTCATCTAGCTGGGATGAGCCTGCCGTTCTCCCGTAGCACCCTCCGCCTGGGGTGTTCATGATCTGATATGACATACCGCGATGCGACATGGAGAATCGACTTTCACCGAGTCTCCGGCATCCTCAACAAGTCTGTCTCCGTACCCGAGGCGTTTGCCCAGCTCTACTCGATGTAGTGAAAGCGCATCTCGCGGCTCGCTACTCCGTACAGCATAGGGGGTGTCTGCCGTCCGGGTGGGGCCCCGGGCCTGCGACGACAAAAACGAGCGTGCATCGTTGGTCGAGTCTGGGAGCCGCAGGAGACATGGCAGCGGGAAACCGATCCTCAGCTAGCTGGATCACATTGTGAGACGGAATGCAGATTGCCCAAAACAGGAGAGTTTGTGTTCCCTTCAGCGGGCAGAGAAAGACGTAATGAAAAATTGCTTTGGCACGGACTCGGGAGAGTCGAGTCGTGCGCATTTGGGACGAGATGATGGACACTTCAATTCCGACTCTCGGGGTAACACTGCTCGGCGGCCGTCCCGTGCAGGGCACAGCGTTTATTTTGCACCAGCCTAAGCTTAATAGACGGGGAAAAGGGCGCATTTAACTACACAGTACTATGCACAGCTTAAGCTGTCGACAAAGTTGGCGATGACAATGTTTTACAGTGCGAGCTTCTGGAATACACACGGAGTGTGCTCAAAAAAGACGACAAGGCGACGCCGATCCTGTAAGATGTCAGAAAGCTAAGTACGTAGGACATCCGTATACGCTTCTTCTATCGTACAGTGTGATTTGGAGAGCGAAATGCTAGAATCGGCCGGCATGGGCACACGATTTCTGGTCAGCGGTTTGTAACGACAACCCTTCCATTATGTTTTCTGCAAAATGCAGCTTATCAGAATCGTGAGCACTGGTCCACAGAGCGTGGCGTTAGTGTATCTGTAAGGAGGAACAGTGACAATCATCGACACAGGGGCCCGGGGAGGCGGGGTAGGAAAATGTCGGCGATATCAGAAGTGACGTCTGAAATTGACCAGAAGCATCGCAGAAAACCGCCAAGTGGTTCGTCCGGCCGGCCATTTACCTTACAATTGTCCTTGAGCTGCTGGCCCTACAATCGAGTGCTTCCGCAATCAAAACCTAGATCTCATCCCCCACTTCGTCGGGTATACCGTAACCCAGGCAGTCGAAACTCGCGGACGGGACCTCCAACCTCCAGCCGCGAAAGGAAATGTAAGGGTACCTCGGTACCTGCCTGGAATTGGGCCGCTATCCCTTCGGCGCTATTCCATGCGGGCTGTACCAATTATTTGACGGGTCGGCTCGAGTTTGACCTCTTCGCCCCGCGGCAAAACAGTTTCAACGGCACAGCCATTCGCTATTTCTGGCTCATCATGACAATCGCTACCCAGAAATCGGACAGCGGAGCTTGCGCGTTGTCACCAAGTGTAGTTGATGAACCCGTAAATACCAACAGTACCTACTGACAGGCAGTCAACAGGACCAGCCTCCATCAAGGGGACCATCCGGCGTTGCAGACTTATCATCACCCATAGATGAGTGTAAGGTACCTTGTACTGGGTTGGTACGACGTGGAATGATCCGTTGGCACCCGCTGATTCCGGGCCTCGGCCTCTGACCAGGCCTTCTGGGCAACCCAGGAAGCGAGATTCTCATCAGATATCCAACAGGGATGGATGGCAGCTGTCCAATGTGAACAGGGACAAATAGCTGAGATGATCTGCATCTCCACCCTCAGATCAGCGCTGCAGCGGCAAAAGGGACACGGAATGCGACGACCAGACAATTCCACCATGAGAAGACCTTGGTCTGCCCTCGGAGTGAAAGGCAAGCGATGCAAGGTACCGTACACAGGCAGCAGGCACGGAGCATGGCCCTTGTGGTAGCTGGCGATCCGGGGATGCAGTATTCGCACTAGCGCCGAGTCTCAGGTCGCAGCAACCCCACACAACACGCTCACATTCCCACATTTTCCTGCCAGCGCTCGGCACGTGTCGACAAGGGAATGAATGCCCAAATCTCGGCCAAATACGGGCTTTTGCTTTGAGCCATTCCAGCAAGAGTGTGTCGTGGCAGATCGCCCCACTCCCTCCCGATCGCACGTCTTTCGACAACCTCCACGTGTACGGAATACTTTACTCCGTACCAGGTAAACCATCCACAACTTCCAACCAGCAGTGTTTGAAGGGTGCGCGGGTTCAACCTCAAAAATACCTATCAATGTCCTCCCGGCCATCTTGCGAGAAGTTCAGTTAGTTACACTTGAACTTGCGCCTGGTCTGCTGTGTATCGACCCGGCGCGGGGTTCCCATTCTGGAGCATGCTGCATGCATGCCCTCTGCATCGCTACACAGTAAGTTATCTAGTTGATCCAGGTCGCATACCTCGAATCGACGCATCGTTCCCTTCGTCGCTGATCTCAGTCCATCAGGTACCTAATAACAATGCCATGCCAGAAGGCTATCAGGTTTTCCTGAAGCCGAACTCGTTCCTAAGAGCCGCGGCCGCTTCACCTTTCAAAGGGTTGCAGCTTGACAATCTGCGCGCAAAAATGGAAAGCAAGAAATATGTCTCCCTCTCGTGGCGTCCCAAAGCCTCCTCGCCATGCCAGGGCCCGTGAATAGCCACAGAAAAAGCATTTTTACTCGCCAACAAATGGTCCCCGAGTCGGCGACGCTAAAACAAATTTGCTGCAAAAGGTTTCGATAACGTTAACTGCTCTCAACCACAACGCGGCAAAGTCGCCCTCCCAGGCCCCACGCGCTATTCGAAGCAAACATGTACTTCCTTACCCCTCGGCGGCCGGTCCGTGACGGGGCGGGTGTTGGCATGGGAAAACCAAATGCGGCGCTTCGATTGCGAAGCGGCCTCAGAAGCGCCCGATGACATCGTCCACGGGCGAATTCGCGATGCCCATTGCAAATCGTTGCGGCAGAGAGCCGCGAGGCAGAACCACCCGCTTCGCGCTCCATCCTAACGCGCGCTTTTTTGTATTGTCACAGGCTTTGCTTAACAACATCCTCTTTCTTGCCTGTGGTCAGCTGCAAGTTTGGCTGTGTCAGCGGTTGGCTCAGCCCGCAGGCAGCCAGCCTGAAGTCCGTGGCAGGGCCCTGTCACGCCCGGGGCACCGTTCCCGCAACCCTCCCCGCGATCCTCGGCCGCACCGATGTGTTCCTCCGGGTTTCACATGCAGTCCAGTGAACCCAGCCTCTCTTCTAAGCGGCTGAGATGGCTAAGCTCAGCCAAGACTGTGACTGATGCTGCATTGGAACTTGGAATGGACCTGAATGAACAGGACCAATGCCTCGAGGGTTCTCGACAAGTCTCCATCTGATTCTATGCCCACAGCGCTTGCCGTCATCAACCGCGGGCTAACCGGCCCAGCTCTCTCCCGTCATTGGGACCGACATGCTACGCTTCTTGGTTGTACTGGTGCGTCTGTTGCGGCTTCTGCAGCAGCCCGGACGATGGGTAGGCCGACTCTTGCGGCCGACAGCATCGGTTCTTGCGCCAGTGCGCCGTAGGTGACGGTTCCGGTCGGCTACCCACTGCTGATCGCCTCTTACCGACTCCCGGGGCCCCGATCGATCTCACGGTAAATTTTGAACTATTCCGGCCATCATGCAATGTTCCGCTTCAGTCTGTCCTCGCAGCCCGAGCCAGCCTCTGTGTCCTGGTACACAACAGGCGCATACAGCACCTTTCATCTCTTAATCTCTCCGCTGCAGGAAGACGAGACGTGGTACCACATTCCTTGCATATGGAACGCCGGTTTGGGACCAGCCACAGCGCGCACTCCACACACTCGTGAATTGATCGCCGTGCGTCATTCCTAGAAAGTCATCCCGATTCTCGTCGGCGGTCAGGGTGGTGGATTGCTTTTCGTTCCGTACTTATATATGCGTGCAGGGGCCACCTGATTGCCCTCGAACTCTCATGTCCGTTTTGGATTTGCAAACTAGGATTTTAAGCAGCACGGTAGATTTGAAGAAGCACTACCCGCGTCCACGGCCTCGGAGCCGGCGTTCCCAATGCGCACCACTCGGCATATCGCCTGTCTTGGGCAGTCAATGCATGTCACCCTTTCCACGTTTTGTTTTCTTCTCCCCCTCGCCCCCCCGCCTCTCCAGACCCCGTCTCTTTTGTTCTTAACTATCCGCGGACCGTGGTTGGCAGAACTCTATTCATAGCAAATCACACCGTGAAGTCCCAACATCCAAGTCTAGTTTTATCTTCCACCATGACACTATTTCGCTACCCCCGTGCATGATATCACGGACACACCGACCAGGTGATGGTCCCAACGTACCGGGTCAGCGGCGTTGGTCACAGAGGAAGAAGCACCATCATCGTGGCCATGTTTGTCGGGTTTCTCCAAGGCACGTGGAGACACGACTTCTGCCACCACCAACGCCATACCACCGTCGCAATGGCTGGCGTAGAGGTGAAACAAGCCATGAGACGCGGCTTGCGCTTGGCATCAAACCTCACCCTGTTGTTGCCTTGCCTTTTCTTTTCCTCTTTCTTTTGGTCCCAAGTCATGCAACACAAACCCGTGGCGATGTCCCAATGCCTGTGCAACGTCACACAAGGTAGGTAGACCTCAAGGCCATGGACCACTACGAGTACGTCTGTACATCGTTAGCACATAGACGCAATGCTGTCAGCTTAAAACTGGTTCCCTGCCTTCTTGTGGATATGTTATTTCTCCCTTGACCCCCTCACAGGGTCAACAGGAGCACAAACACAGCACAGAGCACAGGAGGATGAATATTAATTACAGAGGAAAGCCCGGAGTGGGAATTTACAGTTGCAGTTACGGTTTCAGGCAGCACACGCACGGCGGCGGCAAACGACTTGTGTTCAAGCTGCCTCATTGCCCTACCTGAATTAGTTGTCGGTAGTTGCGGGCGTAATAAAGCCGGGAGGGAGCCCGCCATGGTGACCGCGCGCGGGAGCCACGGGGTGTGTTTTGAGTTGGCAACAATCGCAACCTCAAGTTGGGAAGATTCGATCATCGACAATATTGGATATCAGACCAAGGCAAAATAGGTAAGTGTACACTGAAGATTGCCTGTAATATGGGCAGTCGGACAGACTGCTGCGTGTGTAATTTGGATGGAACCGAATACCAAGCGGCGACCGAAGACAGTGAGAAAGGCAGATCTTACACTTGTTAGGTCGTACCAAACACCCTGGCCTATAATTTCTGCTTCAATATGCTATTCGGCCGCCGTTTTAACTATGTGTGCCTGGTCGTAGCGGTTGTTCGGGAGCCCAGCACACTCATAGTTCTCCAGGGCCGTAATCTCACGGGTGTATTCGCGAATGAAGAGGCACGATAATCTTCGTCTTCTCGTCTCAATTCTTATCAAGTGCTTTCATAACCGTACGGAATGATCCCCATGGCAAAGTGTAACTCTTGTGTCAAGTGACTTCAGACCCAGGAGGAGAACAAGGCGGCCACATTGGCGTCCAGGGCAGCGTGAGCCGCAAATGTAGGTTGCGAGCGAAACATTTGCCTTCCATGAAAATAGCGGCTCGGAGGGTGAAAGGAGGCGGGAAAGCAAAATACCATAATTAATTCGTCCGGATACATGTAATTAGTCCAAGTTGTTGATCCTTGCCATGCGTTGGAGGTACGAAGGGCCTCCAGTGGCATGTTAACATAACAAAGGTACATGTAAGATGTGTCCGACCTACTATATATTGTATACACAGCGGACGGACGTTGAGTTCCTCAGCTCACAATAGTATCTTGAGTACATATATGATCAATGGTGGTCGTCACCTTCGGTTGTTTGTGAACGGTCTCCGGGAAAATCTTGCCTGAGCCCGGACGGGCCAGTCATTGCTGGATTGTGAGGGTGTTCCATGCGGACCGTCAAGCTCATGAATTGGGGACCAGAAAGATCAAGGTGACCGGACACTGCTTTAAATTGAAGAGGCATCGTATTCGTCCACAGAGTATCCTGAGGACCGCCTACCTCTGGTTTGATTTTTTCTTTGATCACAGCTCCATGTATCGAGTCCGTATGTCCCGGTACCACTAGTCTGTTGGGGCTCTTGGTAGTTTTCGCTTAAGGTATGAACCTCGGAGCAGTGCTAGCACTACTCGGGCCACTTCTATCCATCAGAGGAGATAATGTTAGGCTGCAAAGAGCAGTCTCAAACAAAAAGGAATGAATCAAAACGATTGAAATTTTGAATGGACAAAAGTTGCGCCAAGAGGGAATCGAACCCCCCCCTCAACCTTGGAAGGGTTGAATCCTAACCACTAGACCATTGGCGCTGGAGTGGCGATTTCAACGGTAAACACAAATAATATGGATGACGTTACCCTAAGTGAACGCGCGAAATCAAACGACCTTGATTTCTTAGAACTTGCACAGGGAATGCACCAATGAGGGGAGTAAAGAAAATCTTGAACTCTGGCTGGTGGGGTTCATTGGCGTTCTGAATAGTGCTCAGGGTTAGGGTCATGTGAGTAGCCGGAACGCGATAAGCTGGTCTTGGCAGGAACTCTCAAATCGCGGACACGCTCGAAAAAAACTGCTCGCCCGAGCACTTCTGTCGCCTCAAGACAACCATCAGCCTTCCGCCTACCCACCCTCCTCCTCACCACACGCACAACACAAAATGTATGTGCAAGTGCTAAGTGACCACTCCCATTCAACATGCAATTGACCATGACTCAGGCATTCTCTCCGCCGCGCTGCTCTGAGGTCCGCTCTTGCAGCTTCGAGGACTGTCTCGACTACCACACGCATCACTCCTTTAGGCGCCCGGGCTGCTACAGAATGCAATGCTGCGAGAATCGCCTTGCCCCAGTCAGCTCGCTTCTTCTCACAGACGGTGCGCCAGCGATCCGACGACAGAGATTTGGAAGAAGCGCAGCGCAAGGCCGAGGAAGACTTTGACCGCCAGGCCGCCACGGATGCTCACCAGGATGTAGAGGTACCGTTCACAACTTCCACACGAACCAAACACTGGTTAGCTGACTTGGTGCAAGGAATCTATCCGCCAGACTGAGGAGGATATTCAGGAGGCGATGCAGGAGGTCCAGCCCTCAACACAGGGTTCTCCATCCGCCGGTAAGAAAATGCGCTGTGATGTCTTACCCGCATGACGTGAGCTGATTATATCACGAAGCAGGTGCTCACTCGGCCTTCGTCCGCAACATTGTGTTTGAGCTTACCGAGGACCACCTGGTAAAGGCTTTCTCGAAATATGGCACCGTCCAGAACGCCCACATTGCGCGCGATCCCCGCGGTCTGAGCAAGGGGTAAGTTCACATGATGCCCGCGGCTTGTTCGACGACTTACATTTGGGTCCCTCTTGCAGGTACGGTTTCGTGACATTCGCTACCGCCGAAGAGCTCAAGGAAGCATGTGCAAACGTAAACGGGTCCTTCTGGCACGGGCGGCGCATTACCTGCATTCCGCGGAGCCCCGACGACGGGTCATCCGGGCCGAAAGCGCATCGGAACAGGAGCATGCCCAGGGCGCCGACCAGCCAGCTCTTCATCGGCAACATCCCCTACGAGACGACCGACGCGGAGCTCAACCGACTTTTCAAGGGCATGGATAACCTCAGGGACGTGCGGGTGGCCGTTGACCGCACTACGGGGTGGCCGCGGGGCTTCGCGCACGCCGATTTCACGACGGTCGAAGCGGCTACCGCGGCTAAGAACAAGCTGGAGGGTGCTATGCTGGGCGACAGGCGATTGCGGATCGACTATGCCGAGGGCTATCAGAGAAAAGGCGCAGACTTGCGTTCACGCCCATCCGAGCCGCGCGACAATTCTATGGAGTAAAGGGGGAGTGCCGTGCTTTGTTTCGACAGGAAGGTGGGCGGTCTCTCGTCACCAAGGGTCGGAAGTTGATGGCCGACGTACATGAAAGCTGTAACCTGTAAAATCATCTGCGATGTGCTGTTTCCTGGTAGCATAGATGTATAATAGTTCGGGATCTCCAGCCAGACCGGGACTCGCTTTGTTGTTGGGGCGACGCCGACAATGTGTAGACGGTGATGCGCAAGGCGACCCCTGGCTTCGGACAGGCCACGGCAGTCCAAGGCACATGCTCGGCCGGAGTGGGGCTCCGGCACCAGCAACCGCGAATTGGAGAAGAGAACCCGCTGCCTCGGCTTAAGTTAATATCAATCAGGTGGCGGGCCTTGAACAGCGGCCCAAGCCCTCGGCGGCCTGACTCGCATGTTCCCGTCCATTTCATCTGCAGCATCTCGTGCTCCCTGAAGGACAACAGAGCCAGAGCTGGTGCCTTATTTCGACCCGACTTTTTCTATATCAACGGACTGTCGACACTCGGGGAGCGACAAGATTCAATTCGTCTCACCTTACCACTCGTCATTTGTCAGCCCCGCCGTCAGTTGCTCGACTCGCCCTTCCGTTCTCTCGACCCTCGCTCTCCTCCTGTTCTTTCCACAGCAACCATGTCGTTCCTTGGAGGCGCCGAGTGCTCAACGGCGGGCAACCCCCTCAGCCAATTCACTAAACACGTCCAAGACAACAAGAGCTTGCAGCATGACCGCCTTGTCGGCCGAGGGCAGAATGCCATCGGTAGCTTCAGGAGCGCGACCCACAATGCTCCCCAGGATGAGGTACGTGTGGGGGAAGACAGAGCTGAGTTAGACAAGCGCTAAAGCCTGCTTCGAATTAGATGATGAATGGCTTCCTCCACCAGACACCGGGCTTACCCGAGATACCACTTGAGCAACAAGGGCCCATGGGCCAGATCCACATCGACCAGAATCACGGCGTCCACCTCCGCGCCCGGTCCGGTTCGCCCCTGTCCCCCGGGTGGGCTCCTCCAGATACCCAAGCCGCCATGGAAGCCGCCTTCAACATGCCGCCAGGGACCGAGTTCAGCCCGGAAGAGTTCGCCAAGTTTCAGCAGTTGAACGGCTCCGCCTCGTCCACCGCCATGCCAGGAGCCAGCGGCAGCATGATGGCGCAGCCTCAAAGACCGATGATGATGGGCGGCATGGGCTACAGCATGATGTCGCGCCCCATGTTTCAACCCATGTACAGTCCCCAAATGCAGATGGCCCACCAGCAACCGCAACAAGAGGTCCAGGGAAAGGGGAAGGAGAAGGTGGTGGAGCTGGATGACAATAAGTGGGAGGAGCAGTTCAAGCAGATGGAGTTACACGACCGGCAGCTACGCGAGGAGAAGGACGAATCGTTAGCGCTGGAGCCCGAGCTTGACAAGATGGACGAGCAGCTGCTGCACTCCGAGACGGGCTACGGCGACCTCGAGTCGATATGGCGCGGCATCCAGGCTGAGCAGGAGGCCATGAAGGACCTGGAGGACATGGAGGAAAGCTTTGCCAAATTCGATAGTTCCAACTTTAACACTGACAACCTCAACGACTGGGGACTCAGTAACCGCCTCGGCGCTGACCCGGTCATCCAGGAATACCTTTTCGAGGAAGAAAATCTCTTTCAAGATCAGCCCAACCCCTTTGAGGAAGGCGTTCGGATCATGAACGAGGGCGGCAACTTGTCTCTGGCCGCCCTGGCCTTTGAAGCCGCAATCCAAAAGCAACCCGACCACGTCGACGCATGGGTCTACCTCGGCAACGCCCAGGCCCAAAACGAAAAAGAAGAAGCCGCCATCCGCGCGCTCGAGCATGCCCTCAAGCTCGACCCGAACAACCTCGCCGCCCTCATGGCTCTCGCGGTATCCTACACCAACGAAGGCTACGATAGCACCGCTTACCGGACACTCGAGCGCTGGCTCTCGGTCAAATACCCGCAGGTTATCGCCCCGACTGAGCTCTCGTCGGTCGCCGAAATGGGATTCACCGACCGCGCCCAACTCCACGAGCGGGTAACCAACCTCTTCCTGTCGGCCGCTCGCCTCGCCCCGGACGGCGACCACATGGACCCGGACGTGCAGGTCGGCCTGGGCGTGCTCTTCTACGGCGGCGAAGAGTACGACAAGGCGGTCGACTGCTTCCAGGCGGCCCTCCACAGCTCCGAGCTTGGCACATCCAACCAGCGCGAGCAGATCCACCTGCTCTGGAACCGGCTCGGCGCTACGCTCGCCAACTCGGGCCGCTCCGAGGAGGCCATCGCCGCCTACGAGAAGGCCCTCGCCCTGCACCCCAACTTTGTCCGTGCCCGTTACAACCTGGGCGTGTCGTGCATCAACATTGGTTGCCACGCCGAGGCCGCGGGGCATTTACTGGCCTCGCTGGACATGCATAAGAGCGTGGAAAAGAGCGGGCGCGAGAAGGCTAGGGAGCTTCTCGGCGGGGACGCGCCCGACTCGCGCATCGAGGCCATGACGACGCAGAACAGGAGTACCACGCTCTATGACACGCTCCGACGCGTGTTTACCCAGATGGGGAGGAGAGATTTGGCTGAGAAGGTCGTGGTTGGCATCGATCCGGACGTGTTTAGGGGCGAGTTCGATTTTTGACGCGGGCGGTGATACGAGGGCGAGCAGTCCGCCTCCTCCTGCAGACCTTCCCGGTGGCGTCGGCCGTGGTCCTCCTTTGAGCGGGTTATGGGGAGGGGTGGAACGGCCGGTGAAGGAGGAGCGGTCTGTTTGGTGTTTGAATGGGGTGGGGAGGTTGTGGGAGAGGAGGGTTGTGTTTCGATTTGGGGTGACTCTGATCCTCTTTTTGGCTGGTTGCTAAGTTACAGCCTACTCATACCTCACCTGCCTAGGTGGGAAGCGAAGCATGTGAGCGTACTTCTACATAGAGGTGAGGGTCGTCGGTATTGGGGTATTGGCATTTGTGTAGGTACATACAAAACGAGCAGCTTCAAGCGGTAGGATACAAATGTCGGAGAAATCACATGGGCGGTTTGCCATGGCTACTTCAATTCTGTCTCTTACGCCGTGCTTCCGGGGGAAACGAGGTTTGTGGGAGTGCCTGCCGCAGTGACTCTGAAGCAGCGGGCGAGGGAAGGCAATTGCAAGGCACATCCCGAAGCTGAATGGCAGAACTTGCACTGCGATAGGGAACAAGCGAGGAGTGTTCATTCATGAACCATTAGAGTCCGGAAGTATCATGCCCATGGATTCCGACAAGGATTTGAGCATATTGGATATCTGCTTGAGGACCATCCACCTCTAGGCCCTACGAGAAGTTCTATGACTTGATTCAGAACTCAGGCAGCGTAACATCGCGTTGCATCACATCACGGCTACCGTGCCCTGTCCCTATCACCCCTCCAATACTCCAACGCAAGGCAGTCTCTAACCTATCTGTAAAGCGTCGACCTCCCAAGCCACCCTCTCGACAACGCAATCCGACACCACCAGTACCATGCCCTAGCCCTCCCCCGCGAGTCTCCAACCCAACCGAGCGAAAGCCGCCACCATGTCCGCGACCCCTATTTGACACCGATAAAACCGATGCCGCAGCGCGCGGCGCGGACGGCCCTGCGCAGCGCCTGGTCCTCTTTGTCAGTCCACTGCACGCTCAGCTGGTCCCACTTGGAGCCGGGCATGTTGTACTCGCGGCGAAATTGGGCCTGTAACGCCTGCAGCCGGCTCATCTCCCGTGGGTCGCCGGTGCCGCTGAAGACAATGAAAGCCGTACATGGCGGGAGGGCGTCGTAGATGCGCTTGAGGCGGTGGGCCAGGGTGGTTAGGCAGGTTTCGAGCGGCGAGGCGGTGCCGGTGGCGGCATTGGGGTTGTTGTTGTCGTCGTCCGAGGACGTGATGGTGGTAGGTGCAGGAGGGCCGCGCGGTCCGTCTGCTGCGGCGAGCTTGTTGCGGTTCCACCAGCCTTGCAGCGCCTCCAGCTCGCGCATGCGCGCCCAGACGAAGTCGACGCCGCCGCCCGGGACCTCAAGGCCGTCTGGGTCGCCCTTGACGGCGCGGATGATGCCGGCTTCGACGTCGGCGTCGGATTGGCAGGAAATGGCCACCGTGGCCGCGTTGCACGCGCTTCGGGTGACGTCACCCCAGTCCACGGCGGCGCTAGTTTTACCTACTGGCAGGCCGCCCGTTGCTTCCGGCCCCGCGGTGGCGCGATAGGCGGTGCCGGCGCGAGCCAGGCGCTTGAAGAGGTTCTCACCTTGCACGTCGCCTGCTGCCCAGGCCTTGCCCTTTTCGCACTTCTTCTTGACGAGGTCAAGGCATGTCTTAGCATCCTCGACGCTGTCGTGCCCGTTGATGGTCCCGTCGCCCTTCTGGACCTCACGGTTGAGATATTTGAGGGCTAAGTACTTCAGAGAAGACTTGAGCGGCGGCCCGCGCGGGTGAGGGAAGAGGATGGAGGTGTCGACGATGAAGGGATGGGCAAGCCGCATCGCTTTCAGGTCCGACTCGAGCGAGTGGCCTACGAGAATTGTGCGCGGGGTCAGGATGTCAAGCAGCCGGGTCTGGATGTCGCTCAAGGTAGTTGTGACGGGGTCAAGCATCTCCTTGGTGATGCCCGAGAACCGAGTCACGTAGTCGATGATGGGTCTTTCTGGCTTGACGAGCTCGTCGAGAACAACCTCACCATCCCAGGATACCAAGCTTATTCTTGTCAGGGAGTATTCGGTCTGTCCTGTCATGCACATCTCGCAATCGAGTGCCAAGACCTGCCGGCCCGCCGTGATGCTTCCCTGCTCAATCTCAGCCTCGGGAACGGCACCGTCGTCGAGGCTGCTGACTCTGGTGTGAACCCAACCATCTGGATCCTTGAAGTCGTCCCTTGGCGCTCCTTCCTTGAGCATGGCTGGGTGTTTGGGGAAACCGTTTTCCATGAGCTCTTCTGGGGTAGCCAGGAACTCGGTGATCCTCGTCCTCTGGTCTTTCCAGCCGTGGGGTTCGATGACTGGCTTGAGACCGCTCTTCTTTTCCTTCAGCGGGGCAGTGAGCATTGACTGCATTGGAGAGTGCAGCTTGGCGTACTTGTCATCGCCCGGTGCCCTCACTGGCCAGAGATGCTGGAACATGTCCGCGAACGGCTGTAGGGGTTCTGGCAAAGCGCCTTTCTGGAGAACGCGGGGGTAATAGTCATCTGGAGAAGCAGACATCCTGTCGATCGCTTGATCTGGTGTAAGGTTGCTGTACTTGGAGAAGTCTACGCCCTTCTTGAACATGGCCTCCTCGAGCCCCGGGACCATGATGGTGACGATCTTTCTGAACTCTGGACGGTGCTTGACGGAAACCCACTGAGGGGCCGGGCCGTCAGCGAAGATGTACAGGATCAGGTCGCGAAGAGACGAAACATTGATCTTGGACTGCAGCCTTGCCTGCTCCGAGAAATTGATGCCGGGGTACCGACTCGAGGCGGCGCCGGGGATTTTCTTGTGTTTCTTCACTGGCCGTCCGCGCTCGATTGTCTGCCATCCGTCGTCATCGTCGGCATCGTGGGGACTGGGCCGTTTGAGACTGCCTGACGACTCGGACGAGACATGTGTCTGCGGGGAGGCACCCGAGTCTGCAGACGTATTTGCAGCACTAGCCTGGGTGGCATCGACGCCGTCGACCTCAATTTCGACAGCCTTCCCTTCGGCGCCATTTGCCGTCGCAAGGGTCGCCATGGCGGCAGCAATGCCGCGGCTTGCCCTGTTCTTTCTGTTCTTCCCCATGAAAGGCACAACACGGTATGCACGATTTGGTTCGGGGCTGCGGTGTATCTTGGCTCGATCAATGGATGAAAGGTCGAGCGTTGGATGGAAGCAGGCAAAGTTTAAACGAAGCCTCACACGATGAGATTGCAGATGCCAAGACGCTTGGAGGGGCAGTGGGACAAAGTGGACTCCCTGGAGCTAAGCTGGTTTGGGGTAATAAGAACCTTGATGGCCAGGCAGGTGCTTGCCTTGGTGCACATTGGATTCAACAGCTCCTGCCTCGATTTGAAGTTCTGTCTGAGCAATTGGATGGTTCAATCCTCAGGATGTCATCACCTTTCAGTTTGTGCAAGCATGCAACGCTCAACAAGCACCGAGAAACTCGTAATCCCATCACAATTCTTCACCAATCTGGGTTGGCATATCGGAGGCGAGCCGCCTTGCCTCGCCCACCTACTCTTTCCACACAATGGAGACAGTGTTTTGCGAATGCAAAAAGTGCGGTGCGCCAATTGGGCGATTTGTTAATCTCTGGACTCAAATCGGCAAAAGTTACTTCAGCCCAGTGGTAGAACCAGAAGACGACTTGGCCATCCAATATCATGGTACAATTAGAATCGGGGAGCAAGGCACGTTGGTGGAAGGATGGTCAGTCCTCTTGTTCTCCTGGTCAGGTCCAGCCTCTCATATTAGATTATAGCCATTTACAAGACATCATCTGCCGCGGCTGTGCAGCTCTCCTGGGGCTCCGATGCATCCAAACTCCGGTGAACCATGTTCTGGATGAGTGCGTTTGCCAGACGATTCATCCAGCACCGTCGCTGACATGTTTTTTTAGGAACCAACTTCTCCTAAGGCTTGCTTCCGTAGACCTGCTCGACGGCGACGGCCAAGAAATCGAGTTCGCCATCAAGCGAGTTCTCAGTGTCAACGAGCCTTCGAAGGTGAACATCAGAAAGTGTCCGGATTCAACTCGTGGAGCCAATTTTGCTTCAGTCGCTTCTGCAGCAGAACTGGAGCAACTGCAAATTGACCTGCACATCCAAAGAGAAGACATCAAGCGCATCGATAGCAATGGCTTCAAAATTGTCTCGGCTTTGGACAAGAGGGCAGCCCGCGTTGAGGGCGAAGTCACAACGCTGAAAGGCACAGTTCCCAGCATTCAGCGTGATATTGGGAATCTCCAGCAGGAGCTGGGGGGGATAAAAACAGAGATGGGACAGCTGAGAGAATCTGGGGGAAATGCAACTGCCATTGCAAGACTCGAGGACCGGCTCACCTCGGTGACCAGCAATCTTGGAGAAGTGGGACTCCAGCTCGCCGCGTTGAACACGCAGCTTCAGAAAGATGTGAGCGAGCTCAAATCCGAACTCAGTCGGCAGCGACAACATATGGAAGACTTGAGGTTGGAAAACAGGAGCAGCGTGGTTATTGACGATCATACTCAAGATCTTGCTGCCCTTCGCGCCGAGATGGCGCAGCTGCGACGGCAGCTGGACGAGACTCGCTTCCAAAGCGTTGGGCGAGGCGAAACAGCATTTCCTTCCAGGGAGCTTGACGTGCTCACAAGCAATATCGCCAAAATTGGCAACCGGGCCAGCCTGGTCGAAACCTTACAGATGGAGGTCGAGATATTGAAGGGCAGGATGGAGAGGGCAGAAGCAAGCAGGCGAGCAGACGAGCGTCGGACAAGCCGTCATGTCGAGTCGGGGGACTTCCCAGTATACTCTGATATCTTCCCAGGCACGCGGAAACGAGCGGCATCGCCAGGCGCTGGCCCTTCCCCCAAGAGGCCTGCCTCCTCACTAGGCTACTCAGATTTTTCAGATCGACGATACGCCACTTCCGCTGTATGGCCTGCCGTACAGCCGACGACCAATGACTTTGAAGACGTACCGGCAAATCTTGGGACAGCCCAGACGCCGAACTCTGCGAGAGGAGGAAAGAAGCATCGCGGGGCAGTACAACCAGCACATCGAACGGTGTATCCACCCGTCTGAGAAAACGATAATTTGTTGAGCATGCGTGCTTATTTCTTGATTATGCTCTCCCGGACAGCATTGCCTCCAAGGTCTCGACTGCAATGGAGGAGAGCGTCTTGATGGGTTTGAGGACCTGGTTCTCAAAGAATGCCGCACACTCAGGATCATTGGGATCCTTCGCCCATGCTCGAAGCACATTGGACTCTTGCTCACGTCCCTGGAGGCTCTCGACATCTTCTAGCATCGACTTGGCTTGCTGAAGCACGTCCCAATCCTCCGCGGCCCCGACAGACGCGTGTCGGACAACCAGCCGCAGCAGAGCCTCGCACATGCTGACCTGATCGGACGTCGCAAGTGTGCCCACGAGCCCCTCATGCGTGCACCTAGTGGCAAGCGCGCCGCTCGCGGTGAGCTCTCCGGTCACGGCCAACAGCTTGACGATAGCTACGATGCCCTTGATCCGCCAGGGCATAAACGGCGCCACCAACTTGAAGGGGTCGCACTCGGTGGCGAGGCAGCATAGCAGCGGGAGTGCGTACACCACCATCTTGTTGCTAGTCTGCCAGCGTGTCGCCAGCTCGAGGATGGTCGTCGGCAACGGCTCTACCGCCCACATCCTGGCGTCGATGAGTGGCCTGCACAGCTTCCACCGGGCCTTGGCGAGCTTCAAGTGGTCTCCCTCATCATCCCCTTCTGGTTTTGCCAGGGCCTGCCATTTCTTGTAGATGGCCTCGATCTCCACCTTGGACACTTTCGACCTGTCTATCGGTGGGTTCCGCAGCTTTTCCAGGTCCGGCTGAAGACTGAATGAGTTGAGCGGTATGTCAGGCGAATTTTGGCAAACGTCGTACACGTCGAGGTCATCCTCGCAGCGGAGGCAGTCGCATCGGAAATGGTACGACCTCAGAGCCTCATGCCTCGCGGCCTTGGGGAGGGTGTTGTCTGTGAGGAGTCAGCGAGCGACCAATGTCCAAGTACACGATCAGACCTACCAATGTACGAAATGGTGATTTCCTCTCCTTCTTGAATTGGTCTCTCTGCCCTCAACACGGCCGTCCGCTTGTCAAACCCAATGAATGCGTTGGGCACGCACGAGTGATTCACCATAGCCAGTCCAGCATCCAGGAAAATTCCTCCCATCCCTGTGTCCGCGTCCAGCCGGTTGAAGGCATTCGTTTGTATCTGATGTCCTCAGCATTCCCATACAGTCAAGAAAGTAAAAAGGGAGAACTGACCTTACACAAGATCTCCCTCGCCTTAGTAAGCACCTCCTCCCCGTCCAGCAACCTAGCATACACCGCCGCCGCCGCAGTCTGCAGCTCAAAGTCCTTCCACACCTCCCCATCCGCCTTGAAGCCCTCCACGTTCCCTTCCAGCCCAGACCACTCCCCGTCACCGCCGCCCTCAAACGCCTCCCTGACAGCCGCATCCCCGGCTCTCAGCATCAACAGCACCTGCGCTACGGCCCGCACGGGAGTCGGCAACCAGTCCTTGCCCGCCTGCTCCCGCACCCGCGCAAACATCTTGCACTCGGCCTTGTGTACCGCGCGCCAGTGCGCGCGCTGGCAAGTGGCGTTGCAGTAGACGGCTGCTTTGCACCCTGTGCAGGCCTTGAGCTGCTGCTGTCCTCCAGAGACGGTGCCGGTGTCGGCGCTAGGGCGAAGGCAGTAGTTGCAGGTTGTGCGCATGGTTGCATTGTCTGGGAGGGCGAGGAGGGGGTTCGAGAAGGTGGCTAATTGGTCACCTGGGGAGAAGGGGCGGGTGGCGGTTAGGGAGCGCCGTTTGCCCCGGTTCGGGTGGGATGGGTCGTAGCGGATGCGGATGCCAGGGGGCAGTTGAAGCGGCATGGCGGCGGTTGGGGTGGGTGGTTGAAGTGAGTTGTTGACGAGGGTCGTTGGTCAAGAAGTGCAGGATTGCGGTTGGTTGAAGTCTGGGAGAGCTGAACTGTGACTTTGTCCTGGGCCTTTGTAGAACTTGAGCTTAAAGCTCGGGGATCTTATCGTGCGGGCTGGCAAGTCAGGCAACTATAAGAAACAGTAAGCTGAACGTGAGCTTGTGAGTACCCGGTTATGTGATGAATCCAGGATGAGATAGCGGCACACCATTGTGGGAATACGAGCTTAAGGTCCAGTCAACGGGGTATCTTTGTAAGCAGAAATCATAGAATGCGAACACGCATGAAGGTATTTCTCCAGAGGACCAATTCAGAAAACAAATTAAAGCAGAAGAAAATTCGAGTAGTTAATGCGAATCGCCGTTACCAAGCGCCATAGATGGGTCAAATCTTCTGGGTGAAAAGAGGGATGTGCTGGACTTCCGGTTATCTGCATCTTTCTCATTCGCAACCCGATTCTTCCACATCCTCACCAAATGTGTCGTCTTGGGCAACACACGAAATGCCCAGCGAGATCCACCTTAGCTCCAGGCGCACCCAGTGTTGTGGTGAGGCGCACCACCCCACACAGCCCAGCGGTTCGTAGCGGGGCAGCCACGCCTTGTTTCTTGAAGCATCTCGGCAAGGGTTTGTTGGAGTCCGACCTCATCCTCACTGTCATCTTTCTGAATCCTATTTCTCAAGTCAGAAAGGACTTTCCGAAAAAATGGCCAGTCGTGGCAATCAACAACAACAGGGGGAGGCAGGTCAGTTCCATTTCCGGGTTCCTGGCCCAAGATCCATCCGTCCACAGCGAGTTCGCGACAAACTCGTCCGCAAGAGCCCCTGTATCACTGTAATACGGATTACTGACACGCATTACAGTCGACCTCACCACCCTCACGGCCCAGCAGCTCAGCGCCGTCAAGAAGCAGCTCGACGGCGAAGTAGAACATCTTTCGAGCTCATACGCCCAACTCGCTGCCGCCCAGGCAAAGTTCAAGGAGTGCTTGCGGGTAGTCAAGTCGGGGTCATCAACATTTGACAGTGCGTTGTTTTCTGATACACCAACCCTTTGTCAATCGAGAAAATGCTGACAACAAAAACAGAAGACAAGTCCATCCTCGTCCCTCTCACCAACTCGCTCTACGTCAAGGGCCAGCTCGCAGACCCCGACCGGGTGCTCGTCGATGTCGGGACAGGTTTCTACGTGGAAAAGGTACCATATAGACTCTGTCTGACTCAATTGCAATCCTCGCTTCTCGTTTGCCGTTTCTTTATCCTTTTCGTCTTATAACTTTCCTCTTCTTTTTCTCTTTCATTTACTGTTTCGCTTTCCCTCCCCGCACTCTCGCCTTTTTCCCGTGACCCTTCGCCCCACCATTTCTCTCCCCCATCCCTTCTCTCACCCCAAGGTATCATCACCCTTATATCTTTCCTACCAGATCCCTCCACTTACCGCCGGGATTTATCAAGCCATCATTAACTTGCATTTTCCCTTGAACATCCCCCACCTGAACATGTCAACAGGGTAGAAGGGAGGGCGGAACACAGGAAAAAAAGAAACCGTATCGCTGACAGTCAACCCTCAGGACACCAAATCAGCCTCGGAGTTCTACGAAGCCAAGATCAAGGAGCTAGCAGGTAATATCCAAGGGCTGGAGGGTATCGTGCAGGCCAAGACGAACAACCTGCGCGTGGTCGAAGAAGGTCAGTTTCTTTCCCCTTTATTCCTTCTTCCGTCACCCACCATCCCCGCAAAATGTCCTGTATGTGTAAGCAATTTTAACGGAAAGGCAGTCCTACGGCAGAAGGTGTTGGCACAAGGGTCTGCAGGTGGCGCGGCAGGACAGGCATCATGACAGGAGGTCACTCCAGGAGAACTGGACGAGGCTAGAAGACCCGGGATAGCAGCAAATACCGTTGAGATGCACATTATCGATCTGTACTGATCGTGTCGCAGGTATTGAGGGAGGGAATTCGCTTAATGTGTTTTCTCGTGCTTGACAGCAAGCCATCGCCAATAGAGTACAAATAAGTGACAATACAGCTCACTTCATCATCCTCAATCGTCTCCCGCACCCCAAAGTTGAGACGTCTCCGAGAGGACAAAGATGAATCCTTCTCCCCCAGCGAAAGCAAATCATGACAATAAACGTGGAAAGAAGACAATCATGATCTTACACCCCCATCCTCCCCCCCCACCCAAACAAACCTCCATCTCAGCACCTTCAAGCAGTTTCGTCCGCTGTCTGCTCGTTGCCACGGGAGGCACCGTCCAGCCCTTTATGGATCCAGTCGACCCACAAAAGGAAGTGGTCCACGGGCCCCGCCGCCTGGCCGCCAGGAGCTTCGTCATTCTCAGACGGCTTCAAGAAATGCTCCTCGAAGCTCTCCTTACACGGCCGAGGAATCGACGCGTCAGAAGACATTTCGTAATCCCAGTCGGGGCTGTGCAACATCACAGTTGCCGTCGTAGCGCGATCTGGCAATGACTTCTGCTTCTCCAAGTCGTAGAAGAGGGTTATGTCCAGCGTGTATTTGAAACCCAGACCGTAACGAAGCGTCACCTTTCCGTGAAGCTTCTGGATGTTGTGGACGCGCAGGAAACTGTCCGGGATCTTGAAGTAGGGAAATCCCTCTCCGATCCGTTCCCCGGTGAAGGAAAGATTCTTCTGCAACTGGTGGACGCCGAAGGGAGGCGAGGCCTTGGTCGCTTGGTCGGCCGCAGTCTTGTGGATCTCGACGGACCAGTCGTGACCAGACTCCGGGCACACCATGATAAACTCGGCAGCTCGGTGTTGCTTCTCCAACTGCTGAACCTCCAGCGGATCGAGGCTGTACTGAACTCCCTGACCGTTTCTGAACCTCTGCGTGCCGACCCTTTCGAACTTGGACTCCAAGACGAGGTTCTTGGTAGTCAGAACTACCGAGTAGGTGACTGTCGGTTCACCGTCCTCGCCATTGTCTTCTCTCTTGAGCTTGAGAAGCGATTGCAACGTCTCCGGCAGCTCCATGTTTGAGTGAGAGAACCGATCCGCGAGAGCCTTTGCAGCAGCCTCGGAGACTCTGACGGAGGATCAGCAGCTGTTTGCTGGAGTAGAGACATGAGAACGAAAGCTTACGTGTTCAGCATATGAGCAGTGCCTCTCGTTCCAGCACGGGACATGAGGTTCTCCAGCTCCGAGAAGTCGTACTCTGTTTTGCCCTTCTTCCACTCGTCGAGGACGAGGTTACCGAAGTGCACTCTCATTTGCATGCCGGTTGGATCGTGACGCAAGTGCCCGGATGCCTCGTTCAGCATCTTCATTAGAGCCTTCTTGTAGTCGGCTTTCGTCTTGTCAAGACCAACCTGGTTGGTGGGCCTGGGGTTCTTGCTTGTCACAGCGGTGACGCGGCGCCCTGTGGCGCCCTCCTTAGGCTGGAGCAATGCCGTGAGGCAGTAGCTTCCATTCTTCGGAGGGTGAACCACAAGTCGGGCTCGCCACAAGCTCTCCTCGCCTGGCCGGTAACTGGGAAGAGTTAGTCAATTCATCTCAGTTGAGAGCGCATCTCCAACAACCAGGACATATTGAAACAATTTCCGGACGGCGGAAAGAACTTCGTGGGCCCTCGCCCGGTTCATCGCCATGACAGTAACATTGACAGCGGAGGTGCTTTCTTCTGCCTCGACCTTGGCGTCATGTTCACTCGCAATGCGAGCGAGTAGAGTCTTGACGTTGACATCGGCGGGGTCAATATCCTTGAAACCGCGCATCGGCGCGGGCCACGATAGATGGACCTGCGGAATTTAGAATCAACTGAAGACGTGTCTGAAAGTGGACTTACAGTGACATTCAGCTCTGGCGGCGGCTTAGCCAGGACCTGGTCGGCCCCGGAACTGTAAACCTTCCTCATCTCGGCTTCATGTCGCTTATCAACCTGTCTCTTGAATTGCGACTTTGGATGAACTCGCCGCGGAGGTGCGAGGAACTTGGGAGGCGGCCAAGCCAAGCTCTGGGTTATCGAATTGTCACGAAGGTCGCTGTTGGGAGTCAGTGTCGCTAGGAACGACTAATAGAACCCCAGGAAAGGATGGATCTACCTCCCAACCGTAGAAGAAGGACTGTTGCACAGCCGGTTTCTGAAGTGGGAACAATGTCAGACATTTTGATCAAGTAAACCCAGGCTAAGACCTCCTCGGATCGAAAAAACCAAAGGATGATTAACCTTGAAGATGGTGAGGAAGAGGAAGAGGAAGAGAAAGAGGAAGAGGAGGGGGAAACGGAAAACAAAGAGAGGGAAAGATGTGGGGAGCTCGAAATAGAAAACATTGTGGGCAGACCTGCAGACGAGGGTAAGGCAAAAACGAGCAAGCGCGCAGGCCCTTGCCAACCGGTCTCTGTGTGTTACACCTGACCTAGGGATTAAAGGTTCCGCGACGCCGAAATGGGCCGGAGCGGCCTGCCGAGCCACGACCAGGCGACCACGCCCTAACGGCCCGACAAGCCCCTGAGAACGTGACGGGCCCGAAGGCAAGCATGATGTGTGATTGGAGCCACAGGGGTAAACGGCTGCTCCTGACTGAAGTGAAGGCTGCCATGAAGAAGTGAGCCTAGCACCTACAGAATCGGGAGAGACGTGCCAGCAGCGTCGGCGGCATTATTTGTGGTGGTGGTCGCCTCGGTAGCGGCGGCGGCGGCCTTGGTGGGAGCCATGGTGCTGCTGCCGCCGTGTAGTGTTAGCCAAAGCGCTTCTGCAGAGGAGGTGAAAGGAGTTGCATGAGTCCTCTGAATGAAGGGGAGAAAGGCCAGTAGCCCGAGAACTCTGTGTGTGGCAGAGCTGTTCAAGCGGCTAGCCGGAGAAACCGTGCATGGATAAAACCGAGGCCATTGCTGAGGAGAGATGACCCAAAGACCGTAGAGAAGGGAGCCAGAACCATGATTAGATTGGATCAAAATCAAGCATGTTCGATTAAGCCCCCAGCAAACCAGCCACAGCCCACATGCTGACTGAGATACGTCGGAGTCAAAAACCACGGAGTTTGACAAGAAGGGCGTCGATGACCGGAAAAAAAAAATAGCTGGTAAATAAACGCGACATTGGCGGAAGTATACCCGGACGCGGTGGGATTCTGGGCCGAGGAGGGCCCCGCGGCAGCTCCTCCTCGCTTGCCCTTGGCCCAGCCGCGGTTTCCCCGGCCCTTCCGAGCCATCTTGATGAATTTCATTGTTCTGAAGCTGCTATAATCATGTCATCCATGAGGTCTTCCCCTTGGTGTAGTTGGGAGGGCGGAGCGGCAGGTGGTACATACGCGTCTGCTTGGTCGGCTGCTGGTGGTCGGTTTGTTGGAACTGGGGAAGTTTGAAGCTCGATTCAAGGCGAGAAAGTGCATCAACTAACGCACGGACCCTGGAAGGGAATAATCATTAAACCGACAGATGGCGATGGTTCGGACGGAAGTGGTAGATGGGTACATTTAAGGTAAGTGTGAGCACGGAGGTTTCTCAGGATAGGGACTGGGTGGTGTGCATCTTTCAGATATCTAGCTCAGTTATCACAGGGATGTCTTGATGATGCAAAGGATTAGGGGGGAGCCGCTATATAAGACAAGATGGCACAAACCAATAAGGCGATGATTAACTGATTGGGGCTATTGATGGCTTTCATTGAGCATTAATACCCTGACTATCCGTAAGTGAAAATGGTCAGCATTCCATCCACAACTGGTATTGAGATATGGGACGGGACCATTGCTGGCAAGTAGAGAATAGAATGCGTAAGAGTTGTAGTAATCACCCCTTTGAAATATAGGACAAGCCACAAGGGAGGAAGTTGGTTTACTTTCATTGATGAGATCTATAACATGGGCACACCTTGTTCACAGGGCTGCATCCGAATTGCGTCCAGGTAAAGTTATTTGGTCCCGTCAGTAATTGTAGTCTTTGTCATGTTTCCAGGTTGTCTTAGTCTCAGTTCATGATCAACAGAAAGGGGTCTTGGAGGGTCTCAAAGCATCCTGAGAGATGAATCAGCCGCCGTGTGAGCCCCTCATCCACACCACAGAGACATTTTGCATGACATGCAACACCCACAGAGGCGGATCCAGACTCCTAACCTGGAGGTCTTGGGTTGCGTCGATTCTGTTTCCTGCAGTCTTATTACGGTGGACCTGAGTACTCAGCATTCAGTCGAGTCAAAGATGGCTGCTTGGCCTGCCATGTAATACGTGACTGCTCAATAGGTTAACACTGTCAGCGTTCAAGGGAAGGATACAAACAGTATCTTTTCTCAGAAAAGTTTTTAATGCAGTTCGTTGGTTACCCCTTCTTCCATGTTTACTTTCATTTGTGCGTTGATTACGGAAGTACGCATTGTACCTTTACGGTAGGTATCGATTTCAACAGCCGACATAAAGTAGGTTTATTGAAGAAGAATACTGCAGAGCAACATAGAGCCATCAGGTAGATGCAATGAGCAGACGGATGTCGTTGGATAAAAGCGATGTGATTGTAGATTTCGGTATCCGTACACTGAAATCGTGTATGGATCTTGGCGCTGCCGGTTACCCGTTGCCGGTTGCTGAGGATAAGGGTCTTAATTGATTCGCGCTAAATTCGCGTCCAAGACGCGACACGCTTGGGGTTGAATATTGGCATCCCCATACGCAGGATTACTGACGTTTTGAAGAAACAGCGCTTGCTCCTAGCCTCCGGATGCCTGATTCTTCTAGTACAGCACTTGCGGTCTTGCCTCACCTGCACTGAAAATGCCCGGCCTGGTCAGGCGCTCGAATCGAGCCACAAGCTACCTCCCCGGGGTAGTTCGAGAAGACTCAGACGACGAACTGGGGACCGACGACTATCCCTGGGAATGGATATACGATGAGGAAGTGATCAATGAAGATCCCACGGCAGATAATTGGAGGAAGCGCAAACGGGCGACGGCATACCAGGCCCAAATCATTGGCGCCCGCATGGGCAACTTTGAGTGCTACCTCGGCGACACGGTGCTGCTCAAGGCCGAGGGGAATAGTGAAGCCTGGGTCGGCATAATACGCAACTTCCAGGTCGACGAAGACGGCGAAAAAGCTGCCGATTTTATGTGGTTCTCCTCTCCGCACGAGATCCGTAACCCAAAGAAAAGGACCGACTTTCTCGAGGTGCGTGTCTGTTCTCTCTCCGACAGCTCGACACTTGTTTGGCTAACAAACTGTTTCTTGGGATTCAGAACGAGCTGTATATAACCCCGGCGTTCGACGTCAATCCGCTGACAACCATCAACGGCAAGGCGTACATCATGTCCCAAGCCGCATTCCATGCGAAATACTCGAGCGGAAAAGTGCCACGGAAGTCCAAGGAGGATGGCAAAGTATTCATCTGCCGCAGGGGGTGTAACACACGGACATGCACCTACACAGAAGAGTTCATCTGGGAGGACATCTACCACGGGAGAGGTGACATCGAGACGCTGCATGACCGAATCCGCCAGGGTACCAAGGCCACCCGGAGACGCAAAACCAACAAGGATGAACCGACCGACCAAGACTACAAACTCGAAGCAGATGACGACCGCGAAGGCGACTACGGCCCCGGGACACCTCGCACTCCAAAAAGGACACGCACCAAAGATGCCGTCACGCCGAGCAGCCGACGCAAGCCCGGCAGCAAACCCGCAACGCCATCCTCCCACCGCCGCATCCTCGTCAAAAAGCACCTCGAATTCACACCGCTCGCCACCCGCGTCCTCTCCCCCCAGCACATCCTCTCCTCCCCCTACCAACTCGCCCGCACCCAGCTGCACGTCGCCTCAGTCCCGACCAGCCTTCCCTGCCGCGAAGCCGAGTTCAGCGTCGTCTACTCGCACCTCGAAGCCGCCATCACCGACGGTACGGGCACCTGCATTTACATCTCAGGCACGCCGGGGACCGGCAAGACGGCCACCGTCCGCGAGGTCGTCTCCCACCTCGACGCAGCCGTCCGCGCCGACGAGCTAGACGACTTTATCTTCGTCGAGATCAACGGCATGAAGATCACAGACCCGCACCAGTCTTACTCGCTCCTCTGGGAAGCGCTCAAGGGCCAGCGCGTGTCCCCCGCGCAAGCGCTGGACCTCCTCGAGCGCGAATTCAGCCACCCATCGCCGCGGCGCGTGCCGTGCGTGGTGCTGATGGACGAGCTGGACCAGCTCGTGACCAAGAACCAGGGTGTCATGTACAACTTCTTCAACTGGCCCGGCCTGCGGCACAGCCGGTTGATCGTGCTGGCCGTGGCCAACACAATGGACCTGCCCGAGCGCACGCTCAGCAACAAGATCAGCTCACGCCTGGGACTGACGCGCATCACGTTCCCCGGGTATAACCACGAGCAGCTCATGCGCATTGTGCAGAGCCGGCTGGAGGGGGTTCCGGGGGATATTGTGGATGCCGATGCGGTGCAGTTTGCGGCGAGGAAGGTGGCGGCCGTGAGCGGAGACGCGAGGCGAGCGCTGGATATCTGTCGGCGGGCGGTTGAGTTGGCTGAGGCGGATGCCAAGACGAGAGAGGAGGAGGAGGAGGAGGGGCAAGGGGTGCCGCAGACACCGAGCAAGAAGAAGGGCCGTAAGGGCCAGGGATCACAAGAACCAACAGGAACACCTAAGAAGAAGAAGGGCCCGGCGGGGAGAGTGACCATCGAGACTGTCCGTCGCGCCATCAGCGAGGCAACGAGCAACCCGCTGCAGCAGTACCTCCGCTCGCTCCCCTTTGCCTCACGGCTGCTGCTCACGGCACTCTTGATGCGCACCCAGCGGACAGGGCTAGCCGAGAGCACGTTTGGGGACGTGCTCGAGGAAATGCAGCGGACGCTGAAGCTGGCGGGGGAGAGCCGGCCAATGACACTCCTTGAGCGGAAAGCAGTGGGGGTTACAGATGGAGCAGGGACAGAGGCAGGGCTAATGGGTTCGATGCGGGCAAAGCACACTACACAGCTCGTTCGGCCGGCTGGACTGAGCGCCGCCGCAGTCGACCTCACGGGAGCCGGTATCATCAACTTGGAGGGGCACAAGGCCGAGCGGCCGAGCAAAATGCGGTTAGCGGTCGGAGATGAGGAGGTCAGATTGGCCTTCCGGGATGATCCGGAGATCAAGGCACTTGGTGTGATACTGTAACGATAGCCAAATACCATTAGAGACGATGTCTCAGACGTCTCACGACCTTTTCTCGTCTATGCGTTCCATGTATAACGCTAATAACCAACATGAACCAACATAGAGTCCCTCATTCTCGATTTAAAACTTCCTCCTTGACAATGTCGGCTTCCATTCAAGGGGGTGGGTTTCCGGCGTGGCATTCGGGTCCTCCCTCCAGATTTTGACTGCTTATTGTCAACATCTCGCCCAAGTAACAAACACCAATGGTGAAACTCACTCGTCTTGTCAGCCTCGCCGCATATCAACCTCGAGCCGGACAAATCAAAGGCAGCGCTCATGATGCCCGACTCGGCATCCAGCGAGCCAGGCTGTGCCGTCGTGTCCAGAGCCTGGAACCGATACCCGGACTTCCAATCCCAGAAGCTCATCGACCCGTTATCTCCGCCCGAAAAGAAGACGTTCTTTTCGTTGACCGCCAGGGTGTTGATGATGGCATTGTGGCCCTCAAAGTTCTGCATGAAGGCGCCCTCGGGGCACTTCCACTGCTTGATGCTGCCCGTGCTGCCCGTGGCGAACGTGAACTCGGTCGGATGCGTCGTCAGCGCGCGCACGCCCTTCTTGTGGTGGGTGAGCACCCCCATCGTCTTGCCGGCGGCCAGGTCCCACATGCGCACCGTCGAGTCCAGGCTGCCCGTGATGACCTGCGGGTCCGCCTCCTGGCAGACGAGGTCCGACACGGTGCCCGTGTGCCCGGACAGCACGTGTACGTTGCTCCGCGTGCGCATGTCCCAGACGCGGGCGGCGCCGTCTCGGCCGCCGGTGACGAGGACGTCGAGGGTCGGGTGCAGTTTAAGCGTGTAGACGCCCGAGAGGTGACCGTGGTAGTGCCGGATCTGCATGAATCGTCAACATTCCTGGTCCTACACTTCGCTGAGGGGTTCCGAATGGCTACTTACCACCTTGTTCGTCTCCAGATCCCAGCACTTCACCATCTTATCCTCACCACACGAGAACATGTAGGGATGCCTAGGCGACACAGCCAGCCCGCGTACCGTCGAGATATGCCCCGTCAGCGTCAATCGCAAGTGCCCCGACGCCAAATCCCAGATCTTGATGGTCCGGTCCCCAGCACCCGACGCAAACCACTTGTTGTTCGGCTCCACGGCCAGCGCACGCACCCAGCCCAGATGCCCACTGATGACACGCTGCAGCTTCCACGGCGGGTGCCAGTCTGGCCGCGGCTGCGCAAGCAGATTGTCTGGTCGCCGGGAGAGGCTCAGGTTCTGGGATTCGTCGCGCTGCTGAGTCTTGCCTCCAGCAGCCGTGCTCGAGCCGGCACCGGGCCGGTTGCGGGAGAGGACGAGCGCAGTAGAGTTCACGGCGGCCGCTGCGCCGGCCGTCTTGGCCGCCGGTATTCCCTCTATCAACTTGCGCACGTGCTCCTCAGACTGTGATGGGACCTCATCGCCTGCCTTGGGCTTCTTCTTGCGCGGACCAGCCGCGTGGAGTTTCTTGGCGATGACTTCGGGGAGGGTCTGGACATCGCTGTATTCAGCGTGAAGGCGGAGGGAGAGGGCTGATTTCGTAATGTCGGGGTCCTCAGATGCCAGGCCGGGATCGAGCTTTATGCGCTTGCGGGCGGACGGGTCTGATGTGGTGCTGGCGTAGATGGATTTGGTCTTGCGCGCGTTGTCACGGATCAGGACCTCGAGCCGCGAAACGTCGGCGCCATTGGCAGCTACTTCAGCCATGGTGCCGTCGTCAATGGCTGTCTGGTAAATCAGATGTAATATTATCCTGCTGTTGTTGGTTGCCAACCTAATCGGTCGTCCAGCTCGTCGTGTCGGGTGCTAAGGATGGCGACGGCTCCACTGTTGGCTTCGGCGGTTGAATGCTTTGGGCGGAAGATGCCCAGACGGAAACTCTGCTGTCAGATGTGGCTGAAGCTCATTCTGAGAGCCACAGCTCGTTAATGAAATGCCCGGGGACCCGCACAGTGCCTGCTGGACCCTGCATTAGGTGTGCTGATCCTTGCACCTTCGGTTGATTCTGGAAGGCATCACTTACATGACGTTCAGCTATTAGAGCCCAATACCGCGAAGACAGTTGTTGAAGATTACGACTTCGACTGCTTGTCGTAATACCAAAATCTGATTCACCCAACAACATTCATCTCCCACAAACTCATCGACGCAGCAACCATGGCCGACAAAACTGAAGAAAAATATGCCATACACGAGGCAGCCCGGGAGGGGAAACGTGAGTCGCGTGACAAGTTTGTGAAAGGGAGATCGGAAACTAACAGATTTGTTTCTGTCTAGTTGCTGTTGTGGAGTCTCTTCTACATGTTCGTCTCACCTATGTGTCAAGTATGGCAGCTTGACCATAGAGTTGACTCCATTTTCTCAGGCCAACCCAAAGCTCGCCCAGCTCAAGGACGAAGATGGCCGCCTCCCGATTCACTGGGCCGTATCATACAACCACCCCGAGATAGTCAGCTTGCTGATCAGCCAAAAGGGGTTTGACCCGGATGCTGAGGTGTGTATTCACATACTTTCCCATCCTGACCACTACCTCATCTGACACCCCGGGCAAGGACGACAGCGGTTGGACACCCTTCATGATCGCCGCCAGCGTCAAGGACGGCGACAAGGTGGCCAACATTCTCCTCGCTCGCGGCGCAGACGTCAACCAAACAAGTAAGCCGATCCGTCAACCAGCTCATTGGACACGTCTTCACTAACCCATCAATCTGCAGATAACAACGGCCAGGTACAACCTTCTTACCACCTAGCATCTCCTTCCCCAAATCTAACACTCCGCCCAGACAGCTCTTCACTTCCTCGCCTCGAAGTCCAACCTGGACCTAGCTCGCAAGCTCCTCGAGAACCACACGCCGGCGGCCTCGACCCGTGTCCGCGATAAGCGCGGACAGTACCCGCGTAAGCAACAATCTCCTTTGTTTTTGGACTGTTTATAGCCCTTTGTGGCTGTCTCAGGAGCCATCCTGCTCCCGAGACAGCGCACATTGCTCCCAAAAACTCCTCCAGACAGTTCTAGAATAGGAAATTCACAGCTGACATTGTTGGTAGTGCACCGAGCGGCGGCGGTTGGCTCGGTGCCCATGATCAATCTGCTTATCAAGCACCGCAGCCCCATCAACGCGACCGACAGCGCCGGGCAAACGCCTTTGCATCATGCCGTTGCCGAGGGGCACGGTAAGCTCTCTTCCTTACTTTCTCGCAAGCCATCAGTAAATTGTTTTGGACGTAATGTTATTGTTTATGCGCAAAAAGGAGGTTATGGCTAATGAGATTCGGAACACACAGGGGATGCGGCAGTCGCGTTGTTGAGAGCTGGTGCTGAGACGGACAAGAAGGATGTCGATGGGTTTCTTGCGTTGGAGTTGGCTCCGGGGAAGGACGTACGTTACTCATCCACTCAACCCCTCACTCACTGTCCTAGCCATTGATACTGATGCAAGATATAGGTCCGACGATACATTGAGCGGAAGGCTGAGGAGGAGGGAATTGAATTGTAAACAGGGCTGCTTGAGATTTGAACTCTCGGCTCACGGGTTGGAGCCGTAGCCAGGATAATGAGCCAAAGTAGCATCAAAGCCTGCTTCATTGGTGGTATCTCTCTTCCCCAGACCTGAGCTACACTGCCCTGGCAAGAACTCTCCTCTGGAGCCCTATCAAATCTTACAAGGGCTGCTACTCTCACACAATCCACCTCTCGCTCCCTACTTGATAGTCCTCTCCACCAAATCCCTATACATAGCCTTGACATCCTCCACATCCGCCCTCAGCTCGTCCACCAACTCGCTCTTCTCGCCCAACAGTTCCAACGTAGTCTCATACCGCTCCTTCATCTCCACCACCTCGGCCTCCAGAGCCTCCACCCTCTTCCCCGCCGCCTTGCCCGCCTCCACCTCCCTCATAAGCGCGACAATTTCGGCCCTGGCGTCGTCCCTCTGCCGCGATATCCTGGCCAGCTCTTCCTTGGCAGCCACCTTCTCGCTCTCGAGCCTTCGGATCGCCGCGCTCATGCGCTCAACCAGCTGCACCGACGGCCCCGCGGCCACCGTCGACACCGACACCATGTCCTGCAGCACCTGCTGCGGCGACGCCGACCGCTCGGGAAGCATAGAGCCCTCAAACGCGTCCTCGCCACGCTGGACTTCCCTATCGAGGGGGCTGCCCATGCTGAGGGCAGTCATGCCGTTGTGGGGAACGTCCGGCGAGGTGGGGCTAAAGAGGGAGAGCGGACTGAAGACGCCACCGGCGCTTCCGCTGGGGTTGGATGAGAGGGTTGGTCTGCTCTGGGGCGGCTGCGCCGACGGGCGGCGGGAAAAGCCGCTGGCTCCGGCTTCGCTGTTGCTGGAAGGGGCCGAGACCTTGCGAGCTTTGCTAGTGAGGGCTGAGATGCTGAGGTAGTCTGTGCTGAAAGTTCGTTGGGGGTTGGTTAGCTGTGGTGAGGCGGGACGGCTGTCGGGCTTGAGGAACGAGCCGCCCGGCAGGCCCTCCAACCAGGATCGGGGCCGTTCTGGTTGTTCGCGGAGCTGGCGGTCTTCTCTTTCGGCTTCCCATAATTGTTTCTGCTTTTCGAACTCGGCTTTGGCTTTCTCAAGTGCTGATTCGGCTTCTTCGGCCCGCTTCTTGAGGGATTCGAGCTGGGCCTGGTACGACCTGATGTCTTGTTGAATTGTAGGGATCTTGGCCTTGGCATCTTCCAATTCCTCCTCCTGGCGCTTTGCGCGGACAGCCTACAAGAGTCAGCACAACATCCAAGGCAACAGAGCATAGCAAGACTCACAGCTTCCCTCGCCTTTCTCCGCAAGTCAGATTCCCTCTGCAGCGCCTCATCCCGCTCTTTCTCAAGACTGGCGATCCGCGCCAGAAGCGTCGTCTCGATCCCCTGCCAGTTTTCGCTTGCGATGGAGTACTGTGTTTGTAACGTCTCAACCTGGCGCAGCAGCTTAGCCTGCGAATCGCCAGCGGCACCCGACGAGGCCTCCTCGGCCCGCATTCTCATTGCCTCGAGCTTGCCCTCCATCACCTGTACCTCGGCCTTGAGCTCGAGCTCCAACGCCCGCGCCCGCTCATTAGCACGCTCGGCTTTTTCACGCAGATCGGCGGCTTGCGCTTTGCCGCGGTCAGCGATGAGGTTCTTTTCGACTCTCAGCGCGGCCACTTCCTCTTCCAGGTCTGCAATACGCCGCTTGTCCTGCTCCCGTGCTTGGCTGTTCACCCTGGTCGCCATGGCATCTGCTTGCTCGGTCGCCTTTTGGAATCGAATTCGAAGTTCTGCGATGGTGCTGTCCTTGGAGTGGATTTCTGGCCGCAGAGTGCTGAGTTCTTTCTGTGTCTGATCAAAGCGCTTCTGAAGGTCATCACATGTCTTCTCGAGTTGGTCGGCTCGGCGGGCACGGCTGCGCAAACTTTCAATCTCCTTGTCGGACTTGTCCTTGGCTGCCCTTAGAGAGCCCAGCTCCTTCACATTCTCGGCGATAGTTGCGCGCAGTTTCTTCACAAGGGCACGTTGTTTGTGGTCTGCGCTCGCCAGGTTCTTGCCCTCCTCCATCAGCTGCGCAATCTGCTGGTCCTTTTCGGCAAGCTTCTTTTCGAGGCTCCCCGCCGGCGCAGCTAAAGCGGCTTTTCTTGCCGCTTCTGTGGCTTCGCGCGCAAGAAACTGCAGCTTGGCCTCCAGGGCGTCAATGCGCTCGACATAACCGTGTATCTCCACCTGGTGTTGCAGTTGGGAGTCTTCGAGAGCCTGGTCGCCATCCCTCACCAGCCCCTCGTTTCCGGCGCCCTCAGATGTCGTCTTCGTGTCCGTCTCTGCGTCGGGTCCCGGGAGTGCCAGGGCTACACCGCTTGTTGGGGGTGATGTTACCGGTAGTGATGCTACCGGTAATGTCAGGTCGGCCGAACTACTTGCCCCAGAACCCTCCTTCCCCTGCCCTTGCGCCTCTTTTTCACCATTGACGGGCTCTTCTTCCCCCGCCGCCCGTGCTGGACTTGTATCTTCTTGATCCCTTGCAACATCCTGCGAGCCTCGTGGGGAGGGGGTTTTCCTGGCAGAGTCCTTCGCTGCTGGGCTCGGGCGGTCTACACTGTCAGTAGAGTCGCGGGTCGGCGTATCTAGACTCTGGCGCGGGCTGCCTTGCGTAGATATTGAACTTCGAGCAGCTGCTTTTGCAGCCATGGCCCTTGCAAGCCTTTCTTGAAGACGATCATTGGTGCGGGCGGTCGAGGCAGTTCGGGAGGGACCTGCAAGCAATCCAAGCTGTCAGGAGCAGCACGGCCTTCTCTGGATGGTCTTCTATAGTGCATACCGGGACTCTGCTTAGCCGACGATGCGGGTATCGTTGGCTTGGGCTCCTTTTGTTGCGCTGCGCCTTCGTCATTGTCGGCGAGAATGGTGTCCAGGCGCGCCTCTACTCCGGCCACGGCCTGGGAGAGAAACGAGCCCCATCGACTCGGGGCCGCCATTACTCAGTGACGGGTCGAATGCGTGCCAAATCCGAGTTCATCTAGCCATGAAAGGTAAAATGAATGTGGGCGGCGGCGGCGATCGTCACATCTGATCTGTGCGAGACGAGCGACCTGCGAGAATGCGTGGCCCCTCGCGTGGCTGACAGGGGTTGCTGGTTCAACTGGCTTGCTTGCGTGGCTGGTCGGACTCCTAACGAGGTGTTGGGGCGGTTTTAAGGGAGCAACGACCGGCGTAGGATTGAATTTCTATGACGCATGTCGTCGGCGTCGGATGAGCCCGAGACGTGATCATCTGTTGGCGATGGAACTCCGTGAGCTGTCTTCCAGCATGGTGCTCTTGGCTGAAGGTGCAAGCCACACCTGTATGGATCTGTCAACCGGATGTTACCGTTACGCTAGGCAGTAAAGTTATGAGATTGATCTCGATTGATTGGTGGATGGCTGTATATGGGCCTGGAAACTTTCATCAGAGCATAGACCATGTCCGGTTGAGACGGTGACTTCGGACGCTAATTCCATCGTTTTTCTGGATCAACTTGCACAACTTCGTGCTGAAGGTAGTTGACATTTCGAGGCATATACCTGTATAGATTCCCACACTGTTGTATTCTCACGGCCCCTCTTTCCTGCCTTCCCTTTTATAATCATGATTCGAATAGTGGGTTGTTGAACACGTCTGTGGCATTGACGTGTTCAGACCTTCCGAATGCGTCTCCGACTCTCCGTAATGGAAGTGCGCGGCGTCGATGTCCGAGCTGCCCTGAAATGTACTGAGCTGCTGACACATCCGCCTCGCATGTCGGCCAGGAAGCAACTTCGATTTGGAGGTCCGCCTGTATACATACCTCATGAGAGAATGCTGCATTCGCTGTTCAAGGCTCGGCCAGTCTTCCAATCCAGCTCTCGTCGAGATTTATATCGTCGCTCTTTCTGATGCATGACACCGTTCAGCGACTTCAGAACCGTCCCGTTGCTTCCGGCGTTCCCGGACGGTGGTGCTTTTGGGCCCCAACATCACCCTATTCTCAGATCTCTTTGCCAAACCTGTCAATTCTTGTCCCAACACCGTATTCCCTCATTCTACGCTTTGCTAGGCCAACCATTGGATTCGTCTTCTTTGGATACCCCTCGCCCACGCAGCACTGCCACACACGCTGACGTACGCCAAATCCTTTCTGGTCCTTGCAACACAACCGCCTTCTATCCGTACCTAAGCGGAACCGAGCCGGGGAAGCAAGTTCCGATTGCCCACCTTTCCAACCCTCCGCTTCGTTCGGGCTTGGCTACACTGCGGCACGGCACGGCATCCCACAGGCCGGGGTTCCAAACGCGCGGGAGCATGGCATTGGTTTCGGCGCTCCAGATCCCCTATAGGGAAGCCCGCGATGGGTTCTGGGGGCAACAGACCTCGACTTTGAATTGGTGCGAGGAGGTAGAGATCCCCCTATTTTCTTAATTCATGATCCGAGAATTTGCCGTTGCTTATGAGACGCACAGGACTACAACATCACTTTCTACTGCGCTGAGGTCGTCAACACGCTCACGAATCTGGTGTTCCTCTGGCTCGGGTACACGGGCCTGCGCGATGTGCTCGCATACTCACACTCGAGGATATTCATCCTCGTCTACATGGGGTACATGGTTGTCGGCATGGGATCCATGGCCTTCCACACCACACTCAAGTGTTAGTGTCCGCTCTCCCGTGCGTTGCTTGTGTGGGGTGTTTGCTCGCCTGCCTGATTTTGTCCCCCTGTGCTTGTGTTTCAGCGGTTGACCATTTCATTGTCTTACACCGTATCGCAGATGAGATGCAGCTGGCCGATGAACTGCCCATGATTTACACGGTGTGCATCATGGCGTTTGCCACGTTCTCTTACAGACGGCCGGCGAAGATACAGGTCCTGATTGCCGCGGCGATTGTTGGGCTGGCGGTGTTCATTACGGTTCGTGCCTTACCATGATGTTTGTTTCGCTGGGGGCCCATGGCTGACGGGAGGGGCATGTTCAGGTATACTACCTTTACGCAATGGATCCTGTCTTCCACCAGGTCGCCTACGGCCTTCTGACAGCTTGCACCATTTTCCGCGGCTTCTACGTTATGGAGCGGGACTTGAGGCCGCAGCTAAGCCAACGAGTTCCCGCCGAGTGTTCTCAGTACATGCGCGAGATGTACAAACTCGCGCTGACTGGTTTGTCTCACCCTTTCCTTCGCTGGCTCTTGTGTTTCATGTACCACTGACACGCCCGATCCACGACCAGGCATATTCATGTTCTTGGCTGGGTTTTTCATCTGGAACATGGACAACATCTATTGCCATCATCTAACGACCACGAAGAAGCAAATGCTGCTTCCGTGGGCCGTGATACTGGAAGGCCACGGTTGGTGGCATATTCTGACCGGATTAGGTAAGTCACTTCTTTCATCAATTCCATGGCCTACGATGCTGACTTGGAACCAGGCGGTATGTGGAGCGTTTGAGGCCTTTGGTGCGATTCCGGTTACTGACTGTTGACGTAGCCTACCACATGATCATCTGGAGGGTGTGGTCGACTCGTTGTCTGGAGGGCAGCGAGAAGGAGTTCAAATTGGATTGGGCGCCTTTGTGGTCTGTTCCTCGGGTTGTGCCTAGGCCTGGTGTCTCTGTGGACGGTTTGAGGGAGAAAAAGACCCAGTAACCCGGTTACTTCGCCCGTTATCGAGACGCCAGAATATGGTCTGAGTGCGGTGGGACACCGAGGACGTCGACTTCGTGAGCCGCGTTAACCTGTGTTTCTGGCAAACAAGCGTATCGAGTATAAGTATAGAATATAGGTATGCAAGAGAAGAACAGGCTTTCTACGGCACCCTGCTGTCAAGACCATGCCTGAGTGAGATCATGAAGGGAAGATGGTGAATATGACAGGGAACAGGCTGGTATATTCCATCCAACATTGCCAAACAAGCTTGACACTGATCCCTTTAAATGATACCTTCAGGATGTCCGAAGGAAATCTTCTCTATTGCACTTCTCCTGCCTCATCCTCCTGTTGGTTCACCATGTGCGGAATATGCTATTTCGCACTGTCAGCGCCCCCCAGCTAAATTTCCCGGAGACCACAACGGTTGGAGAGATAAACACAGCATCGTGAAAGAGCGCTTGCATATCAGCATCACAAGTGGCAATTACGTTCCGCCTCACCTCACCCCACGCCCATCGAGCCAGTTAGCCGGGTACTGAGTTGACTCGGTCGAAACAGACTGCTTCTCAACATGTCAATATCCAATGAGGCGCTGCAAAAGGTAAGCAGAAGTGAAGTCGGGCATCAACCGTCTTTGATATTTCCTCGAGTCCCTTGATGAATAAACCAGGTGCTAATACAGTCTCAACAGCTGGTGAGAGAAATTGAGGCACAATCCATTGCTGCCCAGCAACAGATCAGCCTGGTCCGCACCCAGGTCGCCAGCAAGCAGCGCGAGATGCGGCTGGCCCAGTTGACTCGCAGCGAGATGGCGTCGCTACCGTCTGATACAGCGGTGTACGAGGGGGTTGGGAAGATGTACGTTCCTGCTCTTTTGTTACGATCCGTTGCTCCACTGCTCTGCGCGGAACGAACAGGACTGATGACTCCTTGGCAGGTTTGTATCTGTGCCCATCACAGCCCTCCAAGACAAGCTGAGCTCGCAGATCAAGGAGATCGAGACGGAGGTGGACTCGATGGGAAAGAGGCTACATTACTTGGAAACTACGGCAAAGAACAGCCAAGAGCACATCGAGAGGATGCTCAAGGGCGGCGGGCAATCATCATAGCTCGGGGCGAAGCAGGTTCAGCGTTAAATCGCGAAGGTTGGGCATCATGGGGTTTCACCCGCAGAGGTCGGAGCATGGATGCATTTATACGGCAAGACGGCCCAGCTCCGGGTTGCTGTGCCATGGCGTACACGAGCCCGGTGCCGGGACAGGACTATGAAGGTCTTCGTCTGCTACTCAAATACAGAACAGCTATCTTGAAAATTGAACGGCGGGGTTTTCATGTATATTTCGAGCAAACAAGCAAATATACAAGGTGTAGAAGAGGTCAGGTCTGGTATTGTGGTGCCTTTGTACTTGGCAGGAAGGTTCAAACTGACCCCATTGTGACAAGTCCGATTTGTCAACCAGGCCCCACTGTAAGGATACAGTCCCCCGTAAAGTGGGGATTTTGTGCGTGACCCCAAGCTGACAGTAGTGGACGGATTAGTTCAATTGTTTGTAAGCGCGGAACTACAGACAGGGGTCCTCTCCACGAACTCGAGATTTTCCCCTTCAAAAGCCATCCACTCACTTCCAACGCAGAGAAATTAAGCTTGAAAATAAGCTAAAATGACTTCTCAGTCAACGTAGTGTTTCTTGCAGAGAAATAGGACGTTAGAGTGTTGAGTCTGAGATCTTAGTTCGTCAAGTTAGACGCTAACGAACAAACAAGAGGGGCGGGAGTTCCTGATGCCTGGAGCATTGGTGGGCGGGGCTCGCGGTCTGCGGGGCAGCTCCATGTCCTCTGCTTTCCGTGTCACGCTGGCGTCTAGCTCGCCAAGACAAAGTTCAGACAAAGAGCGTTCCAATTTTCTGGAGCACTTTGTCTATCAGCTGGCCTCAAACCAGTGACTTCATACAGCGCGCTTGTTGATGCCTTTGCCGCCCGTGACGGGTCTCTTTCAAATAAACTTGAGACAAGCTAGCTGAGCACATGCGGAACACCGGACTGCCGCATGGACGGGATTAGAGGGCACCAGAACGGCAGCCTCGCGACGTTTGCTGCCCGATCCATGCTGATCACAAGCCTCGAGGTCAACCACAACGCTGAGACGTCCCTGGTTGCACGCCAAGACGGTCAACCCAGCCCCTCAGCTAGCCCTACATGGTCCCGCATCATGACGGATGGCAACGGCGGCTCTCTCACGAACAGGCGCTCGCAGAGAATACGGGATACCGCAGCCTTTGGCCCTCGCCATGGTTATCTAAACTGCGGACATGCCTTACTCCTTAGTCCGTCCCTTCGTGCTCTGCGACGCAATGGTGTGCGTTTTCCACCCGACAAGGCTGAGCTCCCCCGGTCCTGATAAGGGTTGTCCTTTCGGGTCCTGGGACTCCTCCCATCAGTGGATTATGGGTGGAATTCTTGTTGGTGCCAGCCGCCGCCGATGCATCCTCCAAGCTACCAGCCGCCGGTCAGCTACGCCGCTGACATGCGCTCCTCACCCTGACTTCATGGGTTCACCCGCAAGGATCCGGCCAACCGACAGCGGCCACAGTGGAAAATATGGCTCCGTGCCTTCTCAGAGCCTGGAGCAGTACATGTACCAACATGTACCGTGCTCCTTGTGGTTAGGCACTGCCAGATTGCCATCTTGAATGGGTCCAGATACTTGTAAGTCAGCTGGGCTTGGCTTCCGTTACCCATCCCACACTGTACGGACATCCGGTCACTCTCTTGTCCCTCCTGATTTGCCCCGTGTGCTCGCAGCTAATGCAGCCCTCATCCTCACCTGCCGGAGGGGTGTCATCCTCTGCAGTCAGTTCTGACCGCCCGCCGAATAAATGGTGGGTCACAACCCCGCTCTGCTGGCGGCTTACCATCCCTCCTGAACCCCTCCTGTGCGGCACTGCCATCCTCCCTTCTTCTCTCACCTGTCCATTCTGGAAACTTTGAATACTCGGCTCCTAAAAGGACAGGGCGTCAAGGAAAAAGTCTCAGTATTGGAGGGCCCGAATCTGCTTCCGCCAACGCTCAACAGAGTCTTATCAGCTCATAGGTCGTTATATCGAAAATCACCTGAATTTGGCCGTTTGAGTTTTCACCATGTCGTACTATTCGAGCGACGAATCGTCAGAGATTGTACATAGAACAACAGTTCGTGAGCACAGACGCTCGCCATCACCGTTCCGCCGGCCTCCGCCGCCTCCTCATCACGGTCCGGGCCCGCATTTCATCCAGACCGTCACCAGAGATGTGCGGGACCACCGGCCGACAGGCTACTATCACGACCCCCGCCGTCCCGATGAGCGCATGACCATTGTTCACACGCGGTCCCGATCCAGGGAGCGTCGATCTCCTCCGGCCCGTGCAGGCCCTCCAGCTCCTGGTGCGCCCCATGTGGTCATCAACCAACCGGTTATTGACCGGCGCCGCATAGAGCGCGACTCAGACTCTTCGTCTGACGATTCGTCCTATGGTTCTTCTCGCCGTCATCGGCGCCGCCACCGACATCGGTCTCGTAGCCGCGCCCGTTCTCGGTCCTCGAGTGCACACAGCAACCTCTCAGACGTCAGGGATAAATGGGAGCTGGAGCGCGCGCGTGAGACGCTTACTGCCCTGCGGCTCGAGAACGAGAGGAAGGCTGCCGAGCGTCAGATGGAGAAGTACAACAAGGAACAGGCGGAACTCGCCTCGATGCGGATGAAGTTGGAGATGCAACGGGAGCGAGAAGAAGAGGAGCTGCGCCGTGACCGCCACAGGGACGAGTACGAGTTGATCCACCTCCAGCGCGAGATTGCGCGCATCAGGCAGCAGGAGGAGGAGTTAAGGCGTCAGAGGGCGCATGAGGAAAAGGCCAAGTTAGCCAAGGACAGTGACGAACTAGCCCGCCTCAAGGCCTTAGAGGAGGAGAAGAAGCGCGCAAGGGCGGCCGAGGAGGAGGCCGAGTACAAGAAATATAAGGCCGAGCTAGAACGCCGGATAAAAGAAGAGGAAGAGGAGAACCGGAAAAAGGCCCAAGAGACTGAGAGCAAGGCCAAGGCCGCCCTCGCCGAGCTGGAGCGCATCCAGCGGGAAAAGAAGCAGAAGGAGGAGGAAGAGCGGATCAAGCGAGAGATGGAACTCAAGAGGCTCGAGGAGGAGAAGAAGGCCCGGGATGAGGAAGAGCGCAAGAAGAAGGAGGCCGAGGAAGTCATCGCCCAGTGGAAGGCCAAGGAGGCGGAGCGCATCGAAAAGGAGAAGAAGGAACAAGAGGAAAAAGAGAAGGAGTTCCAACGTCTCATGCAGGAGCGGCTGATCAATTCGGGCCTCGACGAGAAGGCCATCGAGGCCATCATGAAGAAGGAGAAGATCAAGAAGGAGGAAGAAAAAAAGCGGGAGGAGGAACAGCAGCTCGCTCGGCCCATGTACACTCGCATGCCGCGCCGCCACCTCGACATTGAGACGCTGAGATTCTTCAAAATCGATTTTGAGCTGGATTCAGTATGTCCAGTCGCATCCCCCCTTGTAGCTTCACAGGCGGATACTGATTTTGCAACAGGACCCGGAGTACATCATCATCAAGCGTTGGGTGCCGGAGTGGGAGCAGGAAATGCTGTGGGAAGACACGCGCAAGCGTCGCAGCCGCGGCCCGAAGGTCATGCTCGAGGTCGGTGACCGCCACCACCACCACCACCGCTCTCACTCGGGTGAGTACGAGTGGGTTCGCCCGAAGCAGCCGAAACGCAGCCGCAGCAAGTCGCCGGGTCTGCTGATGTATCTGGCTGGTGGTCGGCCGCGGTAATCTGATGGTGTAAACGACGGTTTGCAATCGGTCTATCTCTTATCATTTTGGATGGATACCCTTCTATGTTGGCAATTTGTCGGCAACTCTCAGAGGCTTCGCTCTCGTTCCCTTTCCACTGTCCAAAACGGGGACTGCCCCCAGCACGGAACCTCGGGCGCGAACTGGATGGACGTGTACGGTCAGGCTCTGGTGGGTTGGAGGAACGATGGGCATGATCATGATTCATCTACGTTTGCGCGAGTCGACAAATTTTCCGGACCTACTGGTGCTTTTGTTTCTTTTCCCGACTTTTGTTACCCAGCCGAACGACTCCTTACGTTTTAGGTCCCCGTCGCCCGGTTGTGACATGTCTGCTCAATTTTTCTTCTTCAACTTGTATGAGTGTCATCCCTACTGAGGATGGCGCAGCTCTCTTGGGTAGACTAAGGTTGGGACCGTGTAGGGTAGTGCAACAGGTATCGTACAGTAAGTGCCAGTACTCTCTAACAGACATCTCTAATGAAACGCCCCTTTTGAGATCAAAAATAGCCTTGCCTCACCAGCAACTCCTGCTATGCAAGCCTCTCTCGTCCTCCCCATCACCAATGCAATGACAATTAACACGAACGCGGATGGGCCAATTTACACTACAATCTATATCCCCTCCTTTGCCCGCCCACCGTCCCAACCCCTCTCAAGGCGGCGGATCAGCTCCTCGTACACCGTCCAGGCCAAGGCCGAGCTCACGGCCTTGCGGCTCATGCGCAGCGCCAGCCCGTCCCACAGCGCGCGCGTCCCTTCCTCGCGCACCATGCGCGCGCTCGCCTGCACCATGTTGCGGTAGGCAGCAGGATGCAGCTGGATGCGCGTCTTGACCGCGTCGAAGGGGTTGGAGATGACGCTGCAGATGACACCGGATAAGATGCCCGAGGTGAAGTTGATGGAAGCCGCGTGCGAGAGCGCCATGCTTGCTCCTCCTCCCCCTCCTCTCCTCCCGTCTGTACTTGTTGTTGTTGCTGAGGGGATGTCGGCAGCGGGGAACAGCGCACTTAGTCGCTTCTTGCTCTGCTCGTAGAACAGGACATACAATCCCGCGTAGGGGGCATCCCGTATCGCTGTCGCGCCGTACCCGGCGAAGAAGCCGCGCAGGCCTTCCTTGCCGGCGATGTCGCGCGCCGCGCTCGCGAGGGAGGTGTAGCTGTAGAAGGTGCTCTCGTACCGGACCTTGAGCACTGTCAGCGGCATCAGGATGAACCCTGCTAGTGAACGGGCGAGGGCGCCAGAGAGGAGGTTGGTGGTGTTGGAGAGTTTCGGCAGCGAGCTGGAAGTTGTGGATCCGGCATTGTTGATTGGGGAGGGGGAGAGGCGGGCGGCCGACTGGCGGATGGCGTTGAGCGAGGTGAAGTAGATTGCCGAGCCGAAGCCGGTGCGCAGGGCGGATGGAACGGCGCCGCGCCACAGGGCTGGGAGGAGCCGTGGAGCGGAGCGGATATCGGCTAGGGCGGCGCGGAGCGAGTGGGCGCCGGATTGTTGGACGCGCGTCTTGAGGAGGTCAATCGGCTGGAGCAGCACGGCGGACAGCACACCGGAGCCAAGGCCCGCGGCGAAGTGGAAAGCTGGAAGTGGGAGGTGTCAACTGGGTCGCTTGGGTCAGGAGAGGGTTTGTCGGACGTACTCGACTTCGAAAGCGCCGTGCGGGAGCCATCGGACATTGCGGCGTTGGGCATGCCACTTCCTTGAGTGTGTTTGGCGGTGGTGTTTGTCAGAGGGGTAGTGAAGCGGACCCGCAGAAAAGGTCTGCCTAGAAATCGCGACGTCTGAGATCCGGCCCAGCCATTCTCGAAACACTTCTATATGGAGGGGCGCAAGATGACTGAGTCGGACTTCGGAATTGTTCTCCTGTGGAAGGGTGTTGAGTGGAAAGAAGCTGCAACGGCATGGACTGCGCCGGCCTATGACGGCATGCCATTTCTTCACTTGCGCCCCGCCGGATCTGTGCTCTGCCGGCTTGACCCGAACTGACGACGCCTGAGTTCCTACTCCACCAACCAGGAACAAACAAAGCAATGATACGGACGAATGTTCCCAAGACTATTCGGATCTATCCCAGTAACTGAGTCACAGCAGTCTGGTGACCAGCCGAGCCATCGTAGATCTAGACTTCCAGATAGTTGACTCGGGTCGGCATAAACCCACTCACTGAGGACGAATCCGTTGTTAGAGCGCCCTTCTCTGCTCTCCAACAATCGACTCCAGCCGTCCCGCCAGCGCCCGATGCCTCTTGACAACCTCAACCCACTCCTCCTCGGCCTCGGGCCCAACATCCAGCGTAGCAAGAAACAGCCCAAAGTCCCCTCCCAACCGCCCCAAACTCCCCGCACAATACAGGACCTGGGTCAGCAGGCTATCCCTCGCCGCTTGGTCCCTCACGGTAGGTAGATACAACCGTAGCGTTCCGAGCAGCACGTCGACCAGATAAAGCGGAAAAGTAGCCAAGGCAGAGGGCATTGGCTCCAGGGGGTCCCCTCCTTCACTCTTCGTTCCCCCTCCCCCACCAGCAGGCCCGTCGCTGGTCACCGCCGCAGCGGGGAAAATGCTCCGAAACATGGACACGATGGCGAAGCTCTGCTCGCGGAAAATTTCGAGGTACCGTTTGAGGTAGCGCTCTGTTTGTTGCCCGCCCGACCAGGCGGTATTGCTGCTGCCGAGCGCCTTCTGGCGCGCTTTTTCCTGGTCGGCGAGCTCGCGGAGTGGTTCCAGGGCTTCGAGCATGTTCATCAGGGTCGCGAGGCGACAGACCAGGAAGAGTGCGCCGAGAACGCGCTCTTGGGTGTCGTGCCTGTTTGTGGGGGTGCTGGTGCTGGTCGTACTGGGGTGGGGGTTGGTGGTGGCTGCGGGTGAGGTGGCTGCTTCCAGGTCTGGTAGGACTCGTCGTAGCCAGCTGATGGTTCGCAGAGAGGCAGCGAGCTTCAGGCCTGCTGCTTTGAGGGAGAGGATGAGGTTGGCCGCCATGGTCCGCATGGCCTCGTCGGCTTGGGTGGATATCGATTCGACGAGGGGCGACTTGGGGTGAATGGAGTGCAGCCGGCGCATGTGGCCGTTCAAGTCCAGGGCTGAGGAGTAGTTCACGGGCGCGGTGGATATGGCTGAGGATAGTAATGTCGGCAGCTCAAGCACGTCGACTAAGCGCTCGACGTTCCGTGAGAGTAGCAGTGCCTTTTTGCGCCGTGTCAGCACCCCATTGTCGCTGCTCTTGTTGTAGGTGGTTGAGAAGCGCACTGCTTCGCTGTCCAGCTTGGGTATCGAGTTGCGCAACTCCGCAGTGCTTGCTGCGAGAGCTGGTAATGTAGTGCGTAGCGCTGCATGGTGAGATGCAGACTCAATGATTTGCTTGTGTGACTTTTTGGACAGGGCTTGCAGGGACAGAAGAAGGCCATGTGATGACTGAACGAGTGCCTGTGGTTCAGACGACGTGAGCGATGAGAGTGGCTGCGAGGTCAGTGTTCTGAGGTATTCGAGCGTGCTCGGGTCTGCTGCCGTCCGTGTTGATGTTGGCCCTGTGCCTGAGAGCAGTTCATAGAGAAGATCTGCCATGTTGGCTGTGTCCTACGGGTGGACTACACCATGGAACCACCCTATGGAAAAAAAGACCCTGCTATTTGTCACCTGCCATGCGAGTGGACAGTCTTGCTTCGTACGCCGGGCTGTTGTTTGTCTCAAGCAATGCTATGTGGGGAGTTACTGAGATTGAATGACGAAGCATGTCCAGGGCTCCCTTCAGCGAATCTCGAACCCTTCGTCTAATGTATGTTTGCATGTACCGAGATGCCAAAAGTCCTGTCTTAGTACATCAACTCGGTAATCCGTACATTAATCCCTTACCCCTGCTCAATAGCACCCCAGTTGGCAATTATCCGTCAACTACTGTATCTGTCCCACATCAGTGAGGCGGCCGGCGTTTGATTCGGCTAAAACGAATGAAAAACGCCGACCTTCGAATAACTACCGAGGTGTGAATCCCAAACGGCGTTATTACCTCTGGATATTTGCGCTTTCTTCCTAGTACAGTACAACTTGATCTGTAAACTACGGATCCGTACAAATTATACATACCTTAGGTGGGGAGTGGGGTGTATTGACACTCACAAAGGGGTGTGTGTGTGCACGAGTCGAGTCAAATTTGGGAACCTGCAAGTCTTGGTGCATCACAGCTATTGGCGACACCATATCCACCTCAGTGTCGCATCATATAAACTGAAGTTTAATCAAGATTCGCAGAGAAAGCGATCGAGAGAACATCGTCGGTATGGCCGTTTAGGAGGTCGTTAAAAACTGTACAGGCACTCGCCCGTCCATATATCCCAAACTCTGATGGTCCGATCGTCTGAGCCTGACGCCAGGGAGTTCGAATTGGGCAGAAAGGCGAATGAATTGACGGCTGTGGTATGGAGCTTGAGCTTTTGTACACTTTTTCCTCGCCAGGTCCCATATCTGGATGATGCCATCGCGGGAGCCGAACACAAGTAAGGCCGAGTCGGGCGAGAAGCAGACGGCGGTAACAGAACTGCGGACCGTCCCAACAGTCAACAGCTCCCGGCCGCTCGGCAACTCCCATACGCTGATCCTGCTCAGGGTCAACAAGGCTGCTGCGAGCAGACTTGAGTCGGGCGACAAGGCGAGTCGCCCACCGGGACCCCAACCCGTAGTGGCTATTCGCTGACGCTGGCCCGTCGCCGGCTCCAGGATTCTCACCACATCGTCGTCTTCTAACGCGAGCGTGCCGAAGTCGACCGAAAGTGCGATCGGTCGAGCAATCAGCGAAGTTTCGCCATTGAATGTCCGCAGGCATGTCACCACAGCCGGATCCCTTATCTTGACCTTCCGTCCAATGAACTGGACCCAAGCAGGGGAGAATTATTGAGAAAACGACCGAGCGAGCCGTTGATGGACGGCCTTCCAGCACCCGCCGGCATTGTCCTGTTGGGACATCGAAAATGCAGATGTTTCGACTCGAATAGCTTGAACGAAGATCCCCCTGACAAGCCGGCCTACTGATGAAAGCTCACGTTCTTCTAGTGACACAGCCAAGGTCGACAGGCCGGGCGAGAACGCGGTTGCAATGGCCTTCCAGAACGGTTTGACGCGCTGGACCGTTGCGTGGTATTGGCCTCTTGTTAGGTTCCAGAACTTGATCGTTTTATCCTTTGAGAACGATGCCACCCATCCAGAGATAGTACGTGTTCCTGTTGACTTTGGCTCTCCAAAGTAGACAAGTCCAGGCCAGGCCCTTGGGTGTAACGGTGGGGAAGAAGCTGGCTGGTCATGTAGCTGGCTCGCGGTCATCGCCGACGCGGATCTAGGTGTTCCTATTGAATCGGGCTGCTCGACGTTGACTTGGCTGTCGACGGCTTCTGATTTCGACATTGTGGAAGAAGTTGGCCGCAGGTGCAGCTGTCTCCCTCCTACCATCGAACTCAACGCCGCTGTTGCATTTGCCAAAGGCGCTACTGCTGCAATAATTTCCCAGGTCCTGATTCTGGCAAACTCCTCGTCCACGTAGCTGGGAGTATGCTGCTGGCCGTTCACCTCACGGGCTACCGCAAGCCATCTATGCTCCAACGCTACCTGCGAGGACGGTCCAGCGTCGGGAGAAGGCGCGAGTAAGCAGCGTAGGAATTCGGCGCACTCATCTGAAATTCCCAGACTCATGAGCAATCCTGTCTCCGCATCATCTACCCCGTGGATTCCTTTGGCGAAGGCCCGAACCGATCCAAGTCTTTCAACGAAACCGCGTTCGTCGAGACGAAGAACAGAAGAGCACCCAACGACCAGATGTCGACGGCGTAAAACGACGACCCCCTTGGGACGTAACCCAGCACCTCTCGTGCCATGAAGCCCATCGTGCCTTGCACCATCATCGAGGAGTCTCCCTGCAGTCGTTTACAAATGCCAAAGTCGGAGATCTACACGGGCCAATCCGGTCTGGAAGAGACCACGAGGATGTTCTGAGGTGTCAAGTCCCTGTGCACGAAGCCGTTCTCGTGCATGCACTTCAGGTCCTCCAACACCTGTGTGCAAACCGTTTTCGCCTCAGATTCGGGTAGAGATTGGATGAGATGCTTCTTCAAATCGCCGTGTGGGAGGTATTCCATGGCAATGTAGATCGCCTCGGTGGTGGAGAGCCAGCCATACGACTGCAGGAAGCAGGGTACATACTCCGGTTCCGGATATCTGCCACGGGTAATCTGAAGATGGACGGTCAACCTACCTTAGGGAGAGAGAACTTGGCTATCGCCAACAATTCCCGCGTGTAGTCCACCTTCTACTCGGGGTCTTTCACAATCTCCTTGACTGCTCAAAGCCGGGGGCCATCTTCGGCTGCCGGCTCCTGGCACTCCTCAAGCCCAGACGGTCCCGAAACCACCAGATCCGAGGCGACCATTTCGCACCCATGTTTCCCAGACGCCCACTTTCCAGTCCTTGCCTGACTTGCCGCGGCGGCGATATGTATATCGAGTCCAATTGCCATGGGCCACAGCGTCAAGCTGCGAGTCGACAACGAAGTCCGGAACGCTCATCGCGGGGAGGGCTTAGTGGCCAACGGAGAGGATAGAACACGGCAAGACGGTGCTTGCCCAATCGTGCTCGACCGGTAAGAGCCAGTGTTCTGCACTCCTGGTGTTCGAGGTGCGCATTTACAGAAGAGGGGTTGATGAAATGTCAGGGAAGGCTGCAATCTTTGTTTGGGCTGGAGCCGCAGCGGTGGAAAGCTGTCCACTCACAGATGCATACGCAAGATACAGCCACGACGCCGACCCGACACGACTGCGCTCAACACACGCCAAGGCGTAATTGGTTCGCTAGCCCTCTTTTTCTGACCATCTCGGCTCATGGCGGTTCAGGCATATCTCTCAGAGGGCCTCCCAAATAGCACCTTGCCTGGCGCATCGAGAGTCGTTGGCAGAAGCTCGTAATATCATGCTAAGAAGGTGCCATGATCTATTCGAATTCCTTCGCCGTTTTTGAGTTTGTTTGCAAGTGGAGGGGATCCAGGGAAAGCTAGGAGGACCAGGCCAACTGGGCGCTTGAATTATCAAGTGACTTGAACTTTCTGGTCTACCCCATATGTTCGCCATTGCCCGCTGGGCCAGGCTGGACATCGTCTCTCCATCCCTGCGTCTTCCGTCCTCCGGCGTCCACATTGAGCTATGGACGTTGTGGGTGGCGTGGTCGTAGTCGAGTCCGCACAGGATAAACCGGCTTCGTCCCCGGCCCGGTATCCTGGCCCTGCTGCTGATTTCTGAGGCACCATCGTCAAATTAGACACTCTTGACCTTACTCTTATTCCGTCTTTCTGCCTTCAATGTCCCGGACTGCGTTTTCGAAGGCAGCCCAACGACGCCAGCCAACCCCAGTAGCAACACGCCCGCCTGCCCCAACCAAGACAGCGGGACCGCGGTGATGCCCAGCCACACTGCGTTTCGTTGGCGCTTCCAGGGGGGCAATCTGTTCTTCCTCGGAGTCCACGTCCTTTTACCAGCGGTCGGGCAATCGCTCACTGATACCCTCGCCGTCTGCTTGAGTCGGGACTGCCGAATTGACCAATGTCACCGAGCTTGACAACTCCTCGGCCTCGTCGGCTTTGGTCGCGGCAGGCGGGCTTGTGGATAGCTGTGGAGACGGGGCAGATGCGGAGGGCCGTCTGCAAAACCGGCCGACACCAGGCTGAGTTGCTGCAGGGTCAGCACCGTGAGGTACTGCATCGGGTTCACAGCGGCTGACTGCTCTCCGTCGAGGCCTGGAGGAGGCGGGAGGGGTTCCAGCCACGGTCGTACGCTGGGCGGTCGTTGTGTAGCTTGTTGCAGGTTTGTCAGTGCTGTTGGGCTGGTGCCGTTGGCGGAGTCTGGCTTGTGATGGCCGGGTGGTAGGTCGCAGCCCTCGCGCCGGGGATCTCGACGGCGACGTTCTCCATGTTCGCGTATCCCATAGCCGCGTGCAGATGTTGAGCGTACTTGTCCAGCCGCTTGGGGCAAGAGTATCCGTCAGCCCATTCCGATCTTAATGACGATCTCTTGAGTTCTGCCGCTCTTCTCCCCAAACTTTAACTGGTTCTTGATGTCTTTGATCTTTTGAGATAACTTGGCCAGTTTGCCACTGACGTGGACTGTCATGTAGAACCTCGTTGCGTTGTGCTCAAGCGCGAACGCCGTGTGAAACAGGTTGCTATGTGTTGGCTGCCATTCCAATGAGCTTTCCTTGAGCTCCCATCGCAGGACGTTGTACCACATGCTGTCCTTGGTCGATAAAATATACCCCGAGAAATCCCAGCGACCGCGGGTCTGCACGAGCTTCTCCTTGTGCTTTCCCACCGCCGGCGCCGTAGCTGAGGACTTGCATCTCTGGCGTGAAGATCTTCACATCCCGGGTTTGCACCACGGATTCTGGGCCGCGAACCGACTTCGGGCCGAAATGGTCGGTAACTGGACGGGGCATGCAGAGCGTTGCTGAATACGGGCCTCTTCGCCGTCGTTCTCCGAAAGCTTCACAGTAATGGTGGCCGATTCGAGCTTACAATCTGGAGGTTGGCTGAATCCAGGTCAAGGTAGATAGATGATACCGGCAGGGTTCTTCGCCTCCCCGATGACACCTCATTGGGGATCTCGTAAACATGAAGCGGCAGTCGACCTCAACCTTCCCAATACTTCCACGGCCGGCGCGCATATGAGTCGAAGTAATGTTGTCAAACCGGTGGTAGTCGCATCACCCGTATTCGCCCCGCACTTTGGACAGCAGGGCAGGCCGAGTGCCTAGAACTTCAATGTTGTTGAGCTTGTCCGGACGGGCGAGAGGCGGCCTTCGGCCGTTTTCCGAGCTTCGCGCACAATGACCAAAGACCACCAGTCCTTGGGCGCGGCAGTAAGTTGGACAAAAACTCGAGCGAGTGAGGGGGACCGGTGCTGGTGGGGGACAAGGATGGTACGCTTCTTGCAACCTTGGATTGATGCAGCGAAACGCTGCCTCAGTCTCCCACGCGTAACAGTTCCGGAGCTGGTCCCTGGACCGCAAGAATGCAGGCCGGTGCCGTCCTGCGGTTTTGATTCGTCCTCGATTCTGCAGTGATCAAGGGACCCGCAGGATGGAGGTCGACGATGGAAAGCGAGGGGAGTGTACTGATACAATACAGCTCAGCCTCCATCCTCTCAGCAGCTCTGGGCTCATTGAGGAGGTCGCCGATTCGGTCAGGGCATTGCGGGAAACGGTACTAAAAGACTCCCCGACTCCCCTCGTGTCGGTGAGGACAGCCCGTGGAAATGCCATTGGAGAGATTCGTCAGGAAGCTTCAACAAGAAGCGGGCGGCTAAGACATGCCCCGCCGATACCTGGGAAGAAACACACAACTTCGTGGCCATCCTAGCGGTGTCGCGAGGCGTGGAGAGTCGCGCCTAATTAAGTGAGGTGTATGGAGACTTCTGGACCCTGACTGTATGAGTGGGATTTGGGACATACCCTCCAGTTCGGTTCAGATACAGATCAATTAATTATGGATAGTCCTATCCGAGATTCTGTTACAGACGCGACAATGTTTCCCAGTTATTTGCTGTCAGCTGTATTCCTAGATCCGTGAACACGGGGTCAAGTTCAGGCCCGCCAAAACGATGAGGCATCATTGGCATCCTGAGATTGCATGTGACAATGAACTGGAATGGTTTCGGCTTGTAGGGTGCCTTGTCCGGAAGGCGGCCGTCAGCCCCACCAGGCGCCGACATTCCCCCCGCTCTTGTTAGCGTCCGCCCTCACCCGAGGCGCCAGTTGGCTGATGAGGCGGCCTCGGAAAGCGCCAAGACCTCATCCGTCCCAACAAAAACGCCGGTGTCAAAGCATCACGTTAGAGGCAAGTTTGACTTCCATGACGTGGTTCCCCCTCTGACCGAGCTCCCGATCGTAGCAGCTACGACGAATGACGAGAAAGCACATGGCTCAGCTGATTTCGTCGAAGCACCAAACACAAAGGTAAACCTACCATACACACAGTACACTGTTACAGGTATATCTCTCCGACAGCGTCAGCTGCCTGGCTGAGAACCCTGTCTCACTTTTCAGCGTCTCACCTGCCGCTACCCGGGTGCCTGTGCCTGGTGACGCCGCCGTCTGCAGTCCGCCTCGCTTGGCACCGGCCGTTTACATCTTGACTGAGGCACCACCTACGGAGGTACCTGACAGGAGATTTTCCTTTACCCAGCTGGCGATTGTCCCAGCGACGGGAGCTTTTAACGACGACAGCACCGTTTAACATCCAGGGCGCCGTTCGCCAGCATGCGCGATCCCTTCCCGATTCCGCCGATCCCGGCGCTGAGCAAGGCCGTCGAGCCTCTGGCCGAGCGGCTCAACATGCCGACCCTGCCCTTCCACATCCACGAAGTCGTCGGCGCCGCCCTGCTCTACACCTTCATCCAGACCGTCGCCTCACCCGTGCTGTCGACCCGGTTCTTCCCCAAGTACTACCCGCGCCACAACCGCGCTAAGAAGGCCAACTGGGACACCCATGTCGTCTCGCTGGTTCAGAGCCTCCTCATCAACGCCTTGGCCCTATGGGTCATGTTCGCCGACAAGGAGCGCAGCGCCATGGACTTTGAGCAGCGCATATGGGGCTACACGGGTGGTTGCGGCTTAATCCAGGCGCTCGCGGCGGGCTACTTCGTCTGGGATCTGGGCATCACCCTGCTGAATCTCGACATCTTTGGTCTGGGTCTGCTCGCCCACGCCGTCAGTGCTCTGGCGGTATACACCTTGGGTTTCGTATGTCCTTCCGCAACCGCCTCCCACGGTCCTACCAGAGCTAACCCGCATGTTCTCAGCGCCCCTACCTCAACTACTACTCCCCGACCTTCATCCTCTACGAGCTATCCACCCCCTTCCTCAACATCCACTGGTTCTTGGACAAGCTCAACATGACGGGCACTAAGCCCCAGCTCTACAACGGCATCGCCCTTCTTGTCACCTTCTTCCTCTGCCGCCTGGTGTGGGGCACCTGGCAATCCCTCGTCGTCTACGCCGACATGTGGCGCTCGATCCACCACGCCCCGTCCGCGGGCTACCTGGCCGCTTTCTTCTCCGAGAAGTCCACTGCGTCGAGCAACCCAGACACGAACCCCATGTTCTTTGCGCGCGACGCCGCCGCCGTGCCGCTCTGGCTGACGGCCGTCTACATTGCTAGTAACATCGTGCTCAACGCGCTCAACTGGTACTGGTTCGTTAAGATGGTGGCCGCCGTGCGCAAGCGCTTCGAGCCAACCAAGCCGGGCAAGAGACAGCCGCTGCCGGCGGATGCCGTGCCCGTCACTAAGGTGTCGGCGGTCGAGGACAAGGACCGCATGACGGTGCGCCACCGCAGGGCGCCATCAATCGAGGATGTCGTGCCGGATAGTGACGAGCTCAGGGAGGGGACGATTCAGTGAGCAGCAGTAGTTGCAGGCAGGGGTGGATAGATCTGCCGTTGTTGTGGCGTTGGTGTGGTTCGACTATAATGGACAACACAAAGGGGAACTGCAATGGGGGTAATGGCGACCATACTAAATGTTGGACTGCGATACTGGATCGGGTGGCGTAGGTGGACGGTCTGTCTCCGCGTCATTCCCTCTTCCTGTCGGGGAGAGACAGCGTGTGGTTTCGAAATGGTTGTGTCTGGACGGAGCTCCAGCATGGAGATTCGGGGCTGGATCTATAGTGTTATAGCGCAATGTCATGTTACATACATGCCTTCTCCACCAGACTGTCCAGCGTTTTTAAAGGAGAGTGTTGTGAAACCCGTCTTAAAATGATGACCGAGGTTCCATCCGCGGCTTCGGTACCCGTAAAGCACGGGTGATAATTCATTCCGAGAGGGCTGCTGTGGCCAGGATGGTGCTCTCAGTGCACATATTTCCGCTTTTTAACGCTCTCCCAGTGCCGATGCCTCGAGGTGAAGGCCACGAGACGGATATTCCAGAGTCGGCAGAGCGGTTGTTGGATAATCAAGGATGTAAATAAGCCAATAAAACATCGAATAGAATTTCCACCTGACAGACTTCAGGGTGGAGTGTGTGTCCAAACAACCACCACACTGGGATATTCTCACACAGGGAGCCGAAAACAGCAGGTCTCTCTACAGGTATCGCCAGCTCCGAGAAAGCAGAACATCGAATGAGGTGTGACATAATATAAGCAAGAGATATTGAATTGTTGTAAGCACCATGATTCGAATACGAATGTGGAGGATAGATACAGGATCGGAATTGGAGACGGAATTTAGGTGCTTTAAGTACTTAGGTGATAGGTAGGGTACGCAGGAAGACAACCAAAGGGCTGAACGTGAACAAAACACCAAACAGGAGAGGAAGAAAAAAAGGACGCAGCACTCGTGACATGCTCCTCTGCACTCCTCTGCCACCACCCCACACCCGCATCTGAACGGCGAACGATATCCCATGCCTTCTTGCCTTTTCGGCCCTCTATTCTCCCCCGTTTTCCCCTCTGACACTCGCTTCCCCGCTTTTTGAACAGCGTCTGTTAACTCCCCTTGCAGCTCAGACATGGAGGGACGTTTCGACCATTGTTCGAGCAAACCCACCGCACCCTGGCCGCCACCCCCAGTCCTGTATGCCCCGTTCGGTTTGGCGAGGACACTATGACTTGCCCCTTTCATTGTCAAGAGGAGTCATGTCGCTTGACTCTGGTTGCGGTAAACGGCCTCGGCCCTTCCACTTCGAGTCATAGCACTTCCCTTGAACCGAAATGGGGGAATGCGGCATGTCCCTGGGAAGGGTGCTGAGACTTTCAAAGTATGCTGCCATTCGGCAGTCGATCAGAATCCAAACGGATTATCCGGTGCTGAAAAATCACAGTTAGCCAACCATCCGGTCACCTAGGCTTCAAAACCGAGCAAAAAAGCACCAGACAATGGCCATATCTACGGCCATGAATCACCCCACACAAAAACCTCATCCATAAAACCTCCACAGAGAAACAAATCGGAAGGAAGAAAGACTTACTGGCAGCAGCCAAGTTGGCCCTCCGGCCCGTCGGCTGAGGCGCAAGCTTCTTGGGCCCCTCCGTGACACCAAACCTAACCGGCGGTGGCGGTCCCGTCTTTTGCGGCACAAGCGGCTGCACAGGCGGCTGCAGCCCTCCACTACCCAACCCAGTACTATTCCCAAATCCGGTAGGCTGCGACTGCATCGGCTGCTGCATGCTCGTTCCCATCGTCCCCATACCCATGTTCCCCATCCCCATTCCCATCCCAGGACCCATCATACCAATATTCATCGCCGGCAAGCCCGTACGCTGCGGTTCAAGTGGACGCGGCAACCCCGTCATTTGTGGTTGCTGCAGCTGCGGTTGCAGCGACTGGCCAAACGCTGTCGGCTGGACCTGCATAGGTTGCATGCCCAACCCCATGCCCATTCCCATCCCCGTAGGCTGCGGCTGCATGCCGGTCATCATGGGCATCATCTGTTGCTGCGGCTGCGGCTGCAGACCTGTAATCATGGGCATCATCTGCTGTTGTTGCTGTTGCAGAGTCTGAGCAAACTGCTGCTGCAGTCTTGCCTGAGCAATGTCGTTCAGGCTCTGCCCCGGCGGCGCGACCTGCGTTGTTGGCTGGGCTGCGTAGCCCGTCATTTGCGGCTGGAGCGGCGCCCGGGCAAATGCGCTGGGCTGGGCGGACTGGGGCGCCGATAGGGGGCGCGAGGGCGGCGGCGGGGGCATCAGGCCGCCCTGGCCTTGGGTGTATTGCGGCGCCACGGGTCGTTGGCGGGCGATGGCTTGCGGGAGCTGCTGTACGAACTGAGATGGCGGTTGCCCGTTAACTGCCGGGGGTTGGATGCCGGTGAAGAAAGCCGGGGTGGCGCCGGTGGGCTGGGGGATCTGCGCCGGGGCCTGGGCTGGGGCTGGGGCTGGGGCTGGGGCTGGGGCTGGGACAGGCGCGGGCGCGAGGTTCAAAGCCGGCGGCGGGACGGGAGGCTGGACCTTTTCTGGCGCTAGTGGTTGGGTCAGTACGGACAGCTCCTGCATCGACCCCGTGAGCTTTGCGGTGCTCGGCGCTGGAGGAGCAGCTGGTGTGGCGGCCGGTGCCGGAACAGGAGCAGGTGCCGGCGCGGCCGGGGTTTGTTGGGGAGCTGGTTCTGGGGTCTTGGAAGGCTTCACATCCCAGGCATCGTCATCGAACCCGCCGGCAGGCTTTGCAGGCGCTTGGGCCGGGGGCGCCGACGTTGTGGGGGACGACGCCTTGGCCTCAGCAGCCGCCAAATCCTTCTGCTGAGAGAAGGCCTTCGGATCAACAGTGTTATTTGTCTCGACGGGAGGAGCCGGCCGTCCTTTCCTAGTGTTGTTCCGCAAGGTCCCTCCGGGTCCGGAGAACAGCCCACCGCCCGCCTCGTCATCGGCGGCCTTCTTCCCACGGCAATACTTGGTGTCTAGAAAACGCATCACCTTGAGGATATCGCCCTCGCGGAAACCGAGGTTGCGCAGCACGGAGGCGTCGACATCCGGCAGGACACTCTCGTCCATCGACTCCCTTGCAAACGCTTGGGCATAGCGCTCACACAACCCCGGCTGGACGTCACAAGACAAAAAGAACTGGAACCAGTCGTACTCGGGCTTCTTGGGCTCGATCGAAGCGCCGACCTTGGCAGCCGGGGCCTTGCGCGAACTCTCGCCCGCTGTGGTGGCCCTCCTCTTCAAATCGGACAGCGGCTTGTCTTCGTCGAGCGAGATGCCAGTGATGCGCTCGACATACTCCAAGTCCTCGAGCGACATCTTGGCGATAGGCACGGCAATTCGAACGCCGTTGAGCTTGTGGAGGTTGAGTTTGCCGTCCTTCATACCGAGGAACTGAGCCTCCACGGTGAACGACTTGGAGCGGTCTGTCCATGTGCGGACCTTGGACGGGTCGGGTTCTAGCAGAAGTTAGCGCAGCTAGGTAAAGACATAATTAGTGTGGGGATGAGCAACTCACTCGACTTGCCATTAGACCTCGAGCCTGAGGCCTCGGCGCGGCCGTTTTCCCGTCTGCTGCGCTGTTGCCCCTCATTATTACCCTTTCTGGCCGACAGACTACTACTCCGGTCGGGCAAAAGCAATCCAGGGCCTACCTTTTCCCTCTCCCTCTCCTTCTGGTCCTCCCTCTGCCCCGCCTTGATGGCCTCCTTGGCCAGCCGCGCCTCCTCCAGCCGGTTCTGCTCGACAGTGGACAGGCCCGCGTTGATGCCCGCGGCCGACGACGACGCGGGTGTGTCGATGATGCCTGTCACCTCGATGTAGCTGCTCGGGACGACGCCCTCCTTCTGGTTCTTGACGCGACGCACCATCCACCACTCGTCGCTCTTGGTGTCGTCTAGGATGATGACCTCATCCCCAATGCCGACCGTGACCTCGTCGTCGCCCTGCGCCATAAAGTCGTACAATACGACACCCTTCTTCTGCTGTATGCCCTTTTGCCCCGTGCCCGCCATGATCACCTCCCGCAGACCTTCGGCGCGCACGGCACCCGCCATCTCGCCGAGCATGGCAACAATCTCCTCGGCGGTATCCTTGGCGCCGGCATGGAAGTCGACGCTTTTGCTCGGCTTGACCAGCTCCATGAAGACGTGCTTTCCCTCGCGCGAGTAGTGCGTCATACGGTCGGCGGTCCACTCCAACGATGGCCCGTCCTGGGCGTGCTCAGGAGCAATCAGGATCATGCCGGTGCGCAGGTTGATGCCGAGCGTGGTGGGCATTTTCTTCTTTTTGCCCATGACAGATACCATCTCGTTGATATTGTACATGTGGAAATCTCCGGGGGTGAGGGGGGCCGTTTTGGGAGTCGCCGGGGTGTCGTAATCGTAGCGGTTGTTGTAGTCATTGCGACTGTGCTGTTCGACTGGAGGCGACGCGCGGGTCGAGTCGGACGAGAGGTGGGAGTTGCCGCGCGGTCGAGCGGGGAGCGGCGGAGACTTGACTTCGCTGTCGGACTCATCGGAGGCGTACTGATTTCGGGGCGGCAGTTCAAGGGGTGCGGGCGGCGGATGAGACGAGCCTGCGCGGGAAGCCATCATGCCAGCGATCATAGTAGCTGGGTTGGGCGCTGCGGGAGTGACGGGGCTGCTGGGCTCGGAAGGGACCGCGTTCCTTGCGGGGAGGGGCGGGCTCTGCACATCGCTGCTGGGAGTCCGCGCGGGGAGCGGGGGCGGCGCGGGCATGGACGGCTCGTCGTCGTCCCCCTTGTCCCCTCCGTCTCCCAACTCAATGTAGTTGGCCGGAACAAAGCCATAGTCTCCATCGTGTCCTACGAGAATCCAGTCTGGATCTGAAGTATCAAAAACATCGAGCTGCGCGTCTTCGGGGAACGACAACTCCTCGTCGGTCTGCCTGGTATACTCGTAGAGCGCGCGAGCCTTTGCCTGGGGTTGGGCCTACATGGGGCCAGAAGAAGCATGTCAGTACAAGACTTCCGTGCCATCCAAGAATCCAACCACACGTACCTCCTCGACATAGTTATTCGGGATTAAGCCAACCGGCTCGTCCTCCTCCTCGCCGGTGGCCTTCTTCTTGGCCTTCCACCAGTCGTCATCGGTGCTCTTCTCGAGCACATACAGCAAATCGCCCTCGGTGATCTGCAGCTCCCCCTCAGCCTGGGGCGCGTAGTCGTAGACAGCCTTGTAGATACCGACGAAGCCCATGGCCGGCGGCTATGTCACGAGGGTAAGCGGCTGGCCGGGGTCGTCAGAGGCCTGGGATTTTCGGGGCTATTGTGTGGTGAGAGCGACAGATCGCATCGGAATCACGGAGACACGGGCCAGGGCAAACTTCCGTATACGGTCAAGCGAAGCTTTCTGTGACGACGCCCAATGGATGCTATCGCGCGGGTGGTGGTTGGTGTGGGTGCAGCCGGGTAGGCGGGAGAGTGCTCTGCTGTGGCCTCGAAACGGCGCAAGTTCACGTCTGGTGAGACTGGGAGGGCGCAGTCGACGGATAATTGCTGAATCCGTAAGGAGACGACACAGGCACAATTCTGTTTTCCGAAGGCTTAGAGCTGAGCGACTTGCAACCACACTCTCATCCGGATCGCGCGAGCTGATCTGGCTAAAGGAGGCCGGCGGGCAGGTTGGGTCGTGGGTCGTGGAGATCACATCCGCTTGGCGGTGGGTCTCGAGCAGCTCGCTTACACCGTCGTAATCTTTGGTAATCATCGCAGGTAACGTGGAGTACAATACAATGTATCCGGCTATCCATCCCAGAAATGATATCGGCCTATCGGGGCAGAAGGGAAAGGACCAAGTCACCAGTGGGGCCAGATTCCAAATAGAGTAGTAGAAGTTCAACAATGCACGTGTCGCAATTGTACTTGTCATTCAGGCAGTTGCGGATGATAACTGAGTACGGAGTATCGTGCCTCATCCAAACTGGGAGTGCCCCTTCGCGGTTACCTTGGTTACTCAGTACTGCACGGTGACGCCCTCATTGTTCGACCTCGGAGGCAGTCCACCCCGTTACCAGGGTTATGCAGATGGCGGTCAACCGCGGCCTTTCTTAACCGAGCACTTACCTTGAAATAAGGTACCTGAGGTACTTGCGGACGATTGAGTTACTTTCCTGAGATCCCTTCAAACCAGCCATGATCATTTGCGTTATCAGGCTTCTCCTTAGTTCTCTTGACCGATGGGTCGTGAAAACGTTTTACTAAGCAATCTCTATCCTATGCCCTCAACAGCCCTTGGAGCTAATTGTTCCGTCTCCAACCAGCTCTTATGATGATGTTGCATGCCCATGCGCTTGACCTATCCTCCCCTCTTCCCACTATCCCTCTGTTTCGACTTACGACTTATTGTACTGTCCTGCGCGTCACTATATCCTAGCCCACGCAGATTCCCACCTGTTCTCGTTCCCGCACCTACCCTTCTCCAATCCCTCAACCTTCACCTCTGATCACTCTCATGCCCCGACTCTCGCCTCACGCTATCTTTCCTCTGCGTCTGGCTGCGCGCCAGCATTCCAGGAAAATATCTCGGCTTCGGGATGGCTGGTGCCGCGGCGCCGGGGGTTGTCGTTGTATGGGTCGAGAGGGCCGGTGAGCGAGGGGTTGCTACGGCCGGGTTAGGCTCGGTTGTTGTTGTTGTTGCTGATGAGGGCGCCGACTCAGCGGGGAGGGAGGTGTATCTCTCGACCCTGTAGTCCAACACATTAGCAAAGCGGTTACTGTTTTATTCTTATTTTTATTTTCTTTCATTATTTTTTTATGCGATGAGACAGCCAGAGCAGACTCACATCATCCGCTCCTCCATCAGCGTGTGGTACCGAAACTCCTCTCTCCGATCCGGTACGTTGGTCTTGACCATGGTGTTGCCCCTGTGTCCGGGCAGGTGGAAATTGTGGCCCAGCCACTGCTGCTTGATCGAGAACTCGTACCCGCTCTGCTTGACCGAGTTCTTGGCCAGCTCGCACATGTCGACCGAGCTGAGCTTGTAGATCTGCGCCGCGACCGCATACTCCTCGATCAACGGCTCCTTGGTGAAGGCAAACTGCAGCGGATCGTCCGTCGACAGCGACACGTTGAGGCCCCGCTTGAAGTACTGGTGGAACGGGTTCCGCTCGTACGCCAGGAACAGCGCGTTGTTACTGAGCGGCGACATGGCGATGCCGATCTGCTCAAGGTAGAAGACGTACTGCAGCAGCGGCACCTTCCGGAGCAGCAGCCCGTGGCTGATACTATGGCAGCAGAGCGCCGCCACCGCGAGATGCTCGCTGTCGCCGGCCTCGCCGCAGTGGGGCCGGAGAACAAACGTGTTGAAGCCCCGCTGCTTGCGGAAGTGGTTCAGCGACGTGAGATTGGCAAAGAGGTAGTAGATCCAGTACGTGTACGGCGGATTCTGCTTCGAGTCCCACACCCTCGGCACCGGGAACTTCTTAAACAGCCGGCGCTCTACCTTGCTCTCGTCGTCAACGCTGTCCAGACCTATGACGCGCTGCAGAAAGATGTGGAGCTTGGGATGGCTGGTCGGATCCTTGGTCACCTCAAACAGTGGCTGGAAGATGTTCTTGATGATCTGCTCAAACGACGTCATCAAGCCGCTCCCCTTGTAGACGTCGTAGAGCCGCGGGATCTGGATCAGCCACCGGACGTTGTGCGAGAAGAGCTTGTTGTCAATGACCCACGCCGCCAGCTTGTCCCACTCGTCCAGGGATTTGCCGTAGATGGAGATGCGCCACTCGACCATCTGGTACTTGCTCGACTCAAGATCGGCAATGACCTCCTTCGTGATCTCCGCCAGATACCTGCCCTTGATGAAGTTGTCTGTCTTGAGGAAGATGGTCCGCAGCCGCGACTCGCCGATCGGGTTGTACTTGAGGTTGAACTTGTCGAAGCGGTGGAACGAGTCCTTGTGCGCGTGCATGTCGAGCGTGTCGATGCTGAGATCGTACGCCGTGAGGTTGATGCTCTCAAACACCTCGGCCAGCGTCAGGTGCTTCCCGTCGCGGAACAAGACGATCTCGTCGGGGAACTTCTTCATCTTGCTCTTAATAAAGCGCAGGAGGTGCTTCTGGTTCATGCAGGCAGAGTGGTGGACGTGGGTGTCGACCTTTCTGACGTTGTAAAAGTCACGATGCGGCACCTTCTTGCTGTCGGCAGTCTCCTGGTATTCGTTGAGCAGGATGTACAGATTGAACTTGCCCTCCAAATACTGCAGGCGGCGGAATGCGAAGCTCTTGCTGGGGCCGTCGGACGACACATTCAGGATCTCCTCAAGGTCGATATAATACTCCTTGATGGTGGGCACGTTGACAATCGGCGTGTCGGCCCTCTGGGACTGTTCATTCTCGTACACTTGATACACTCCGTTGTCGTCCAACTGAAACGCCATCTCACTCGACCCGGGTAGTGGCAGCAGGTCTTCCATGTCGAAGTCCTCTCCGATGTCCTGCCCTGGCTTGCGCTTTTTCGCATTCGACTTTCGCGAGGTTCCGGTCGTCAGGTCCGAAGACGACTCCGCAGAACGCTGCTTGTCAACGTTGAGCACCAGGCTGTTCTGCAAGCTGTTATTAGCACTGTTGGCGCCTCTGGCGGCCTTCTCCCGGTCCTCGGTCCATGCTGGCTCGGGAGGGGCAGGATAGATGTTCCAGCTCGGGTCATTCTTTGGATTCTCGCTGTCTTCTTGAAGAGAGAGCCGAATGTACTTGTGCCGGGTATCGACGACTTTCTTAACGTTATTGAAAATGGCGGTCAGCTCGTCGTTGATCTGGGGATCGACGTCCATGAAGGTGTTGCTGCCGATGCCTGCGACTGCGCCATCCTGCAGCATCTGCTGTCGGAGGGTGGCCTGGAACTGACCTCCGGGAGTAGCCTCTGCGCTGTTCAATTGAGCGAAGCTATCACGGCTTGGAAGGTTGCCAGCTGCCGCGGAACTGGGCTCCCTCTTCTGGGGTTGCCAGAGAGCAGGCTCAGGGATGACAGTCGAGTCCAGTTCCGAAAGCCGCAGATTGCTGAAACTGGGACCGAGGTTCGAAGACAGATCAGAATGGGAAGAGGCAAGCCCGCCGCCAGCTGAGAGCAGCGGGCTGCTCTGGGGGGACATCTGGGCTAGCTGGCTCAGCTGGGTACGGCTCTCGGCCTGGCTTCGCTGGTAGAACAACTTGGCGTCCGTCTGCGACATTTGCCGTTCCGCCACCAGATCGAAAAAGGCCGTCTTGTGAGGCATGTCTCGTGGGAGCATCCCATCCTCCATCTCGGGAGGGCTCAGCTCGGGGTTGTCATCGTGATTGGAGCCGTCATGGGGCCCGAGGTGGAAGCCAGTCTCGTTTTGCTCGCCTTCCGAGTCCGTCTCACTTCGCCCACGCACTCTGTACTCTTCATCGTCCGAATCGGCTCCTCGCATTTGAGTTGCTGTGTTCCTGGGCGACATCGAGTTTGACGAAGGGTCATGCAGATACGGATGCTCTGGTTACAACAATCAATTGCTTGTTCCACAATGGAGATGCCGCGGCGAGATGAGATGCTGTCGTGTGCAGAAGTGTATGTTGACTTTTGGCCGTTGATGGAGTCGAGCGGGGAGCGACAGACAATGGAACGAAGGCTTCCAGGTTCCCTGTTGAACACCAGGAAGGACCAGGCTGTTTGTCCGAGAGGAACCAAGCCTCTTCCGAATCAGCAAATTCGCAGCGTTGGCGGAGCTCGGTGTCACCAAAGCCTCAGAATAAGCTTTTGGCAATTTGACCCTGTGATGTTGTGTGACCGGGTAGTTTACACCTTCGAGACAGTTATCTCTCCTTTTCTCGGGTATCAAGAATCAGCCACTGCTTCCACGACTACGTGGTATCCAGAGAGACTTTCAGGTGATGGTTGGGCTTTCCTGGTCGACTCCAATGGATGCGACGCTGGACTCGGCAGCGTCCGTGCCATGCGCCGCCGCCTTGCTCGGCCGTGACGTTCGGAGGCGGCCGCTGAGTGTGCTGCCAAGGCCGCTAAAATTCGCTGCCCGACCCCCTTAACTGGGTCCAGGAGCCCCTGGCCTCTACACGTGTAGGCGCTAATCTCAGCTGCCCGACCCCGCGCCGTTCGAGCCGGGCCGATATCAAGGGACCCGAGACATTGAACTTAGAAGGGATGCACAGTTACCGAATGTCAGAAACGCTCAAACGGAATCCTCGCATTGCCTCTGCACAAATAGATAGGCAAATACCGCCAAAAGCTACCTTGACTCCGCCCTTGTCAGGACTTGCCAGCGCCGGGTCTTCGAACAGGCGGCTTCCGTTTTCCATCCAGAGAATACAACCCCCCAGCAAAAAAGACAATCACGGCGCCTATGAGCGTCCCGGTAGCCAGCTGGTTTCCAAAAAGCCATATGCTCAACAGCAAGCTCACCAGCTTGCGAATGTTGAGCACAATGGTCACTGTCAGAGCCGAAGATGCCGCGGCCAGGAGATTCACGCCTCGGATGCATGCGTACTGCGTCAGCACGTTGAGCACGAGATAGAACAGCTGGCTGGGGATCCGGATCTTGCTTAGCCCCTGCTGGACGGCTGTAGACAGGGCCGGGTAGTCGTCGAGCGGGGGGACTGGGAGCGGCAGAAGAGGACTGTTTGCGAGTTTCATAAACTGTTTCGTGAGCGAAGGCAGGAAAGGGAGAAACAGAGGCACCGAGAGGAGGTGTGAGTAGAACAAATTCTCTTTCCACTGCGGGCCGTAGATGCGGTACGTCTCCTCCGTGTAGAGGCCCATGATTGCCGACAAGACCTGGGCGATGAAGAGAATGGCGAGGCCCGTGTTAAAGCTGGCATTGCCGACCGATTTGTTCGACGGCGACCCCTAGTTGACTTGTCAACCTCAGATGTCCAGTGTTCAGAGTGGAGGTCGAGACTTACCTTGGTTTGACCATCGGACCAGGCGGCAGTGATGACGCCCACCGTGAGCAGCAGCACTGCGGTCACCTGAATCCGCGAATATCTCTTGCCATATAGGCTCCCGGCAAGCATGGTCGTGATGCTGCCTCCGGAGCGCAGGATGATGTGAACCGGGACCGAAATGTCATAGCTGAACGCATGGTTGTTGAGCACGTTAATGGCGAAGAACAGCACAATGTTGACGAGCCAACGGCGGATTGGAACCTTGTTGGGCTTGAGGAAGAAGGGCGGGCGCTTCCGATCGAACTGGGACGGCAGCCCGATGGCCGCGACGAAGAGGAACTGAACGAACGTCAAGAGCGTGCCTGTTGGCGATTCGCATGGTCAGCCCCGCCATTGTCCGTATTCCCGCCGTTCTGGAGCAAATCCGCAAGCCCAACATGTGCGCTGCGAACCGATGGACCGCGGCAAAGGGGGGAGAACGAAGCAGAACATACCACTCGCCGGCTCAACCTTGACGATGGACTCGAGCGCGAAGACGTTGGAGCAGCAGCCGCCGAAGATGAGCGAGAGCATGGCCCCAATGGCCAGCCACTGGGGGATGGTCTCAATGAAGATGCGGCCTGCGAGGGCCATGGCGCGGCTGAAGAAGGGTCGGTTGTCGTCAATGCCGTACATCTCGGCCTTTTCGAGCGAGGGCGCCGCATTGATGACCCGGGGTGACGGTGCCGGCATCGCAAATGCCTTGTCGCCACGGTCCTTGTTATTCGGCGGCGTCTGCTGGTGTTTGTGCAGCACCGGGCGCCGACGTGAAGTCATGGCCGGGGGTGTATTGCGGCGCGCGCGCACATATAAACCAAATCCGGGGTGATGTGCTACCGATAAAGCCAAGGGAGCAGTGGCCCGAGTGAAGGAGGATGTGATCAGGGACGCAACAGTGGCCAAATTCTGGAGATCAGAATGGTCGGCAGCTAGCGTCGCAGCGAACGAATACCGACTATATCGCTGGGCCGAGCACAGAATTAGCCTTGAAAGTTGTCTGTCTCGAAGGGCGGGCTTGAACGACGGTGAGAGTCTCAGAGAACGACGATGTGCGGAAGCTCCAACAATGGTTAGGCAGCCTCCAAGTTGAAGGAAGGCAGCGGTCGCACAAGCAAACCAGGACGACAAATAAATGAGTGACAGGAAGACAGTAGCGCCAATCCCTCCCTTATGTGGCAGTCATGTTCGTTTGTTCGGATTGGGTCGCAAACTCATAGCAGGGCTACCCTATAACCTTGTTCGAACCTTCGCTGGACGTTCCATGTGGCCACAAGAGAGGCGACGGTGGGGAAGGGCCCGAGGTCCGCTGCAAGAAAAGCCTGAGGTAAGAGGAGCTTGTTTGTGCTAAGAAACGAAAAGGCTGCTTCCGAACCACTAGGATTGATGGAAATGCGCGGATGAGGCGGGAGAGTTACAGTTTCGGCGGCTTGAAATTTGCCGAACCGGGATCTCGTCTGAGCTGGCCGAGCGATCCTGGATGAATCCCTGGTGGGGGTGTCAACTGCCGTGTGTGATGTGGGACCTGCATGTCTCGATCTGAAGTGTGAGTTGGTTAGGTTTATTGCTTTGTTAGTTGAGATCGATCCCGTCGTGGGGTGCCAGTGATTTAGAAGCTATTAGTTGACTGTCACCATCATGGGCAGGTAAAGATCGAAAATACAACACGGAAGTGTTGCAAGCATGAGCCGCCATTCCCATCGCATGTCAGCTGCTGCTGTCCCTCCAAGATCGATGGCAGGCGCTCACATGCACCTAACGTTTTATTAGAACAGACTCGCTTGCAACCTGGAAGTGGAATGTCTGGAACCCGCTGAAGGGTAGGGTGGAACACCAGCCTGAGTGTGCACACAAACCGGTTCAATCCATCTCTGAGAGCCTTCGCTGAGTGATATCGAGGCACCGAATCGTGACTTCTCCAGTCTGTTCAACTCAGCCTGTGATAGGTAGTGTTGGAATTACCCTAACCCTGAGCAGGTCCCACCTCTTGATGCGGAACCCCTTGTGAGTTGTCGCATGTCACCAACAGCATCACGGTCAGACAACACCTTACAAAGGTCATAGTGTCAACGATCAAGTAAACAGAGGTCACCTATCACAGTTCAACAATTTAACCAGGAAACAATCAAGGGCGTTTGGCTCTCTCTCTCTCAAGGCTGAATTCCGTCATTTCTATATCCTGCTCGCTCTGCCAGCATGAGATGAGGTTGCGATCATGTCTGTATTTCCTCATTTTATCCTGACAGGGAATGCCAACTTACCAATGTGGATAACATTACCAGGACTGTCTTCGCTCTCATCATCATAAACAAAGCCGGCGGCCTAATCTATAACCGGACCTTCCACGAGGGTGGCCTGAACAAGATCAGCACCAACGACTACTTGGTTCTGGCAGGCACGTTCCACGGGTATGAGTCTCTGTCAACATACCCACCTATTTACTCCCTGCTCGATATACTCATACGAATCGTTCTCTCCAAAAAAGAGTTCATGCCATCACAGCACGCCTCAACCCCCTCAAGCCGCGAGTCGGCAACCGATCCTCAACCTCGTCCTCCTCCGGTCCCGGCGGCCTGCTCACCCGCCCGGAACCGCCCTCCGGGCTCGAGGTGCTCGAGTCGGAGAACTTTCGGATGCAGTGCTTCACGACGCTGACTGGCGTCAAGTTCCTGCTCTTCACCGACCCGACACAGGCCAACGTCGACTTGACGATGCGCCGCGTTTACGACATGTACACCGACTATGTCATGAAAAACCCCTTCTACCAGCTCGAGATGCCCGTACGCTGCGACATGTTTGACCGCAAGCTGGGCTCGTACATTCGGGAGATCAACAACAGGTAGGACCTGGGTGCGCTGTGGGCGGGATGGGTGTTGAGGGAGAAAGACGGCGAGGGAAGTGCGTAGGACGGGAGGGATTGAGAGGGGTAGGAGTAATCAGGCGTTTTGTTTCTTACGTTTCGTATGTGGAGCCGACAGCATAAGGTCATGGAGCTGTCCGTAGTCAATGCCAGCAACTGTCTAATTCTACAAGCGCGGGATGACGGGAACGCATCGTGGTCACCGCCCTACTGTGCAATTCCCCGTTCCTGACCCGACCCTGGATGTGCATTACGAGGTATCCATCTTGTCGTCGTCCTTCTTGCTGCCGCCCGGCTGGCCGTCTTTATCCAATAGCGGCGCAGACTCGCCCTCCTCCTTGACCGTCTCTAGGCTGGCCTTTTGCGCCGCTTCGGCCTCCTCACGTGCCCGCTTCTCTTGCCGCGCTTTCTCCTCCTCCATACTCATGCGCAGAGCCAGCGCCAACTCGGGGTCCGCAGACGGGTCGACGCCGAATGGGAAGTCTTCGCTTGCGGCCCCAGCCTCACCACCCACACCCCCAGCGCCCGCGGCTGCGCCCTCGCCGAGCAGAATCGGCGTCGAGATGAGCTGGTCGCTGAGAAGCTTGGAGCTGGGGGGGATAACGACGAGGTGCGACGAGTCGGTCGTGCCCTTAATCTCGCGGTTGAAAGCCTCCAACTTTGACTGGTTCTCCTCGTCCATGTCGCCAAACAGCACAAAGTCGACGCTAATGGAAAACTTCTTCATCTTCTTGGCCAGAACGACGAGCTCGCGCTCGCTCTCCTCAATGGGGGAGCACACGAAAACGATGACGCGCGCCCGCTGCGACTTGTTCTGCCGATGTTTGAGGGCGAGCTGTTGGCGACCATGGATCAGCATGCGGTTGGAGTTGCGAACGAATCATCATGCGTCACAACTCACGCTCGCTATTTGGATACCCGTTAAAAGGTGGGCCGAGCCCCGGATCTTCTTCTTGGTCTGATGCAGACCCTCGAGAATCTTGCCTTGGTCCGTCGTGAGGGTGGCCAGCACCTCGGGACCCTTGCCACCCATGCTCATCAGACCGACTGACGATTCTGGGTTTCCCTGCACGACATTCTGAAAAATGATATTGACAGCATCGCTCTGCGCGTCGTATCGGTTCGGTGTGTAGTCGCCGTTTCTGCTGCTCTCGCTGTTGTCTACCACAATCATCACCGCTTCGAGAGGCATCTTGGATAACTGTTGCTGGCGAACTGGAAGAGTGGATGTCGATTTGCGCACGAAGCAACTTCGTCTGTACGGGTCGGATTTATTTCGTTGACGAGAAGGCTGGTGGTTCCGGTCTCGTTGGTGCTGTTGGTGGTACACTTGGGGTTGGCTGTTGCGGCGATGGAAGGAGTTGCGTAAGGTGTTCAGCCTGGAGCTCAGTGCTGCCGCAATTCGCACGGTGTCGCAAAGGACTCCTAATCCTAGCAATATCCCCCGCAATTAGTGATGCGTAATAATAAGAGTAACTTGGTTCGAAAGAAAACTGTTTCCGGACTTGGTATCGTCCATTTACCAATTTTGCTAACCTAGAAAGCGGTGGATCCTAGGTTAGATGTATATATAACGAGTCTTCGTTCTCTAACTACACTAAGCCTTTATTTTTTCGCCCCATACCTAACTCAGAAAGACCTAAGTAGCCGAATTCCCCATCCACTAACGTACATTATAAGCGAGCGGCGCATATAGGCGAGTGGCGCACTTATAAGGGCCAGTATGGAAATTCGGGTACAACACTAACAGCCGGATTAATCTGGGAATAAGTTGCCAGTGTTGTGCCCCAGATTTCCATACTAGCCCTTATCAGTGCGCCACTCGCGTATATGCGCCGTTCGCTTATAATGTACGTTATACTAAACCGCCATACCAAATCACTATCGTTAACCACTCTATTGTATAACGCTAAATAGCTTTGATAATATACCGCAAAGTCGTACGAAGGAGTATAGCATTTTCGATTGATTTAGAGGATGAACATTAGGCCCAGCTTGACTCGGAGGCGGGAAGCAAGGGATAGAAACTGCCATTGACGAGAATCCAAGGCGATGTGTCTGAAACTACTCGCAAATTGGGTGCGTTCTTGGACATCTTGATCCTGCAATATCCCTAACCCTTATGTTAGTCCTATTTTCACGTGGTAATTACAACCAGGGATGGTTTGCAATTCTTCTATGGGGGGCTTGTCAGAAAGAAATCCATTTTTTCATTACGCATCCCTACCCGATACCCCGGTTTGTTTACTTTGGAAGACGCGGACCACTCACATCAGAAAGCGCGCAGCTCCTTTTCCACATTTCGTCTCCCAGCTTTGCGCTCACATTCTCGACTCAGCATCTCGACGCCTGCGGGACATACGCCTTCTCGTGACAGAAGATTATCATCTTGCCTCAGATCTCCATTTTCTCCACATATTTTTCCAACCGGCCTGACATCATGCAAGCAGTCGGTGGGACGAAACGCAAATCCGACCAGTTGGACATGCACAGCGATGGCCGGTATACCGTTGACATGATGAGCCAGAAGATCCCAACAAAGGGCGGGAGTTCACACCCCCAAGAGAGCCCATCCAAGAGGCAGAGGGTGGGTATCACCCTGGTACAGAAGCAAGCACTTCTCGACAACCTTCAACTGGAGAGTAAGTTCCGGCGCGATTGATAAAAGGGAGACGGCGCTGAACAATTCCACAGTCACCGAGCGCGCGCGCAAGCTCAGATCGAACTACAACATCCATGCGCAGAGTCTTCGTACGCGGATAGAAATTCGCGTCAATCGCATTCCCTTGTCTTTGCGCAAGCTCACAATGGGAGAGCTCTTGGAGAGATACTCAAATGAATCGCAAGAGAAGCCGAGGGCGATGACAAGCAGTGTTAGGGGTCCGGCAGTGCCTGCCAAGGATGTGCCATCTCGCCCACCGACAAGGGGGACGGCTACCGCGGCACAACCTTCCACGCGCCCGGCCAAGAGACAGAGGTATGTCGCGCCGCACTGAAGTTATTACAATACACTAACTCCTTAGCAGTCATGAAATCGCCGGCGGAGACAAGGAGAATGAGAACCAAACCTCTCAGAAAAAGATGCGCGCCAATACAGCAACAGATATCGCGCGCAACCCAGCGCATGTCCTGTCACCCACAACCTCCAACTCACGAGTTGCTCCCCGGACAATCGGAAGCCCTGCACGATCAGGAATAACACGCTCAGCCGTCACCCCAGGCAGAGCAGCGCTAGCAAGCAACATTCTCAACAGGATGGTCCACGGAGCGCGGTCAACCACACGCCCCGCCACAGCAACCGGAGCAGCATCAGCAGCGCGCAAGGCAATAACCTCGACGGCAACAAGCAGCAGCAGCAGCAGCAGCAGCAGCACCATCTCCACCACCACCGGAACCAGAACCACAACCGCAGCGGCGACAGCGGCAGGAAGGAAGCGAGGCGCGACCGTCACAGCAGCAGTGAACCACCCCAACCACCTCCCTTCCTCCATCTCGAGGCCCGCCACGCGAATGACGCGCAGAGCTAGCGGCATCAGCGAGTCCAGCGAGAACAGCACCTCGACGGTGATCCGCCACAAAAGGCCCATGACGGCGCCGCCCGGCGCGCAGCCGAAACCACCGCCGGCTGCGGGTGCGACAGCGGGTGTGAAGCGGGCGGTCATGAGTACCATCAAGAAGGGGGTCGCGGCGGGCACGGCGAGAAAGGCGCCTGCGGCGAAGGCCACAGCAGTTGTGGGTGCGAATGGGACGGGGACGGGGAGGGTGTTGAGAAAGAGGGCTTGAATCGAGGTCGGGGGGTTGTAGTGTCTTACGGCGTTAATGGTGGGGATACGCCAGACCTAGGTATGTGTTCCGCTGATTTTTATCGGTTTGCATTGTCGGACAGTAGCGACATGGATTTGGGCGTCAGGATAATGTTGCCGTGTCGGTATGGGATGAGAGATGAGCGCGTCGCCCTACAAGGGGACAACGGGAGGCTTGTTTGTTTTATTGTTCTCCAATGCATCGAAACGTGTTCAATGGGCAAACTCCGAGTACTTGCCCCATCACATCCGTGGCTACCCATGACGCGGCCCTTGTTCTGGTTGTCTAACCCGCCCCAGCCTTCTTCTTCTTGTCCTCCACCAACTCGATATTATCCTCGGGAATGTCTTTATACTTTTCCAGCAATAACTCCTCAATTTCCCCGCTCACATCGCCTTGCACTACAATCTCCTCCCCGCCGCTCGGTGTCTTGGTTACGGACGACCCGGTCGCGAACTTCTTGCCAAAGTCCTTGGCCACCTGTGGGGTTCCTCTCTGTTAGCATCATCCAATGCATGACAACAGCAAAGGAGGAAGCAGGGGGGGCCAAGGAACAAAGCGTGAACGGGGACTGTGACCGCGACTGACCTTTTTCAAATCGAGCCCAAACGCCTCGAGCCCACTGACGGCTGTCACGTACTTGCGCTTGTTGCGCTCGATCCGCTTGATGGTCACGACGCTCTTGGCCAGCTGGTCGGCGTGCTTTTTCTCTGCTGCCTCCGCCTTGGCGGCTTTCTTTGCTGCGTCCTTGGCCGCGCGTTCTTTGGCCTCGACTGAGAGGGAGGCGGTCGCTTCTTCGAGGGCCTCTGTGACGGGAAAAAAGGGAAGTGTCAGCGAGAGGTCGAGGGACTTCGAGGGAGGGGGCGGTTATATGGAAGGTTTGTGGGCTGTAGAATGGTACGGACCAGGAGACCATATCCTTTGGTAGAGGTCTGGGTGGTTCTTTTCGAGCCATTCCTGGCACTTTCTCACGGTGCCTCCGTATTCGCAGTACTACCTGGCGTCAGAGCTTCGGTTCGGCACTGGTTGGAGTTTTCGGACGAGGGGCGACGAGGGGTGGGGGACTGTCAGGGTTCCCTTGGAAGAGGGGGAGGTGGAAGGTGTTGGTTCCTAGGGCGGGGAAGTTGGCATAGAGTTCGTACCTCGGGTGGAAGAGTGCAGACTGGGTGAAGACAATGTCAGTATTTCAAACGTTCAATGGAGTTATTGCGCGTAGAGCAGATGACCGGCGCCGGCAACTTTCATGGAGATGATGTCACACGAGCAAAGCGGAACTGGTTGTTGCGACGGGGCACTTAGCTACTCACCTCCGCAGTAAACAACCTCGCGGCCGACCGGCGCGGGTTCAGCCATGCCTGGGCGAAGGAATAATTTGCTGTGCTTGGTCGAGTGATTTAAATGAAGGCGGTAGTATTGAGCGCGAACTGATGTCGTCCTTGTCGCGGGTTCGTGTTACCTGGTCGCGCCGAGATGCTGCCCCCTTCGCTTGAATTGACTGCGGGGTGTTCGATGCTCTATGGCGGGGCAAAGACACAAAGCAAGTCCAAAGCTTCAATCAAGCTTCAAGCAAGTTTAAGCCAATCAGAGTACTGCACCAAGCCCGCACCGAGTGGATCCACCTTGAGAACAGCGTTTCTGACCTGTGACGGCGCCAACTGGCCAACTGGGCGCTTCACAAACTCGACTCGACTGTTGATTCATCTCGCCCATGCTAACGTGTCAAGTTTCAGCGCGTCGGCATGCGCCACTACCACGCCCATCGCGTGGTTTACTTCTTTGCATCTCATTTCCTGTGCTGCAGCCAGCGTCACTCTCGAGATGACGAAGTAGCCACAGCAGCTCGAAGCAAGCTCAAGCTGTTGAACCGTGGCGTGGCTGTTGACCTGGCACACATCTCAGGTCCCAACCTCAATCAGATGTGACCTCGCGACTTTACGTCTATAATAAACAGCAGGAATTGGTCGACTGTTGGTCGTTAGCTCACTCTGATGAAGGTACAATACCTGACCTATGAGTCAAAACAGACTGGCGCCACCGACCGACCGTCATACCGAGGACGGAATATCACCGACTGAATGGCGCAATCAGGGTGGCACGAGAGCATCTTCTGTTTCGGGCACCTGACTCTTCTCCCCCGTGTGGCCGATATTGGTCCTTATTACCAGAGGAGGAAACCGCCACGACGACGAGAACCAGGACATAATTACCTTCAAACCCAAGCCGGCGGGATGCGCGGCTGCAGGAACAGATCGGAGCTACTTACCGGTACATCGACTATCTATCAGCTCGCAGCACCCAAATATATCTTCGGGCCAGGGCTTGGTCAACGATTCTGCATCTCCCGCCACCCAGAGTGCTTCTCGGGCCGCGATCGAAACGATTTCCTGGATTCACTGTGGTGCAACTCTAGTTGTCCTTCCAGGTTCCGGTCAAACAGAAACTGAGGGGCATAGTGAAAACGGTGTCTGGTTCATATGCCCCAACGACGAACCAGGTCCAATCGATGGGGCAGCCACAGCAGCCGCCGTGTAAGCGCCCGCTCGACTTGCCATGCGCTGGCTGTTCTCATTGGCCACAGCCCTCTGCAGCTCTCTCCTCGCTCCGGGTTCCATTGGCGCGCGCCTTACCACCGCATGCCGTTTATCGATTCGGAGCCAAGCCGTCCTCGTGGCTGTGCGCAAGCTCATTCGTCAGCTGCGGCATTGTCGACGTCGTGATGCTGCCCAACTCATCCTAGTTGTTGCCTCTTTGAGCGGCCGTCGCTGCATACCACCCGCCATCTGGTAAGCTGCCGTTCAGACTGTCGGACGCTATGCCCCGTCCGGCCATTCTGCGCTTCTCGAACGGCTAGTCACACATGTCTGCCCATCGAGTCGGTGGGAGTTGGGCGGGTCGGCTGGACGTTAGGCGCTCTGGTGGATATCACCTGGCTTCCTGGCTCTGGACTTTGATGCTCATTCTCTTCATATTATATTTCGTTCGAGCCACCTGGCACAGGTGCCGTTTGTCTCCCTTCATCTTCGCTTCTTCCGCCTTCTGCGCACTTACAAAAATAGTGCTTCGTTGACCGAAGCCGGTCCTGTCGTCTCCCCCTCCCCCCCGCCCTTGTTCCTAATTATCGTTACATTTTTCGGCGCAGGACGTCCTCCCAGCTTACTCGCAGTGTCTATTTCCATGCCTGTGTGACACTATTTTTTGCTAAATTGATCCTGCAAGAATAACCACCATGTCCGACCAAGTATTGCTACCAAGAACCACATTCCGGCCGCCCTCTCCGCTGGGCCGGAGGAGGCCGGCTCGGACCCTTAATCCTATAATGGAGGAGCCGGAACAGACGAGAGACTCGTTCGTCGAGCGCAGGAGGAGCAGGCGGTCTATCGACAAGATTGAACAGTGGCTATCCCCTATGAGCGACCATTTCCCCACGCCGAGAGGCCAGCACTTCCTCGCTGCTCCGATCTTCCCCGCGACGCCGTCCTACGTGTCGAGCGACGCTGAGCCAGATCTGGACAACGACGACGCCAGTTCACAAGCCTCCTCGTCGAATCCATCTTTCCAGTGGAACAACAACCACAACCGAGACAGCATAATGACCGACGTGACTGAGTTTGACGATCTTTACGATGTCTCCGACGATGAAACGACACGAAAACAACGTCTCCAAGCGAATGGTATCGGCCGCCAGCGAAGTTCCAGGAGCTTGAGGAGGGCGTCAAGGGCGTCCTTGGACCTGCGGAGGTCCTTGGCACCCTTGGTGATTCCGGAAGAGTCAACCCTCACAGCTGCGAAGAAGTTGATGTCGCCGATTCCACCAACTCCCCCATCCGCGGTCGTCATGTCTCCCGCCGTCAAGACCTTCATGGAGCTGCGTCAGGCACAGGAGATCCCTGGTGCCTCAGCACCCCCGTCCCTTGACGGCAGCATAAACTCGGAGGAAATGGCCCAGATGTCAGCCCCTCCAACGCCAATGATTGGAGCCCAGGACAGCGAGGACGAGGAGTGGTCCGGGGTCCGTTTGCAGCCGGGTGCCCTCGAGACACTCCAGGCACTCTCTGGCAGTGACTCAGAGTTCGACGAGGAACCCACTCAGGTTATCGAAGTACCCCAGGAGATGACGGAAGCGCGCCAACGTACGCCACGACTAGTCACCGGCACCGGCCTGGCCAGAGCTTTTTCTCACCGGCAGTCTCTCGCTGAGCTGACCAGGCTTGAGATCCCGTCGCCAGGCGGATTCTTTTCTGAACTTTCGTCTGCTAGCCGGCGCACTTGGAACTGCCAGGCGGAGGAGGTCAACCCACCGACCTCGACCACGGCCGAGAACTTCTACAAGTTCCCGTGGAGCCGGTCGACCGACAGGGTCCCGCCACCGCCACCGCGGCCGCTGCACCTTGATGACTTGCCATCTGCCATTGTCGAGCGTGTTATCGAGCTGCCCCTGAACGAGAACTCCGAAGATCTCCCGACGGCAATTCGGTGCGAGGAGACCCCGGTGCCCATCACCGCCCGCAGAGTACCACCTACTCCGAAGCAATCCGAGGCTCCAGTTCCCGAGACGGCGGTCGAGGAGCCCACCTCTCCCGTCGATGTCAATGAGATCATCGCCGGGTACGATGTTGAGTACGCCGCGAAGCAGGAAGAGAATACAGTGTCACACATCGACCGCACGGAGATGTGGTTGGCAGCCCAGCGCGCCTACCTCCAAGGAGTGGGTTTCTCGGACGAAAACGAAACCTCGGAGAAGCCGGAGGACGAGACTGAGCCAGAAGAGACACCAGAGGTTCCATCCGTCGTCGCATTCCCTGAGCCTGAAAAAGCCGAGCACAAGAAGAAGGCCGTTCGCTTCTCCGAGGTTGTCCTCAAGCACGACATTCCCCGCAGCCTGCCTTCCAAGCTTTTGCGCCAGGAGTCCTCCTACTATCGCGCCTTCACTGACTACATGGTAAGGGCATGTACCTCAGATGTCTTCATCCACCGCCATGCGCGCTTCGAAGCCCTCCAAGCGCAGCGCGTCTGCCTCAGGGACGCCCACCGCAACCAGCTCCTTGGCAAGTTCCAGTTGTCGGTAGTGCCGCAGTCAGCCAAGAAGCGCATGAGCGCCAATGTCGTCCGTGGCGACGATGTTCTCGTTGATGACCCCGAGAAACTCCGCGCCGACAAAGAAGCCGATGCCCTGTCCCAGATGCGCCTGGCTTCCTGGCAGGTGGCTGCCACCAAGCTCCTTAATGGCGGCCGCCTCATCTCCGCCCCTGTGGGCAAGCGCCTGGCTCGTCTGAGCTGCATGGCTCCCGGCCTTGACGGCGTCAGCCGAGACCGCGCTCGCATCCTCGACCTCGCCGGCCAGGGTGCATGCGACTGGGCGTGGCACGCCGCCCTGCAGTACCCCAACACCAAGATCTACACTGTCACCACCAAGACGATCCGCCAGCTCAGCAACAGCAACATCCGCGGCCCGCCCAACCACCGCCAGGTCGCTGTTCCCACCCTTGCTAAACTCCCCTTCGCCGACGACCAGTTCGACCTCATATCGGCGCGCGAGCTGCACGCCGTGTTGAAGCTCTTCGGCGAGCACGGCATAGACGAGTGGAACGCCTGCCTCAACGAGTGCATGCGCGTGCTCAAGCCGGGCGGATATCTCGAGTTCAGCTTGCTCGACGCCGACATCATGAACGCCGGACCGCTGGGCAACGCAAAAGCCGTCGAGTTCAACTTTGCCCTGCAGACCCTCGGCTACGACCCCAACCCGACCCGCTCGTTCCTCGGCCGCCTCAACACAGCCGGCTTCGACGAGATCCGCCGCGCATGGGTGTGCCTCCCCGTCGGCCCAAAGCATCCTCCCCGCCCGGCGGTGTCTGTCACGACTGCTTCCACGAGAGACTCGACCTCGGGCGCGTCGGTAAAACTCCACAGCCTCGAAGCCATTGTGTCAGGGTCGAGCGAGAACGTCGCGGCTATTACTGGTGTCGCCGCCGGCTGGAGCTGGGAGAGGTGGCTTCTCCGCGCCGAGATGGAGAGGGCGGCGGGCGAGCTCAGGCTAGCGGATACCGTCAATCCGGGCGACGCCATGCGCGAGGCGGGCAAGATGATCGCCGATGTGCATGCCGTTATGGACGAGGGTCGCGGCATGGGCTCGTGCTTCAGGATGCTGAAAGGGTATGCCCGCAAGCCGAGGCCGCCGGCGCCTGTCCCGGGGCCGGTGACTGCAAATGGGAAGGTGCCGACCGTGGAAGTGACAGGTCCGGAGCTGGACCGGAGCGGATCCATTCGGATTTGTTTGGATACTGAGTCGATTATGTGAAAGCAATAGGCAAAATGTGAATGCAAACCAGGGAGCATCCGGTGCTGTCAAGTGGTTACTGCTCGTTTTTCCCATCGCGATTGCGGCCTCTGGTTTGGGCTGGTGTTTTCCTCGCTGTACTTTTCGCTACTCAGATATCACATACATCAGGGTCATTGGCATCAACCTAGAGTCAAATATAGAGGCTGATAGTCCTCCAATCTTCCTCGGCGTACCTTCAGGCCCTACCTGACATTGGCCTCGTGTCACTAATATCCTTTTATGGTATCATCTCTCACATGATTTTAGGGCATCATCAATCCGATAAAATTACTATTCTTGGCCGCTTCTCTCCTCCTCTCTTACCCTCCACCTTACCCCCTGGGTTTAGCGCATCGACTATTGGTCCCTACGCCCCTCAAGACAGGTCCAACCTCTGCTGCTTCTGTTATTCCCCCGGCACAACTAACCACATCAAACCCTACAGTGTAGAAGGGAAGATTGCGCACGTGACGTCATTACCAGTCTAGACGAGATCACTAAGGTCAACCAACAACTGCCTCCCTCTTAACGGACAACCTCCCATCAAGCAATGAAGTGAAGCAGGCCATTCTCTCCCTTCCAAATCCGTGTTGCAGAAGACCCCAATCCCAGGTCCTTAAGACCATTCGATTCACCCTAGGAACGTTGACAAACACGCCGGCCTCATCAGCCCTGCCTGCTCATCCGCTCATTCATTCACCCAAACAAGCGATCTGTCGTGAACGTCCACCAACCATACCCGTCATGAGGAAAATCTCAGCAAGAAAAGAGACGGTTAAAAAAAAAAGGGGTAAATAACCTGCAGAGGCCTCATGCACACGCTGGTATGCCGGCACGCTGAACGAATGTTAAAAGAGTATATACATCCCTCCACCACATCCCCACTCTCCATTCTCCCATCCAAAAGAAAGCAACCTGTCTGAAGAAGGTAAACAATCCCTTCCCCGACCCCGTCTCCCGTTCCCTTCCCAAAAAGCACCTCATCAACATCACCCTAACCTTGGCCGCTCCTCCCCGTAACACAGAAACAGACCAGAGCAGAGCGCCACTCTCACCGACTATCCAGCTGCAGATCCCGTCGAGTTCAAGTCTCCATGATATCCGGCGCGGGCGACCCCAACGTCACCTCAGGCCGCACCATCTGAGTATGATGACGCTGGCGATTCGCTTCATCGGCGCTGACGCTCCTGCTTAGTGGTGGCCGCGGCGGATGGGTAGAGAAGGACTGGCTTCTAGCCAGTGCGCTGGCACTCGTGCTGTGGCTGGACGGCTCGACGTCCATTGCCTCGTCCTCGTCTTTGTCTCGGGGTCGGCCAGCCGCAGCAGCAGCAGAGGCACCAACAAAAGGAAAAGGTGGGATGGCAACTTTGATTTCGGGTTTTGCCTCGGGATCGGTATCGGGTTGGCTCTGGCGCTGCTCATGGGGTAAGGTGATTTGGGACGGGCCTGGTTGCGACGGCGCCGTCGGGTTGAACCGGTGTTGTTGTTGTCGTTGTTGCTGTTCTGGCTGATCTTGTTCTTGTCGGTCATCAATCTGCATGGATTCCTTATCCTCGCTAGCGGTGTGCTGATCGTCGGGCCTGCGCTCGCTAGCGCCGGGTTCGGGGTCCGTGGTGTGAGCGAATTCCATGCTGATGTCTCGCGGATCGGCCCGCGGTTGTGTAACCTCGGGGGAACTGCGCGCCTCCATTTCAATGTCGAGTTCCTTGCCCTTTTCGGTGCTCGCTGTTGTTGGCGTCCTCGTCGCCGAATCCTTCCTCGCCGTGACACTGCCACCTCCGCTGCCAGCAGTCTTGGGCGTCGACGGTACTATCACATTCAGCACGCAATCATCCAGGTGCTCGTAGAACTCCTGCGCCGTGGCAAACTGGCTCTGGCAGATGTTGCACCTAGCTCCTACACCCCCGGCTCTACTGGCCCCGGTGGGCAGGACCAGCTTCCTGCTGTTCGGCGGCGTCTGCTCAACGTTATGCACCGCTGTCAGATGCCGCTTGAATACGTCTGCGCGGTTGAACGCCTTCTCATACGCAGTTCCGACGCCTGGGCAAAACGGACACACCATGGTGCCCTTGTAATGTGTCAGGGCATGCCGGTTCTTGTCATATTTGCGGGCGAACCCTTTGACGTGATACTCGCACGTCTCGATAGGACACTTCTCCGGTCTCTCCTCCATGTGCGTCAACATGTGGGCTGCAAGGTCTTTAAAGACGCGGCCACATTCTGGAAGAGGACAGCGGCTACGAGCGGACGAGGACGACGCTATCGAATGTGGCGGTTCGTCCTCCTTGAGAGTGGGAGTGGGCGCTAAAAAGGCGTTGTGCGCAGTCTGAATAATAATCGGTGGAGGGCCGACTGGATTGAGGCGGTCGAGCGAGGGAGCCAGCAATGGCGGGCCATGTGCCTGTGGAGGCACAGGAGGTGCTGGTGCAAGACGGGGTGCCTCGGAGACGGGCGAGCGGTGCTGCGGCGGGGAGATGAAGTCGTGGGCTCTCTTGTAATCCTGCACTTCTTCGTCGCCGCTCGATGCATCATCCTGGTCTTGCACATCGATGGACTGCCGGACCTCACGCATCCAATCCTTCAGAATCGACATGGGCGGCCAGTCTCCGCTCGCCTTACCTCCGCGATGAGGGTTGAAGTGGGCTCTCCGAAGGTGTGCAGCCGCGTTATAGTACGCCCCGTAGCGTTTCTGGGTGACGCAGGCCTTGCACTTTGCGAGCGGTATCACGGGCTGCGGCGAGCCGGGGCCGTCCAGCGGTTGTGTGCAGACCCATCTTTTGACGAGGGCGGCATGTTTCGCATCGTTGTGCCTTCTCAGTTCATGCTCGCCGCGGAACCCTTCGGGATACTCGTTACATTTCGTACAGTAGACTCTCCTCAGCGGTGGTCTCTGGTACGAAGCCCGCATCCTGGACGTTGCAACCGGGGAAGTCGGTACGCGACCAGGCTGCCTGACAAACGTTGGGCTTTCGGCAACGGTATGCCGTCTACCGGCGTCCATGGCTTGGGGCGAAGTAAGCATCCGATCGGGCTCTCCTTTGAAAACGTATACGTCTCTGTCCGGTTGACTGTGGGCCGCAGGTGTCCACGACGTGATGAGTGGTCGCATATCAGGGAGCGGCTTTCTCGACTCGTCCGCCGGCTTGTTGATCGGCGGCAGGACAAGAGAGCTCTGCATGGTTGGCGACCGCTGCCTGATAAATCCATTGTAGTAGCTCCCCTCGATCTCTCCGCTCCCAAGGAGCATGAGAAAGTCTTTGCATGTTGGAATGCCACGCTCCGCCCACGAGCTCCTACCCAAGAACACCCCGGCTGAGATGAGCAGTTCCCGATCGTCGTGGCCCATGTCCATATCCTGCGCGTCCAGGAGCATCGGGGTAGACCATGCAAAGACACTGACAAGTGCCTTATGGACCGCGTGCATCGCTGCTATCGATGCCTGCGAGGCTGGGTTGAAACGAAGATGAGTGGCTCTGTCAACCAGAATGGTCTTCACCATGCTGAAGATGCAGAGGGCAAACACGCCGGCCAGCCAGCTCTTGGAGTCCAATGGGCCGGGCCGGGCCATCTGATGGTCAAATGACTGCAGGAACTGGACCATGCAATTGTAGAGCACATGGAAGCGCCCATATGAATCTGCATCGTCAAAGACCACGTGAGAAACTGAGCTGCTTGGCTCTCCATGAATCGCTGGATCAGGATGCTGGAGGTCGAAGAAGAGAGTCTCTCGAAGCAACAGCTTGGCGCGGAAGAGGACGGGATACCTGGCAAGTTCAGCTTCCCGGTTGTCCGAGAATACTCCACTCAGCTTCAAGAGCTGCCAGAAGTTGTACATGGTGCCGTTCATATTCCAACTGGCTCCCAGGACGTTGAGAATCGGCGGCGGTCTGTCGATGGCGTCCTTGTGGAAGGAAGCTCGGGTCGGGTTCGATGGGGGCAAATTAGCAAGGTCCTCAGTCCACCAGAACCCGTCGTCGAAATCCATCTGGGCCTTGACCATTCTCGTGATTTCTGGAGGGACGACAAAAGCTCTCTCCAGAAAGTCGTTCAAGTTGCGCCGGACGGCAAGAGGCGAAGTCATGGGTGTCTGGGGGTGCTTGGGGGCCATGAAAGCTACATGCTGTTAGCGGGACCCGGCCGTTGCCCGGGAGAACGACATGCGTACCTGGCAGCATAATATCGGCAAAAGAGGTAAGCGGCCCTCGCTGGCAGCCAAGAGCCTTCCAAAAATCAGCGCCTGGGGAGGTCGCCGGGTCGGGACAGAGTCTACAGGGATCGTTGGAGTCGCACTACCGGTGTCAACTGGGAACATTCTGGCACATCTGGAGCTCGACTCACTGATTGCTGCAACACCCTGCAGCGAATACAAGGTCCGATGTCTCGGAGGAGGCGGAGTTCCTCAATGGATTCAAGCCGAGACTGCCCAACACGGCTGCGCTTCAATGGCGGCAGCAACGGGTCACCTTCGGAGTCAACTGAGCCACGGGGAGCAGCCGGCTGCTCAGATGTAAACGAATAGCTCCGTAGGGACTCTCGTTGGTCCCTTCCCTGGCCGCCTGTCGCCAGAGGAGCGAGTGAGAAACTCGCGGCGGGGCGTGGGAGGTAGAGCGGCGAAGCAGTCTGTTTGCTGTAGTCGACACCATGGCTTCGGGTTGGATGCTCGGTGAACTGCAATGGCGGCGTGCCTCCGACAGATAGCCCCGAGTCCCGCTTGCGGGGGATCACATGCTCCTTGGAGTGCTGATCGCGGTCGTCACGATGGGGATAGCCGTATATGTAGTGCATGCACCGGTCATCCCAGCATTTGAACGAGTGGTGGGCGCGGAAGCCAAGGGGCAAGCTGTCCTTCAACCGGAACGCGCGGGCAACTGGGTCATACTGGGCGAGATTCCTGTCTAACCACGCAGCGTACCCTTCCGGAGCCTCGTCGCGATGATAGTGATACTTTAAGGTGTCAAGAAACCCGGGGTCCTGGAGGTCGATACCTAACAGGCACGCATGAGTAACACGGCCGCTGGCACACAACGACGGCAGAAACCTACCTTGATCGACGCAAGCAGTTTCGATGCATTCGCATTGATACTGCAGCGCTCTCGCCTCCTCAATCTCAGACGAGGGTAAGATATTTCCGGATAATTCTAGTCAAATGGCGATCAGATCAGGCCGCTGCAAAGGGTGGCCAAAAGAACCGGCAGGGTGGATAGGAAGAGTCACAACATGGGATAAAAGCAAAGGGCGGCTCACGGTTGTCTTCTGCGTATGCGCGCAGTACCCGGAGTTTGTGACGCAGCATCTCGAGCTCCAGCTTGATGTTGGGTCCATATTTTTGGGGAAGCAGAGCGGCCAGCCTTGCCTGGATTTCGGCCTGCTGGTCCAGCAATTGCTTGATGGTGGGGTCCAGCGACGGGTCATACGGCTGGTGATGCGGAGCGGGTGCGACCGCAGGGGCGCCTTGACCGACGGGCGCAGTCAGAACCGGGGCCGATGGCGCTGTCAGTGAGTCGCGATCCGGCCGAGACGAGGTGGAGATGGGAGGCGGCAGCGGCAACGGCAAGGCCGGCGGCGCAAAGTTCTCGGCGGCCATGGCGGCTCTCGCCCGGGGCTTCCCGGGTTGCGGAAGCGGTTGTGTGGGTAGGGCGGCGCAGCGTGGCACGGCGGCACGGTACGGGTACGGCACAGCGACAGCAGCAGGCTGGTCGGAGGCCGGTGCCGCCCTGGGGCAAACGGAGAACAAGCAGCCCTAGGCTGATGCTCAGCAAGCTCGATCAGCTTCTGCTAGCTCTCCGAGACCCTGCGCGGAGGCGGAGACGGAGGCGGCGGCTTGCTCGCCCGCCAACCAGAATCGGAGCGGTTTCTTCGTCGCGCATCAACAACAGGCAGTTCGGCGGGCCCGCAGGCACAACATGGTGGTCGGGAGGTCGAACTCTGTAGCCGTAGCGGTAGTAGTGGTTGGGGTCCAACGGTGCTGCTTCTGCTGAAATGCATCACAAGGCCATCGTGCGCGGCTGCGCGAGGCGAATTGGGGCGCGTGTACTGAGGAGCTAGCGCAAACGGCGCTGGAGCTGGGTTTGCAGCTTTCGGACGTCCATGAAGGCTGCGGGCAGCGCCGATGAGAGAGTCTCTTGCATAATAAGCTAAGGTAGATTTTTGGGGGAAAGTAATTAAGATCAGTTGCACCTTGGAGAAGTGGGGCACATAACGCGGCCGACGAAACCATCAAGGGAAGGGCGAGGCCGCAGATTGTTAAACATAACACTACGGTACTGTCCTGCGTTCCTGCCGAACCCCGGGCCAGAACCTTCGACTTCTTGCTCCGCCTTTCCCACCGCGTTTGCCTCCTCGTTCCTTTGGCAGCTGCAGCCCTTCGCGCTCGCATGATGGTGCGCTTTGTGTTTTCCACGGCGACCCAAAAACCGCGCGATTCGTTTTTGCAGCGGCAGTCCGTCTCCGCATGGGGACCAAGACCCTCCCCCTCGGCTCGGCTAGGCGAAGCCCCATTGGCCCACATATTTGAGCTGCAGTCAAGCCCTGGTTTATTTGTTAGTGTGCCGCATGGCAGGTGCAAGAACAGAACGGAGAGAATATGGATTGCGAAAAGGACGTAAGGAAGAACAAGGAGGAGAAATACAAAAAGATAAAGAGAAAATCTGAAATTGAATGTATAAGAATGGGAAGAAGATACATACGTATGGAGAGGGAACGAAAATAATAGGTAGTTGAAAGTCTCGAAGGGATAAAAATGGTAGGCATCAGTTCCGCCTTAACAAACAAGCCCTGGGCCGGGCTGAAGGCAGAGCTCGACGCTTTACTGAGAGTGGCCTAGCGCCTGCATTGGGCGGGGACGGTCTCGAAGACCGTTGGAAGGTGCAACGTGGGTCGTAAGCTGTGGGTCAGCTGCATCCCGCTGCTCAGGTTCGGATCTTGGCTCAGGTCTTTCGCAGCTTCGACATCTCGGAACGGATACAGACAGTAATGCCTCGACGTTGGTTCTGAAGGAACACTCCCATTTGAACCAGAGCTCAACAGACTTTGCCTCGCGTCGATAAGGCGCCCGAGGCACAGACTGCTTGTCGTTGAAGCAGTCACCGGTTATGGTAGCAGGAAGGCGTTGGAGGAATGCAACCTTCATCTCGCAACCAGCTGTGCTCATCAACCTGCGGGCTGGCTGCAGTCTCGGGCCAGCGAGCCAGGCGCTTTCTCTGCCGACATGCGATCCCACCTTGACGTGACACCTGTCCGATTGCTGCGCTCACTCCTGTGAGCAGATTGGTGCGGGGCCTGGCCGGCGAGACGAAATACACAGGACCGTCCAACAACATCCCGTCTCGAGGAGACCCAAATCTCGCCGCTACCCTGCTTGGAGGCCCTCTAGCCGCCTCGACCTTTTTTGTCTCTTCTTTCCTTCTTTCTTTTATAACTCGGCAGGCGCACGTTGGAGCCCTGAAATTGCGCCTTGATCTTGGATGGCCGCATTTTGAACTGCTCTTCCCCAGTTACCCTATGGACTGGCATCCGGCCCTCAATGGCCCACAGTTCCGTTGCCGCCATGTACTCCAACTATCATCCTGGTCTGGCGTTCGCTCGCGCAGGTTGAGTGTCACGCGTCTTCAAGGACCGCTTTTCGCAGCAGTCCGGCGCCCCTACTGCAGTGCTCACCGGGCGGTTGCGTGAAAACGTGGCCTCACTGTTCCACCAAGAATTGGAGCCGATCTTTCTTCCAGCTAGATCAGCCCAGCGTCATCGGCATCGGCAGTACCCGTCCGTTCTGTGTAGATTCGTGGAAACCAACCAAAAGGCGCGGCCCAGTGTGTCGATTCGCGCCGCCGACTGGTGAATGACCAGTCCGTCTCGCGTCTGGCGACGCTGGCTACCCCTCATCTCGCGGCTGGTTCTGTGATTGTCGGCCTGGCAATTAATGTGACGGGAAAGCTTGCAGCTGGTGTAACCCCCGACCCCGTCCATACAAATCAGCGGCCGGCGGGCGAGCATCACCGACTCCAGGCGGCTATTGAACTCCTGCGCAAGCTTAAGCTCTCAAGCTCGCGGCTCACAAACAGTGAGGGCGCCGATGTGCTCCGATGGTCCGATTTGGGAAGGTCACCTCGCACATACATGGAGCTACACAAGGGCCCCTCTTCAGGGAGCTTCACACGCCGAATCGCAGCGAACGGCCACCCTCCATCACGACAAGCAGCTTGGATCCGTTATCAGCAGGCTTCAACATCTCAATCCTCACTGGTTAGGCAAACTCCGAGGCTCTTGTTCCCTGTCAGCCCAGCCACTCACTTCCCACAGTATGGCTTGTTCCGCACAAGCCAATGAAGCCAGCGCGCCCTCAAGTCATTCACTTGACGTTTTAGGCCGCCCACGCAGCCTGTCCATTCTGGGACTAGGGCAGTTCGCCTTATCCCTCAGCTTCTTCAGCTGGTTCGCCCTGTCCTCTTCTTCCAGACTCGCGAGCTTGTCGGGCCATCCCTTTCTTAGAGTGCGGAGACTGAATAGCTGAGAGTACTGCCTGTCTGGCTCCCAATGCTTTCCCACTTAGCTCAATTGAGGTCATCTAGCAAGGCCTAGACTTCGTGTGGCTTCCAACGCCTTGGTCTCTGGGGAAGCCCATCCTTCCATTGGGTTTGTGACTCCGTCATTCATTATGGCGAAGGCGTCCATGCCAAACACCTTCGGGAGAGAATCTGGCATCCCCGAACACACCCCACCTTCCTTCCCTGGCGATTTAGACTACGGGACCTCCGAGGTCACCTTGCAGAGACAACAACCCTCAAAGGAAGTTCCAAGAGTATAAAAGGACGGTTGCCTTGTGCTTGCAGAATCAACATGCCGGTGTCCATGGGCTCATGATCCGCAAGAGCCTGTACAGCGGCACATTACCGCAATCATGACTTTTTCTGTCCCCTTCCTTGTTGAGTGCGACTTGTCCGTAGCCGCCATCGCCAATCTGCTTGCTATCCTAACGGCCCTTATCTTCATCGCTCATCGACACTGTGCCACTCAGGCAGGTATGTCTTTTATTGTTCCTGGTTTCTCTCTTTTTCTTGCCTGTTCAGCTTTTCTACTTTTTTCCCTTTCGCCCCGATCTCGCCATGCCTCCTGCCTGTGCCCTCTCATGCCATGTCGCCATATTCGACACCAAGTCTCTTGGTTTCTCATTTTGTCTGCTTTTCTCCGCCGGTCTCCTCATCCACCAAGTCCGCGACACAAGACGTCATCCGAAGCCTTAACCGTTTCCCAGCACCGGTTCAGTCCGAGACACCCGAGACATCCTCTAAACCGGCATCCCCTACACACGTCTTCGCAGCACAAAAGCCATCGGCCATAGCCAGTACACCTGCACCTGCACCACCTACAACCATGGTCGCAACAACAGCAACAACAACAACAGCGGCCAAACCGACCCAAATCCCCGCCCCGCCCTCCAACAACCGGACGCCATCCCTACCGGCAAGTCTCAACCTGAACCTGAACCAGGCCGTGCTTCCCTGGCGCGCATCCTTCAGCCACCTTGTCCGGCGGCGGTCAAGCACCGTTAGCACGGGCTTCATGACCGCCGTGTCTGTGTCGGACACGGTACTGGGGAGGAAAGGATCGGCGTGCACAACGAGATGGTCTTCGGACGATGGGAGCAGCTCGGAAGGGGCTGCGTCTGGGCCAATTGATGCGGGGTCGGAACCTGACGCGGGCGAGTCGACGTCGGTGCTGGCTGGGGTCGGGGAGCAATTTCAATGCTTTGAGCGGTCGGGGTGGTAGTGTTCACTGGAGGTGAGTGATGCGGCGTTCAAGTGTGGTTATGGGGGTGAAACCGGGTGTGGGATATCATGGTGAACGTTTGGATGAGGGTGAAATGGGTCGTTGGCAGTGGTGTGTTTAGGTATGTCTTGAACTCTAGAGGATACAGGAAAGACGTGCGATTTTTGAGGGCTCGGTATCGGGCAGACTGTGCACGACTACGAGGAGAACCCATGAATGCAGCGGATGATGTTGTCTCCTGGATGCAGATATGCCCAGCCGAGTAAATCGCGGCCAGGGGAAGTCGTTGAATACGGCCCGCGCCCTCCAACAACCCTTCGTTGGACGTGCGCTGGCGCTACTGGGCTGCATGTAGTTCCACGTTGTCGAAGGGTCGGACCGTCCGAGCCCTCTCCTCCGCTCTTGGTACATCTTGACACGCCGACAACGTACTGCAGCTGGGGAAATGTCGCCGATTAAACCATAGGAAAGCGTCACAGCGACACGCTCGGAATTCCCTCAAACGTACGGCTGGATGAATCTGGCAACAAGCTATGAGCAATCACGGGACACGGGAAAGGAGTCCTTAGATGCGGCGCTGGTTGCGGACGAATGTATTTGATGGTGAGAAATGAGAAGTGGTCGCAACACGAAAATTTTCCGAGATGGAGAGCGCAGCATACAGTGCGCAGCAGTTACAGTGTGTCAAACACTGTACAAAGAACACTGTCCTCGGCTCCTTAACCCAGCTCCTGGATATCGGGTTGGTAACTGGTCCGCCTGGTCGAGAGAAAAGTGGTCGTCTGACATAGCCTTATGAAGGGAAGAGCGGAAGACATGCGTGTGACAGTTCCGCCGCAACGATATATAAGGAATAGATCACAATTAAAACTTCAAAACCTCAACGACCAGCTGCCCTCGCCGAAACCAGCGAAGGTCTTAGGAGGCCATCGGCTACAAAAATCACCGGGTCGGTTCACACGGATCGAACTGGTGTCTCCCTTGAAGCAGGTGCCGTCGACTTGCAGCCATTGACTCTTTGGTGGCCGGTGGAAGATGGTACGTAGGAAGCTGTTTATAGACTGCAGGTGCTGCTGGCGAGGTGCTCACTAATCAGTGTGGTTAGGAGCACGCGTCCGGAACTGAAAAAGAATTGTCAAGATCGACTTGTCGCCTGATTTTGTGTCGTTTCAGAGCACTGACTGAGCTTCTATCTCACTGCCGCCAGCACTTGGAGTGTTGCATGCGTCTGGACTCGGCTTCACTTTCCGTAGGGCAACTGCATTATCGCCACGTTGTCACCACCGTCTTTAGGTACCTGGTAACTTTGCTTGTCCAGGTGTGAGACAGTGTTGGAATTGAACTTGATAAACCACGGCGCATTCCTCACTGTTGGGCAGTGGCTGATTGTGGCTCCGCTACTCCTAGCACTCATGCTTGATATGCCACGACAGAGTTGTAACGGAACTCCCTGAAACCTAGCTCACTCGCCTTGTCGAGCCATGTTTGAATTTTTTTATGAGCAATGTCCAGCTCTGGCTTGAAGTCCAGTCGGTCGCGGCGCTGAAGAGCATGTGATCAGACTTTGGTCTCGAACACTTGCTTATCTGCCGTACGGAAAACGGGAGTCAAGGCAACTGCGTGTTCAATGATCGTCCAGCTCATACACCAGTACCTCGACTGCCCAAACTGATGAAATGGGTAGTCGAGAGGATGGTTTTTACAGACATTATTTCGGGCTGCACTACCAGATTGAATGGAGCGGTACTTACGACGAGCATACTACTTCATTTGAAGGGAAGGAGCCTTGGAAACTTCAATCTTGCCATTCAGACCACAGGACGAAGGTCAATACCGGAAATCCCGAGGACCCGTCACCACCCGGAAAAGCCGAAGACGATCGACGAATCCAGAAGAAACAGACGTCGTCAGCAATGATCTGGGCGAGCCTTATCCATACAAGCAAGCGGTCCGGTTGCCCGCACGATTGCTGTTTGGGTATCCCGGATTCCTATAACGCATCGAGGCCTTTCCCGATTTAGTTATCCAATAATAGGAAACAGTTCGCACTAAGGAATAGCGCCATGAAGCTTTCCGATGGTTGTACAGCCTGCTTGTTGGAAAGCACCGGCAATTGCTCCGTTACATGACTCTATTTCGTTCGCTGATTCTCTTATGAGGCGAAAGCAAAACGTCATCAGTCACAAGAGCACAGAGACGCTTGAGCATGTCGGCCCAGCAAATGCCCTCCCCTTTAGCCGGGGCGCAATGGATCTGGGCACCCAACATCGACGACAAGGCCGAAACCCCATCGCAATTTGTCCTGTTCAGAAGGGCGCTAAGATTGGACGGACCGCTGCCTCCATCGTGTATCGTGCATGTCTCGGCCGACACTCGCTACCGACTCTTTGTCAACGGGAATCGCGCCAGTTTCGGCCCCTGCAAGAGCTATCCGGCACGATGGTACTACGAAACCGTCGATATCGGCCCCTTCTTGAAGACGGGTGTGAACGTTCTGGCCGTGAGGGTGTTGCGGTTGTCTCCGGAAACCTCCAGCGCGACGTCCATCATGCGGACTAGCAAGCCTGGCATGATACTGCACTGCACAGCTGGCGTGAGTCTCCATCGAGTCTGGCACATGTCCATCAATTGAATGACTGACCCTTCCCAAAGAACATCATCATTCATTCAGACGAGAGCTGGAAAACGTACCGCGACGGGTCGGTCCATCTCGTTCCGAATGCTGACTGGGACTTTCGGCTGGGCCCGCCTTTCGTCTCGCTCTGGGAGAGAGCCGATGGAAGACTGAAACCTCATGGCTGGCTCGACGCCAGCTTTGATGACACCAAGTGGCACAATGCAGTTCCATCCACCATGGCGGCCAAGATGGCCCCTATACTAGACTCGAGAAAACTCATTCCGCGCTCCATTCCGGCCCTGCCCGAGATACCATCCACCTTTGACGGCGTTGTGTGCTGCGCAGGAGGGCCCACCAAGACAGAGTGGGAAGCTCTTTTAGACGGAGGAAAACCGATACACATCGAACCCCAGTCGACAGTCACCGTTGACATCGAGTCAAACGAGTTGACCACCGGTTTCTTTGAACTGTCCCTGGACCAAGACGGCCAAGGCAGCGCGACCATCACCATCCTCGCCGCTGAATGCTACGAAGGTGACATGGACCAGGGCGTCGCTCGATCCAAAGGCGACCGCACCAACTCCCAGCACGGCAAACTCTACGGCCCAGCCGACACCTACATCTCCCACCCGGGACGAAACGACTACTCCCCCTTCTGGTGGCGCGCCTTCCGCTACCTCCGCCTCACCATCACACCCACCACATCCCCGCTCACCCTGCGCTCCTTCCGCTACCGAGCAACCCACTACCCTCTCCCCATCACCACCACCCTCACCGCCACCACGCCCTCTCCTCACTTCACGAAGTTATCCCATCTCTGGCAGGTCTCGGTAACCACCCTCCGCAACTGCATGCACGAAACCTTCGAGGACTGCCCGTACTACGAACAAAATCAATTCGCCATGGACGCCCGCCTGCAGATGCTCTTCTCCTACGCCCTGTCCTCCGACGGCCGCCTCGCGCGCAAGACGATCTGCGAGTTTGCTGCGAGCCGCCGCGACGACGGCTTGCTCGAGGCCCAATTCCCCTGCGCACCATGCCGCATGACGGGTATCCCCGCTTTCTCGCTGTACTGGGTTTTGATGGTGCGTGATCATTGGGTGCAGTTCGGGGATCGAGGGCTGGTGAGGGAAAGTTTTGGGGTGGTGGACGGGGTGTTGGAGTACTTTGCGAGGCTTGTGAGGGTGGGAGATGGGCTGGTGGGGAGGTTGGAGGCGGAAGGGGAGGAGGAAGCGAGTTGGGCCTTTGTGGATTGGGTTGGGGAGTGGAAGACCCCCGCGGAGGGGTTCAAGGGGATGGCAGTGCCACCGGCGTATTTCAAGTGCGGTGCTGCGACAGTGCATAGTCTGTTGTATGCCATTGCTTTGCAGAGCGCGGCCGAGTTGGCCGACTGCACGGGTCGGGGCTGTGTGGCGGATGAGTATCGCTCTCGAGCGGCAGAGCTGAACTCGGCGGTGCGACGGCATTGCTTTGATCCCGAGACAGGGTTGTTCACCGACGGGCCCGGATCCAAGGACCGGTCGCAGCACGCGCAGGTGCTGGCTGTGCTTTCTGGAGCGGCGTCTGCGGAGGAGGCACCTGTCCTCATGCGCAGGGCCGTGGTGGAGCGCGAGCGACATGGGATTGCTCGCACATCGTTGGCCATGGCCTTCTATGTCTTTCGTGCGGCTTCCCTTGCCGGCGTGTACGAGGAGCTCTGGGACGATATGATCAAACCGTGGGAGGTCATGCTGAGCCAGAACTTGACCACTTGGGCCGAGTTCGAGACGAATCCTCGCAGTGACTGCCATGGATGGAGCGCCACGCCTATCTACGAGATTGTCCGCGAGATTGTTGGCGTCAAGCTTCCAGAGGGGGACATCGACGGGGCAGTGGTTATTCAGCCTCGGGTTAAGATGGTCCCTGCGTTGAAAGGGTCGTTCGTCGCAGGCGGAGGCCGGGTGCTCGATATCTCTTGGAGCGGTGGATCGCTATGCCTTACGAGTTCTGTTGACATGGTTGTTGAGCTTCGCTTGGGCAAGGGGAGCAGACTGTTCGCGCTGGAAAGAGATTTATCACTGCAGACGTCGTTGGATGCTATCGATATGGAGTGACCGGACTGAGTCAGGAGCTCATCTAGCCTCCAGTTCAACAAGCTTGCAATACTGCTTGAGACGGACACTGTTTCGCAGTGTGGTTTTACATCTCTGCCTCATGGGCTGTTCAGGAGTCAACCTTGTCAACGGACGGAGACATTTGAGGACTGAGAGGCCAATGTGTGGCGTGGCTAGAAGAGAACCTACCGGGTACCTGGTTGGTAGCAGTCAAGTCGAGAACTTGGTTTCCGTGGCGCCGTCTCGACTTTGGCAGTCAATTGGATAATGAGTAAGTAGAATAAACTAGTGGATTTGGGTCAGGGAGCCCCTGGAAACACACGAGACGTATAAGCCGAAGAAGTAGGTACCAATGCTGGGCACCGGAAATCCCGAGATCGGAAATCCCGAGATCGGAAATCCCGACTCACCGATCACCATCCAGACCACTTACCCAGTTCTGTCCTCCCATATTGCAACGGGATTATTATGACCCCAGAAAGCCCCAGATTACCCCAGATTTCCCCAGGCTTACCCAGACGCTCCAAACTCTCAGACACGCCCAGGCTTCCCAGATACCTGCAGGTCAGGAGACACGGGACTGGAGGTCTCGACTCGATTAACGTACTACACATTCGCTTCGATGGCGTCCGACGATAAGGCTGGCGATGTGCTTCACCAAGAAGACACTCGCACTGAGGCGCCGGTTCCTGGTTCTGGACTCGCCGAGGACCAGATGAGCGCGTGGCAATGCATCCGGCGCAACCCCAAGATCGTTCTCTGCTCGCTCTATGCCAACATCGGCGCTGTCATGGTCGGCTACGACAATCTGGCTCTGGCTGTCTGCCTTGCCATGCCGGCCTTCCAGTGAGTACCTTGGCCCCAGGTGAACACACTAACCGGTACTAACACTCGTCCTTCTCAGACACACATTTGCCAGCGAGGTCAACGGGAAGCTCATCATCCCAGCGCATTGGCAGTCAGCTTGGAACGCCATGTACAACGTCATGACCCTCGTGGGCTCGCTCGCGGCCGCCGAGTTTGTCGACTGGTTCGGCTGCCGCCTGGGATTCCTGCTCACAGCCATCGTGGCGGCTGGGGGGGTCGCCCTCAACTTCGTGTCGCAGAATCCGTCCCAATTCCTGGGCGGCAAGATGATCACCGGGGTGGCCGTCGGCATTGCCATGACAGTCGGCCAGAAATACGTGTCTGAGATCGCGCCGATGCCGATGCGTGGCATCGCGCTGAGTTTCAATACCATTTGCATGGTACGCCCTCTGATGGAAATCACTGAATAGTCGTGGACGACGTTTGAACGACGTTTAACAATGTCTGATTAGAACATCGGTTTTCTCATCGCAATCTCTGCCACCTTCAGCCGAGTCAGCATCATGGACGAGTCCGCATTCAGAGTGAGTTTCGCTCCTGACATTGGGGTAACCAGCCCCCGCTAACCTGGCCACCACCCTCAACAGCACCTCTTTGCAGCAGCCTGGGCCTTCCCCGGCGCCCTCCTGGTCTTCCTCCCCTTCATCCCCGAATCGCCCTACTGGCACGCCCAAAAGAACCAGCCCGCCAAAGCCAAGCGAGCGCTTGAACGTCTCTCGCCGAAGAATGCGCCCGTCCAGGCGCGCGTCGACCAGATGCTTGTCGCCATCGATGCTGAGCGTGCCCTCATGGCCGCCTCGGGCGCCACCGCCGCGTCGCTGCTCGACTGCTTCCGCGGCGCCAACTGGCGGCGCACGCGCATCGTGCTGCTCTGCAGCTCCATGAACGTTGTGGTTGGCGGCGCGCTGTCGGCGAACGCGCCGTACTTCCTGAACCAGACGGGCCTAGCGTCGCATACCGTGACCATGTTGATCGAGATTGGCATCAGTCTGGGCGTGCTGAGCGCGCTAGTCAACGTGGTGCTCATGGCGCGGTTCAATCGGCGGCCGCTGCTGCTCGGCGGGATCGGGCTGTGCGCGGCCATGTTCCTGATCATGGGCGTTGCGGGGTGCTTTGCGAGGACGCCGAGTAACCTGCTGGTGATCGGCATTGTCCTGCAAATCACGCCGCTGTCCTACGGCCCGTCGGTGGGTGCGGCCATGGCGGTGGCCGGCGAGGTGTCGGCAATGAGCCTGCGGTCGAAGACGCTGGGCGTGGGCATTGCGTCCAACTACTTATTCAGCACCATCTGGCTGGTCGTGCTGCCGTACCTGTTCAACGAGGACCAGGCCAACCTCGGCGGCAAGATCGGGTTCGTATTCTTTGGGCAGGCGCTGATCTGGATGGTGGCCGTGTGGTTCGACGTCCCAAATACCAACGGGCGGAGCTACGAGGACTTGGACCTCATGTTTGAGTCCCGCGTGGGCACGCGCAAGTTCAGGACGTGGCAGCCGGACGGTGCTGTCGCTGCGAAGGTGGTGGATCCGTGAGAAAGGGGTTCGATTGTATGTAATGCTATGCAAGAGACGGTGTTCAGCGGCAAGAACTTGAGGTGAGTAGAAGCATTTGCGTGGATGAAATACATCTTGCCCACGTACATTCTCGCGATTCTCGAGAGCCAAGTTCCATGATATTGCTTGTCTTCGATGCCGAGTCTTCTGACCTCCTCAAAGCTCGCTGTTAACAAATTGTTATTGCGCCGATGCCGTACCGTGCTAATATCTAGCGATTACAGGGGCAATAATACCATTCATTTTTAGTGGACACAGCGGGGCTGGAATGTCTTGGCTCTGGCAGGGAATCCTCGCACTGTCCACACCTCAGTCCATGCCCGACATTCCAGATTTCCAATCGACTCGGTGGCTCTCTCAGATGCCGTTGTACCACGGCAGGTGTTGGACATCAAAAACGGTCTTGAAGGCGGTTCCCCCCCTGGCTGTCGGGGCCTCACTCACAAATACCGTACCTCTTGTACTTGTACCACACCGTTCGGACTTATCGACCTGCCACTGTGAGACGATGTCCTGGCCGTTTTTGACGTCGATGGTCGATGGGGTGATTCCGGCGGCTACCCCCACGGGGAAGGTGACTGACGGGAGAGAGATCGGCTCGTGATGCATCTTCTCATCCAGCGGGCTGCCCACATGTCTCAGCTGTGGTTGTCGGAGCACCCTTGCGGCCGAGATTTGTCCAACACGTGGGAATAATGCTGGACGCATATTGGCTCACCCAGCTGCTTCAGCGTCCCGGAGAGGCATGCAACGGGTAGCTCTCCGTAGAGACAAAACAGTGTTTTATGTGGTGCAGCGAGATAGACACGGGAAGGGAAGCACGTCAAAATTGCCATCCCCAGTCATGCCGAGCAGCCCACAGGCCACCAAGGTTCCCACTTGCGCACACGACACAACTTCGGCGTAGTACGGACAGCCCGCACCATTAAGAGCTGCCTTGCTCCCATTCTTTTCATACATCCGATCAGTGGGTTCTTGGCCAACAGAAGGGCAGTTCGGGCAGTCACGGCATCCGGATAATACTGGCGAATCTGACCACCCGTTGGCCATCGCTCAAACATTCTGGAACTTGAAAGACAAGATCCTTGGTTCAGCCCCGGTCAGCCAGTACCCACTGGGTTTCTTCTTTCGTTCTCTCCACCTACTTCGACGTTTGGAAGGCGTACGACTATGTAAAGCCGCGGACAGCGCATCCTTACCTCATACTCGTCTTTTCTTTTTCGTTTCGTCCTGCTCCGGTAGTCTTCAGTTCGTCGATGGCTCTTAGACGCCTGTCGGCGCTGACTCTGCTGTGCCATGGCGTCATTGCCGGGCCGTTGGGCCCGCAGACTTTGGATGCACGCTCGGCGCCGCAGACTCGGAAGTTGCACGGCAGGTTCCTGCATATCACGGGTAGGGCATATATCCCAGGGCTTGGCATCATGCGATTGCAGAGATTGACGACGTTGCTACAGACTTCCACCTGGACGAATACTATAAAGTACACTCCTCGACTGACGAAGATGGCGCATGCCACCGGGGCAACGGGCCCGCGGGTCCCTACGGTGCCGAGACCTCGGATTGCGACAGTCCCTCCTCCCTCGTGAACGCGACATTCGACTGGATCGCCGCAAACCTTAAGGACACCATCGACTTTGTCGTCTGGACCGGCGACAGCGCCCGCCACGACCGCGACGAGGACCTGCCCCGCAACGCCGACCAGGTCCTCGGCACCAACACCTGGCTCGCCGACAAGTTCGCCGACCTTTTTGCCGACGATCAAGGCAAGGGTATGGCCATCCCTGTCGTGCCCAACTTTGGCAACAACGACATCCTCCCGCACAATATCCTGCTGCCAGGGCCCAACAAGTGGTTTCAGCACTACGCCCACATCTGGCGCCGCTTCATCCCCGAGGAGCAGCGCCACAGTTTCGAATATGGCGGCTGGTTCCACGTCGAAGTCATCCCCAACAAGCTGGCCGTCTTCAGCCTGAACACCTTGTACTTCTTCGACCGCAATGCCGGCGTCGACGGGTGCGCGAAGCCCTCGGAGGCCGGGTACAAGCAGCTCGAGTGGCTCTCGGTGCAGCTGCAGTTTCTGCGCGAACGCGGCATGAAGGCCATTCTGATGGGCCACGTGCCGCCTGCCCGCACCGAGAGCAAGATGCTGTGGGACGAGACGTGCTGGCACAAGTACTCGCTGTGGGTGCACCAGTTCCGCGACGTTGTCGTGGTCGGGCTGTACGGGCACATGAACATCGACCATTACATTATCGCCGACAGCAACGACATCAACTTTGCGGCGATGACCGCGTCGTCGGAGTTCGGAGCCCGTCAAGCGATGGAGGAGGAGTTCTCGTTGCAGTCGGCGTCGGACTATTTGATGGAGCTGCGCCACAACTGGGCCAAGCTCACGCCGCTACCCGCGGCTGACAAGCACGTCAGCAGGGAGGGAAAGCGAAGGAAAGGCAAGAAGAACAGAGACCCTTGGGGCGAGCGCTACCACCTATCCTTAGTCTCGGGCAGCATTGTGCCGAACTACTTCCCCACCCTCCGCGTCCTCGAGTACAACATCACGGGACTCGAAGACGCGCCGGTCTGGCGCGACACCCTACGTACAGACATCCGGGAGTCGGATCACCCACAGAAACACCTCGAACTGCGCCGCTACGAGCTCGACGACATTGACACCACAATACCCAGCGACACCAAAAAGAAGCACAGGAAGAACAAAGATTCCAAAAAGAAGAAGCCCCCAACCCACGACCCAAACCTGCACATCCCCGCCCCGCCGTCCACATCCGCACCGCCCGGGCCAGCCTACTCCCCGCAACCTCTCACCCTGACGGGCTACACGCAGTACTTCGCCAACCTGACACACATCAACAATCTCAACCTCACCTCCAACGCAACCACAGCTCTCGACCACAACGACAGTAATGCCGTCGATGGTGGTGGTCAGCGGGAAAGATGGCGGGACAGTTGGTGGTCGTTAGTGCCGACGCGCTGGCGAGACGGGAAGCACGGCGGCAAGAAACCTGCGGCGCCCCGCCCGCCCGAGCCGAGGGAGTTTGCGTTTGAGGTCGAGTACTCGACGTTTGAGGATAAAGTCTATCGGCTGGACGATTTGACGGTGAAGAGCATGGTTGGGTTGGCGGTCAGGATTGGGGAGGGGGGTGTGTTTGATGAACGGAAAGGTGATGTGGTGAGTAAGGAGGTGTGGGATGATAATGACGACGATGGCGATGATGATGTCGATGTGGAAGAGGACGAGGAAGAGCAAGAAAAGAGCGATGATGGTGAGGATGAGGACGACGACGAGGAGGAGGTGAAAACGGAAAAGAAAAAGAAGAAGGGTGGGAAAGGGAACAAGGGGAGAAAAGGAAAGAAGAAGAGGAAGCAGAACAAGACGTGGCTGCATTTCCTGAGGCATGCGTTTGTCTGCACCCTGGAAAAGGATGAGCTGAAGGAGTTGGCCTGATGTGGCACACGCAGCCTGGGAAACGGTGTGTTTTGGCTTTGTTTGCATTGCACGGCGGCATTTTGGGGGCGTTTGAATCCGGGTTCATTTTAGTGATCTGTCGCGTGGTCATTTTTCCGAGGCATGCCTGATCTAAAAGGGAGATGGCTGGGTTGGCATTGGATACTATGATTGCTGACTATTTTGGTTGTTATTACTATGAAATTGTCAATGACTTTGTTGGAGACATGGGGATTGCAACATCATGGCTAAGGCTTGTTGGTAGCGATGGAATAACATCTCAGCAACTAACAGGATGCGTAACGTCGACCCAGAAAAAAAGATACCGAGCTCGTCTAGCAGACCAGGCTTAAATCGGTGTCTCAAATTGCAAACGACCGGAACTCCGCGAGAATCTAATCTACAACCCCTGCCCATCCGGGGGCGGACTCTCGTCAAGCCAGCCGACCACGAATTGACCCTTGTCAATCAGGCATCACCGAGATTCAATGAAGGGGATTCTTCCCAACACCCGACCCGGTCGACAGCTGACCAGCAGAGGGGACAAGCCGTGGACCCCATGAGCGTGGCGGGTCGGCGTGTGTTGGCGTTTGCGTTGTCGTCGACCCGTGGGCAAGGCGGGTATTCCAGCCCGGAATGAACACCGGGACGGAGGGAGGGACCCGTCATGCTGCGAGGCCGTGCGATTGAGCGTGTTGCCCACTACACCACTGTGAGCTGTTTTGTGTTAGGTTTTGGAGGCCGGCATTGTGCTTATGTAGGGCGGGCCGCTGGTCATGTGAGAACTCGGTGTAATGTGAAGATGGAAGGAGGGTTCTGCAGCTTGCATTCGGCCCGGACAAACGGTGATGATCCGGCGATGCCCTTAAGTGGTGTTGAGCGTGTGGTGTAAGTCGCGCCACGCAGCCACACGCATCACGCGCCACACTCCGAGACGGGGTCCGATCGGCACCCTGTGCATGTCACGTTGGCTTAACTTCCAGTTAATCGGTCGACCATCCTCATTTCCCAACCGCCGCTGGTTCGCGACAGCAACACCCAAGCTTCGTCTCACCACCACCATCCACCTTCTACAGCCAAATTCCATGCGAGTTATGACACAAATGCCCGCCCAATGACCCCCATCCTCCGCCTTCCTACCCGCCGCCATCTCCGCCGCCGCCGCATGGCCACCCTTCTCCTCCCTCTCCTCGTCCTCGTCCTGCTCTTCCTCCCGCTCTACGTAATCTACAAACCGCCCTCCCCCCTCCTGCGCTACCTCTCCTACCGTTGGTCCGACGTGCTCTTCCGCGTCTGGCTGCCGCCATCCAAACCCCTGGTGGCACTCACCATCGACGACTCGCCCTCGGACCACACCCGCGCCATCCTGTCGGCTCTTCGCGACTCGGACGCCCACGCGACCTTTTTCGTCATCGGCTCCCAGGTCGCCGGGCGCGAGGACGTGCTGCGCGACATTGTCCGCGCGGGTCACGAGCTCGCCAACCATGGCATGCGCGACGAGCCCGCGACGGCGCTGACGACGGACGAGCTCGAGGGCCAGATCCGCACCACGCAGGAGATGATTGACGCCGCGTATCTCGCCTGGGGCAGAAAGCCGCCTGCGCCGGGCCACCACCTTAGGGGGGCAAGGTACTATCGCCCCGGCTCGGGGTTCTTCAGCGACCGGATCAGGGGTGTGGCCAGGAAGCTGGGGTATCGGGTCGTGCTGGGGAGCATATACCCGCATGACGCGCAAATTGGCTGGGCATGGCTCAATGCGAAGCATGTGTTGAGCATGTTGAGTCCCGGGGGGATCGTGATTTGTCATGATCGGCGGAGTTGGACCGAGCCAATGCTGCGGAGGGTACTGCCGGAGATGAAGAAGAGGGGGTATCAAGCCGTGACGCTGACAGAGCTATTGGCCGAGGTTACTGGGTGAATGGCAGCAATGGAAACATTGAACCCTCCGTGTCGCTATGGCGGTCAAGTCAGAAGGGGCCATCATCTACCAGCAGCCTGCCGCGATGCGCGCAACCCCCTCCGAGCGCCGCAATTTACTGATACACCAGCACATATCACAACACCATCCCATCATCATCATGATGCCCTATTGCTCGCCACCCACCACTCTCTCCTTCGAGAATTTCCCCTATCTAACCAGAACTCATTTCGATCAAAACAGAGATGTCGCCGCCAGACGAAGAACTAGCGGGCCGTAAAGTACGTGCAGTAGACCTCAACGGACTCTGCTGTGCCGGAATGATCCGCAACGAACCGGGGGCGAATATCGTCCATGACTGGCACGAGTGCGGGTCCGAGAGCACGAGAGCCAGATGGTCCGGTTCGGGGAGGTCTGGAAACACTGCTTCAAGCGACTCGAGAGTAGACGACAAACTTAACATCAGCCCCGACATAAACGTCTGGCCGGTTTCGTCGAGCTGGGTGAGGACGAATCCCTTGCCGGCAGGTGCTGTGTGATAAGGCGCCAATTGGCCGCACGGGAGGGATGTCGGGTCCAGAATGTGAAGGAAGGTCTCGCCGCGATGGTTGGCCGTGTTGAGGGGCGAGGCGAGTGCTACGGTGCGGAACATGACCTGCCACGGCGCTCTCCACCGCGCTGCGACGCGGAGGGCGGCGTCCCCAGGTCATTGCGGCTGTCGATTTCGGCGGCGGTGCGGCTGAAGGTGTCAGCCGGGCTGCTGCGCGCAGTAAGGCCGCGTGGATGCGCTGGTGGATGCACCATGCTGCCTCGCTGCAGCAGGGTTGGATTGACTCCTGTCGCGCCTGTTCGAGCTGTTCCCGGGTGGTGCAAAACCTCCTCTTTCTGCCCTTGCCACGCAGCTGTGGCAATAATACTTGCAGGGTGAGCAGCGGCCTGTTCCCGCACCATGCAACGCTCTCCAGCAAGAAACGAAGACGATCTGCTCAGACACCGCTCGAGCACGAACTCGATCCTCTTACGCCGCGCATCCTCACAACTACTCGACCACGCGTTCCAAAACACCTCAGGCGCTACACACACACTCACTCGCCCACGCCGGCCCCCCTCCCCCCTCCCTCCTCTTCTTTTCCGCATCCGCAGCCTGCCCGCCAGCAACGCCCTCTTCCCGCTACCGCCCGTGTCCAGGGACGCAGCAGTACGACTAGGCGCAGTATCCGAAGCCTTATATCTGCAGGAGGCTCTGAACCAAACGACGGGTCCCAATCCCCCGACTCGCGCGTGGTGCCTCTGGCCGGGCCATTAAACCTCTTGCGTCCGCGCGGATTGGATTTCAGGAGAGTGGCATGCTCCCTGAAGACCGTTCATTTCAGAACAGCAGCACGGTAAATTGGGATCCGCCTGGTGCCGGAGTCGGCCGTCGCGGATCGGCCTGACATAGGCGAGGCGGCCAACCATATCTGCCCGGTTCTTGGGTCTTCTTCTGGCGGTAAGACTTGGACAGCATGTCGTTCAGGAGACGTTGTGTATGGCACAGCCTTGTTTTCCGGGTCGTTAGCATGCCGGTGAGGGCGGAACCAGGTTTGATTAGTTGTTACTGAGGATCCCATTGTAGCTTTCTTCTTTGGCTGGAACGGCCCATCGGTTGTGGACTTGCGCCGTGATGTTTTCTAGGGTGGTGTCCTTCTACATCTTGAGATCCGCGTGGTAACATCCAGACTGCTGCAATCAATGCGCGCAATGCATGTTCTCGTAGAACGAACAAAGAGTCGACTCCCGTCTCACACATATATGAAGGCCAACACCCACCCCTGGTCCTGGGCCATCACAAGAGGCTGCCAGCCAGCGGTGTGGGTCCGGTGCCGCTCCGGGATCATAACCGGACCGGGTGGACCGAACGGAGAAAGGGAGACCGGGAAGGCCTCGCGGCAAGAAAGGGTTTGAAAGGAGCCGAGCAAAGCATGCCCATCCTGTATCCCGTCTACTTGGTGCTGCTGAAACGCCCTGTGAATGACAGCCGATGGAGACCGATGGAGCCGCCCCGCTCCGGATATGGCGCGATCGGGCCTGAGATTTCTTGATGGAAAACCAGACGGCAGCCCAACCCGTCTTCAATTTTACCTGCTGTCTCGAGAGCCTGAGAACTGACGAGGAGGTAAACATCAAAACCTGAATATTTTTAGCGAACAAAGAGGCCGATATCATGGTTTCCAAAATGGCTCTCGAGAAGAAGGCGGCCGGCGCCAGCCCGAACCAGCTCACTGCTGCCTTTGGCCGGCAGCTGTCGCTGGCGTCCCGGTCGATCCACGCCGATGACTATACCAACACTCATCCGGCAGTCGCGCCGCCATTGCACGTCTCGACCACTTTCCGGTATTCAGATAATCCTGATGAACTGCTGCCGTGGTCAGAGATGGATGTGAGATAGTGTCCGAATTCCCAAAGCAACGGCACTAGTCTAACGGCGGACAGCCCAGCACGCTCGATGAAAGTTACATCTACTCGCGGGAGAAGTCGCCAAACTCGACTCGCTATGAAGCGATCCTCAGCTCGCTTCTGGGAGGGCCGGCTGTGTCGTATGCCTCCGGGCTTGCTGCGTTCCATGCCATGATTGTGTTCCTCAACCCGAAACGCGTTGCCATCGGCGGCGGGTATCACGGCTGCCACGGAATTCTGAAGCTCATGAAGAAGCTCAACGGGCTGGAGCAGCTCGAGCTCGAGGACGAGAACGACCTAGTCAAGCTGCAGAAGGGGGATGTCATCCACGTCGAGACACCCCTGAACCCCACAGGCGAGGCGCGGGACCTGGCCTACTACCGCAAGAAGGCGGACGAGCTCGGCTGCTATCTGACGGTCGACGCGACGTTTGCCCCGCCGCCGCTGCAAGATCCGTTCAAGTACGGTGTCGACATTGTCATGCACAGTGCGACCAAGTACTTCGGTGGTCATTCGGATATGCTGAGCGGCGTGCTGGCGATCCACCCTGAGCGGGCACATGGCAAAGACGGTCAGCCGGGATGGTTGTCAGAGCTGAGAGAGGAACGGCTCCACCTGGGCGGCGTTATGGGCAACTTTGAGGGCTGGCTGGGTGTGCGCAGTCTGCGCACGCTGGAGTTGCGGGTGAAGCGGCAGAGCGAAAGCACGCAGCACCTGGTGGACTGGCTCGCCTCGCAGAAGAAGGCGGGAGGAAACGTGGTTTCAGACCTGGTGTACAAGATCCAGCACTCGTCCCAGCAGCCCGAAGCGTCACAGCCGGATTCTTGGTTGAGCAAGCAGATGCCGAACGGCCACGGACCCGTCTTCTCGCTGTGGCTCAAGTCGGAAGAGCATGCAAAGCGGTTGCCGAGCAAGCTGTTCCTCTTCCACCACGCCACCAGTCTCGGTGGCGTCGAGAGTTTGGTCGAGTGGCGGGCCATGAGCGACTCGACTGTCGACAGGAGGCTGGTGCGGGTCAGCATTGGCGTCGAGGGCTGGGAGGACCTGCGGGACGACCTCCTTCAGGGGCTGCAGGCGCTGAGCGAGGAGCTGAGAAACTGACGCCTGTACGAGGTGCACCGACGGTGCATCATAGATGTGAACGAAATGGCGCGACGTTGTGTGAGAAGCGGCCGATCTAGCGTTGAATACCCAGCACGAGTTGGATCGATCCAGGTTACCAGCTGCCATTGGGAGGACTTGTGATGCTCGATTGCAGTGATGCCCAAGGAGTTTGTCGATACCTGCTTCTTTGGCCAGGCAGCTGCCGCACCACTGCGGAAGATTCTAAGTGTTGCATCTCCACTGGTCTGCATGCTCTCGAGCAACCAGCATGCAGGGAGGAAGAAGCGATCGGGACTGCAACTCGAAGGAAACTGCAGTGTGAAGAGGAGTTGAGCAAACGACGACCTGGCGCCTCTGCTTTCTCTTGACCACTGATTGAGTTTGCCCATGTCCCTGCCTGGCAGCGGCAACGTCGCCGATATCTGTATTTAACTATCACTTCCAAACCCATTAGTAGTCGTGTGCGCCATATCGAGTTATCGAGTTTCCCCGAGGACCAGCCATAACGCCAACTGCCTCGCACGTCCGCCTGCAGCAGAATTAACCACCCGTGATCATACCCAAAGACCTACTGCTCCCTTAGGCGATATATGTGCCTGACTGCCTCGCAACGCCTGGCCCCGGCTGATCTGCCTTCTGAAACTATATCGAACCAAACGAACCATGGATAAAACCCTCGATGCTCAAACCTCGACCTCCTGCAGCTGCCTGCCCATCGCTGAAACAGGCATGACCTTCAATTCGGCGCCTTGTTGCTGCTGCTGCTGGAGCCCACCGCCCTGCGCACCTTTTCTCCCAACCAAAGGCAAAGGCAGGAACCTTGACACGGCCGTCCCCTCCTCCTCCGTCGGCGCATTCACGTTTCCAGCACTGTTGTTGCTATCCGACCCAAACTTGGCAAAGAAACCCCTCTTCTTGGGCGCTGGCGCCGGCACCTCCTCTTGGTCCTGCGTTTGGTGCTGTTGCTGCTGCTGCTTCACGCCGTCATCGCCCAGCCCGACGTTTTCAAACCTGCCCTCCTCCTCTTCTACCTCCTCCTGTGATCCCCCCTTCCAACTCTCCTCCGGCGTGGGCGGCTCCCGGTGCCCACCCCGCCAATCCCACCGTCGGTGTGTAGTGGACTGCGACTGCGGTCGGAGCTGATCACCCAGCGACGACCTCGACGAAGGCGGGGCGTACCGCGGCGATGAAAAGGGAAACCGGTGAGAGTCGAGGCTTTGACGGGTCGGCGACGGGTCTGTGATGACGACGGGGCTCTTGGCGCTGATGTCCTATTACGCAACACACATAAGATATCAGCGACCCGCCGTGTAGGAGCTTGGCGGCGGGAGCAACTTACAAATGACCGCCGGTACGAGTCAAACGATTCGCGCGAGATGGAAAAGTGTTCAATCTCGCCGCTGCTGCTCCGGTCGCTCGACGCGCGAGACAGGTAGCGCCGTGGCCAGGAGGCTTCCCTTTCGACGGGGGATGGCTGGTAGTGTTGTGTCAGAGGATAATTGTCTTTGAATGCTTCGATATTGGCCGTTGGACAGGGGTCAGGGGGTAGCCGTACTGGTAGGTAGACTCCGCTGTCATTGACGACTTCGAGAATCCCAAGATGTCAGCTTCCAAGTTCATTTAGGTAGATACCGAAGATGTTGAGACATCAGCGGACGCAATGGCCCGAATTGTTGCTCATTCTGCGCCGGCAGAGGAACCTGCCCTGAGCGGGGTGGTGATCGCCGAGGGGTTGCCGAAGGGTCCGAACCGAAAAACATACCGCTCATTTTGTACTCGCCCGTGTCCTGGCTCCTTCTGCTGCTGCGAATGCTGAACGCCGACGATGCCTTCGACCCGACGGTATCCACCCTCTCAAACCCGAGGTGCGCGGCGTCGGTGATGGTTCCCGAAGCGGCGGAGCCCGGGCGTTGGTTCTCATCTTGAATGGCGGGGCCGGGCCGGCGCGCGAACGGGTTGCGGATGGGCATTGCGAGAGAAAAAAAGCTAAAAGATGAGTGTCGGAGGAATGGAATGCTCTGAGGTGAGTTGTAAGGGCAAAAAATCGAGTACCAGGGGTATCAGGGATTTTGTATGCGGACAGGACTGTGCAGGAGAATGAAATCGGAGCAAGATGGGATGAACTCCCAGATCATGCAGGAATTTGCTGTCAATCCGAATCGATCGGCTCTTGAACGGATGGGTCTGGGCTGCTGCCCGGTGTCAGCAGCCAAACTCGGCAGGAAGGTGGCGCTGGACGGCCCTGGTTGGTAGGTCCTGTCAGCGGGCTCACTCACTGGCTGTCCCCTTAAATCCGGTCAGCGGCACTGACCGCCGTTCATGCCAAAATGGTGGAATCTACTTGCTGGGCCAGGATCAAGGTATTCAGGATCGAAGAGGTGCGACGAACGCAGTCAGCATCAATGAGTCCAGTCATCGCATGTGGACTGGGCAATTGGGTGCTGGCGCTCAGGTTGTGATCAGACATGTATTGGTCTTCTAGAGACTTCAAGGTCCGCGACGTGCGAACGTCCCGCCTCTTCACTCTTGGGCGCTTGGGCTAGCGAACACAGTGGTCATGAGACCGAGCCAAGAAAGACGTCCTGCTTGTGTATGTGCCTGTGCCCCGTTGCAGGCAGTGCCACTTTCCGATGCCACTACGCTCATCTCCAGCTCTTCGATATTGGGCTCATTGAGTTGGACCGGGCTGATCAACCTGAAGTGATCGGGCCCATGAGGGGCAGGTGTACCGGAGGCTGTATTCCGAGCCATGGAGTCCGGTTCCGCGGCCTACTGTGGTATTGTTGGTGACGCAAGGGAAGCCTTGAGAGGCACAGATTTTGGGCAAATATCTGGGCGATGCGAGAATCCGGTCGGTTAATAAGACCCCAGTCCCAATGCAACCACCACCGAGTACAATGACATTGTAGGCTGTTACTAGCACAAGAATGGGCCAGGACATGGCCGGTGTCCAGTGTCATCATCATCAGTATGCTGCTCCACCGGCATCAAAACTCAGCCAGGGGTTCTACTCGGAATCACTCTCCACGCTGTCCGAAAACCCATTGAACTCCTCCTCGGACTCGTCCAACACGCCGACGCCAGAGGCCTCATCATTTACTTCCTCATCCGGCTCCTCGTCTTGCTCCTCAATCTCAAACGTGCCACTGACATCCCATCGGTCGCCTTTGGCACTGGCACTCACATACTTGACGAAGCGGAGCGTTCCGCTGTCACGCAACACGATGGTCATCTTGTTCCAAGCCGCCGCCTGGAAAAACAGGATATTGTCGTCCTCCGCGCTGCTCTTGTAGATGGCCGCGTCCTCGTTGCTGTCGTCGTCGCCGGCCATGTACACTTCGTGACCGCCAACCTCCTCTTCTTCGTTTTCTTCTTCGACGTCCTGATCGATGGCCTTACCTTTGCCCTTGGACTTGGCTTCTGCCACGTCTGCTTTGCCTTTCCCTTTGCCGTTCGCAGCGGCCTTCTTGCCCCTTTTGCTGCGGGGCTGTTCTTCCGAGTCGGACGATGCTTCGGAGTCGGCGTCATCCTCGGCAACATCGCCCCAACCCCCGGTAGGAGTGAGGCCAATGTTGACCTCGAGCCTCGGCTTGCCGTCGTGTCCAGTGGCTAGCGTGTAGTCCTTCCCGTGACGGAACCGCCGAGCCACCAAGTCGTAGCTCTCTATGGTGGAGCGAGTTGCCATCTGAAGCCAGAGGCGGAACTGCTTGGACGGTAGCAATACCTCGAGAAGCTCTTTCAACGGCGAGGGTTCCAGCTTTTCCTGGCCAGGCTGAAGGTAGAGGTACCGGTGCTTGTGGGGTGGCCGGGCGACCTTCCAGGCGCTCTTCTCGATTTCCTCACTATTCTCAGGCAGCTGCTTCGCTTCCTGCGACTCGACGTAGCTGCGGAGCTTCTCGGCAAATTTTGGGTGCAATATGTCAGGCAAGGTGATGCTGAATTCCTCCTCAAAATGGTCGGCAGCCCGCTCGATTGTGTCGGGGGTCAGGTATGTAGGCGCGATGTATTTGAGCAAGAACTCGAGATCGGCCTCGTCGAGGGGGAAGTCGTCGCCGTCCTCGGTATCCCCTTTCTCGACCGGAACAGGTTTCGCCTGTGGGCGATCATGCTGGTCTGGGTTACCCTGTAGTTGCATCAGACCACTCTTTTGCGCGGCTTTCTCTTCGGCCCCCTCCACATATCCATCCTCTCCAATTTGCGGGATGTGGAACCAGCCGCTGATGGCCATACGGATGCGGCCGCCATTCTTCTCCAACTCCTCCTTTGAGGCGGCATGGTAGACCTCCTCGACGTCGTGGAACGACTCTCCCGGCTGCACCGCGAAGAAGGCAAGCTGATTCCATGCTGGCGGGATGACCTTGACGACGTCCGGCAATGGTGTCTTGGCCACCTCTCCATCCTTACCCTTTCGATCCACCACAGGGAAGAGCCGCAGGGCACCACCCCACTCGGGCTGCCATGGCGTATCCGGGTCGGTCAGGTACAGGATGTAGCTAACCTTGCGCGAGCCAATGACATCGTCATGGCACAAAAGGTAGCAGCCAGGAGTGTAGACGTTGATGGCCATGTCGGTCTTGCGCCCGCTCAGGGGACCGCAGCCGGTGATGTGGGAAACGTAGTCGCGGAAGGCCTGCGAATAGAGAGCGTCGCGCAGCGCCAAGAGGGAGGGGAGCTTCGCCAATGCTTCGTCTTCGAGGCCGTCCAGGTTCGCCAGATCGCCGCTCTGGTGGATTTTGTAGATGTCGGTTTCCTTGGGGGTGAAGTGGACGTTGGCCTGGATCTCGGTGCGGACCTTGCGCAGGAGGCCATCATCGACCAGCTCGGATATCACGCTGTGCTTGTAGGGGGTTGACGAGGCATACTGCGAAGTGTACTTGTCGAGAACGGCCTTGTCGAAGAGGCCCTTTCGGAATCGAGCTTTGGCATCCTCATCGCTCAGAGCTACGGCGGGTCAGGACTGCAACTGCGCGGTGCGAGCAAGGAGGGAGGGTTCAGGTACTGTTCTTGGAGCGCTTATTGATTTGCTTCTTCCCGTCAGCGAGACCATCTGCCTTTCTCTTCATCGTGGGAGTCAATTGGGTGATGGCGAGAGATTGCTTGACTGAAGGAGCCCATGAGGTACGGAAGGAGCTCCCCAAGAAATGGGCTGATCTCGATGAAATAACTGCGGTGTCCCATGGCAGCAAAATCCTTGTGGGGCCCAAAACATTTTCCCCACATCACCAACGCCGGCCCCTTGTCGTCCCTTCCTGCATGGAGTTCTGAGAGCTAAACAGTACCTTGACTTACACATTCGTCCGGAGTTAACTTCAAAGCCAACATTGTGCGCAACTGTTGCATGACGTCGAAAGGCCGGTCTGCTATATCCGTCCCACAGCTAAGACAGCGAGCGGCACGGGCGCCAATACCGCATCACCTCGTCTGAGCGGTGCCGCCAGGCTTCGGTTATCGTTCATGCCATACCTTATACCCTGCATCAAGTCGTGCTTATCGTGGCGGTAAGTACTAACACAATGCCAAGGCGTAACCAGGTTCACCAGCTGGAGGGCCGCCTGGATAGCTGAGACGTCAATGCTGTGAGCCGTGGCGCCTGTTGGGAGATTGCCGAAACAATATGCCAGCGGCAGCTGCATGAAGTCGCCGGGCAGCACCCTGGGTTGCCAATCACCGGTTCTTTCCAGCTAGGACTTGGGAATCAGGGCGGCTCGCTCAGGGGTTGACACCTTGGAACCATGGCCAGCGCTGGTTGGAAATTCGCAGACGAAGGGCTTCCGAGCTGCTTTGTAGTTCACCGGCCGAAGGATCGGCCTCCGCTTAGGTACCCACTTCTCCCGGCTATAGGATCTTGTCCCGTGCTGGGCAACTCCGGGTTGTATCAGCATGGATACTGATACTATGGCTATTATCTCCCCCTCCTCCTTTATCTCAGATGTTGTGCCCGTATGTTATTTGACGACTGCAGTACACTTCTCATCTCTCGGCATACCTCACCAGGGCTACCGCTCTAGATGCCAACGAAGTCAGGGCAAGATTCCCCGCATTGGCCGGAGAACAAGTCTATCTTGACAATGCCGGTGGAAGTCAAGCCCTTGGAACAGTGACTGAACGGTATGAGTGCACCATGAACTTCCGAGTTTGATAATGCCCAGTTAATGACCGCCGCAGCATCCGAGACTACCTCCTGGCCACGAATGTCCAGCTCGGAGCCACCTACTCGACGGGCAAGAGGTCCACAGACCGCTACAACGAAGGATATGCGGCGGCAGCGAGGTACATCGGTGCCGTGAGAGACGAGATCGGTGTGTACTGTCCCCAATTGGTTCCGGACTGCAAATCTGACATGGCACAGTGCTCGGTCCGTCCACCACCCAACTGCTCCGAAACGTCTCGTATGCTTTGCGGTTCCAAGAAGGCGACGAGTTAATTGTCTCGGCCATCGACCACGAGGCATACATTACGCCATGGGTGGACCTCGCCGAGCGCCAGAAGCTGGTGCTTGAATGGTGGAAGCCCAACAGCGACGGCCCCGACGCCAAAACTAACGCGAAGTTGCTCGCCTCGAACCTCGCCGCCCTCCCCACGGATAAGACCCGGCTGGTGACTTACACCCACGCAAGCAACATCCTGGGCACCATCCACGACATCAAAGCCATTGCCTCGACCGTCCATGCCCACAACCCGAAAGCACTGGTGTGCGTCGACGCCGTTGCCTATGCCCCACACCGCAGAATCGACGTCAAAGACCTCGGAGTTGACTTCTACTCCTTCTCCTGGTACAAGGTATGCATATTCCATCGTACCCACTTCCCTTGACTCTCCTGAGTCCAGACTTGTAAACATATGGCAAAACCCAGGTCTATGGTCCACATATTGTTCTCCTCTACGCCAGCCCCCTGGCCCTTTCCAACCTGCATTCCCTCGGCCACTTCTTCAAGCCGCACGCAACCCTCGAAAACAAACTCGGCCTCGGCGCAGCAAGCTACGAGCTGGTACACGCACTCCCCGCCATCGTCTCGTACCTGAAACCCCACGACAGGGACACCAACCTTGACAAGTGGGCGGGCATTGCGGCGCATGAGCAACAGCTCCAAGCCACGCTGTTGGATTGGCTCGCCTCACGCAGCGCCGATGTCACCGTCTACGGGGAGCTGAACAATGATTCCGGTGTGAGAGTGCCGACGGTGAGTTTCACGGGGAAGGGGTGGGGGTCCAGGGAGCTGGTTGAGGCGGTTGAGAGGGAGAGTGGTGGGGTGCTTGGGTTCCGCTGGGGGTCGTTTTACTCGGTGAGGTTGGTGGAGGAGGTGCTGGGGCTGGCTGGCTGGAGGGGACGGAGTGGTCAGGGTTAGTATGGTGTATTATAACACTGGTGAGCTCCCTGCCAATTCAACGCTTTGCTTTGTGAGGTTAAAGCAGCTGACGTGTTTTAGTTGACGAGGTGAAGCTGTTGACTGCGATGTTGGACAAGGTGCTGGCGAGTGGGGAGTGAACGTCAACGAGCTCCTGTGTTTACTTCTCATCTCTCGACAGTTCAGGTATCCTAGGTATGTTACCATATGTAAATCCCATCGCTTCCTCTCAACTACTCATGGCACGCCCCCGAATAGAAGTTGGGTGCCTTGCAATAGTCATCATCCGAGCCACAGAAGCCAAACTGACTGCAGCAGGTACCAAACTGACTTCCGGTACACGTCTTGTTACCAGCAAACAGGGGCCCACAGGATCCGTCCGTCGAGATGCCCCCAATGTCCGGGTCGCAGTTCCCGGACGCGCAGTTGCCGGGACCGCAGAAATCCCCGTGGGAGCACCGGGACCGCCCGACATTGTCGTGGGCGTGTCCACTTTGGCGTAGATCTGGGAGTAAAGACATCAAGCACTGTGTTAGTCACCTCTCCTCAGCTTACATCTATAACCGGCGGGGAAAGCTCACGTCAAGATTCCATCCACCACCACATCTCGTTGCCGGATCGCCGTCGCATGCATGATCGCACCCCATGGAGCGGTCGTGTTGCTGTTCAGTCTGGCTCCGCACCAGCACTCGTTGCCGTTCTCGAGGCCAAAGACGCCCAAGCCCTGGCCGGAGCACGTCGACTAGTATTTCTCAACGGTCAAATCGATAAAGGTTTGGTTGCTGTCAGGCAGCGTCTGGTCGTCGGCGTCGGTGTAGCAGCCAAGGTGCGCATGTCCCGAGATCTAGACGTTTGGTGTGGCCTCACGCTTGGCCTTTCTTTTCCTGGCGGTGAGGATAGTAGGTGTCGCAGTGGCATACCCTTCCAGTACTTTGCCGTTAGCAGAACCTACTTCCCACCTCGGGTAAGGTAATGACAGAAGCGAGGTAGAGAGGAAATACTGGACCACTCATCAAAATACAGTGTCTTGGAGGCGGTGATGGCGGGCATGTCCTTTCCACAGGCCGACTGAATGTCTGTCCACTGATCGAGGAGATAGTCGGTGTCTCCGCCCTCGGTCAAGAACGGACTTGCCAGTCGGCCATGGAAGTATTGGGGGAACCAATTGCTGCAAAGCTGTGGCGTGATACATGTCAGAGGCGGGCAAGCAGCGGCGGCCGTGGTGATCAGGGTGAGTATAATCCATACCAGATCCGTCGAATACAATCTGACCATGCTATTCGTACTTGGTGGCACGACGGATAGGTCAAAGTCTGGATCTGCGCACTTGGGCATGTCCAAGCTCGGGCCACCATCTGTGCCAGGTGTGAGTCCCATGGACCTCCGGTATTTCAAGTTCAGGAGACAAGAGCTTGAATTACAGGTGCAGTAGTCATCGGCGTCATACGCAGGCTGTTGTCCTTGCCAGTCTTCTTTCTCGATCCTGTTGTCTGTTAGCAAGGTTTTCGGACGAGTGAGCCCATGAAGGAACCCTTCAGGGGAAATTGAAGCAGCCGTACATGCACCACGAGCCACTGTCAGACTGGAGACAGGCGAGATCATGTCCGTTCTTGTACATGTGAACAAGGTCTCGGCTTTGATCCAGTGGCCGTCCATGATGACGCTCTGGCCCGAGCATTTCTGGACCACGTTTTGCTCCCAGCTGTTGAGGGAATCCGCACAAGCCTGCGGGCATAGTACTGTCAAGTTGTCGTTTGCCCAGGTGTACAGGTAGTAGTGCGTCGCGGAGGTCAGGTGGCCTTGCGGACAAGATATCGATGCGTTTCTGTCCGTGGCCAGAACCCTACCGACAAGAACATCCGGCCAAGGTGGTGGTGGTTAAACTTACAGGGCGTTCAAGCAGGTCGAGTCAACATCCAGAGAGGCACTCATCGAGTCGGGATTCATCCACGGCCACATGACAATGTCCTGCTGGGCCGCCAGAACTCCCGTGGCCAGGGCTGCCATGAGCAGCGGGCAGGATATTGGAAGCATCTTGCCCAGAGTGATAATTGAGGGACGCCGGATGACTGGAAAAGAACAGTCTCCTTTGTCTCTCTCCAGGTGGACAGCTCAGAGACAGTTTAAGGGATTTCTGGGCAGCCGGCAACGGAGGTTCTCATCGCCAGGGTGGAGCAGAGATTGGTCCGCCCGCGGGGGGGGGGGGGGGGGAGGGAGGCCGGGAGAGGGAAAGGGGGTGTTTGTGAAAGTGTCCCATCAAGGAAGCATTCTCTTCAACCACGGCAGTAACTCACCACGCCTGCTGCAACAACAGAGCGCTTTGTTGTGAGCAAATGAGCCTTATGTGAGACCCCATGCAATGTCGAGTGAAGGGTCAGGAGCCATCCATGATGGCATGGGATATCAGCCGCAGTCCCAGGGGAAGCAAAGTAGGTAGGTACCTTAATCATACACGCTAGTATTGAAACTCGGGCTCACCAAACGATTACGGGAAGTTGGAATCTGTCTATTAGTCAATTGAAGGTAGGTTAGGGGGGTAAGACGGATCTCACGGAGGCCGTGGGGTAGGGATTGAGTGGTGTGACTAGTTAGTCACATAAGTCGGACGGCCCGAAAGTCTTGTCAGTCGGGTGCCTGTGAGATTTCAGAATACATGTACATTGACTACAACTGTCTGGATAGAGTGAGATTCGGTGAGATGGCCTTACTCATGCCAAACGGACTATGGGGCATTTTGGCCGTAGACGGAGTCTAGACTAAAACTTGATCAACTTTAGATGGACCAGATGACATTGATACCACCCTCCGAGCCGCCCAAGTGACTAGTTACGCGGTTACCTACCTCGAAGGGAAATCTGACATGCCTTCCGTTCTGGTCTATCGAGCCGAGGACGATGAGGGCTCACCTTCTTTCGGCTGGACGGAACTTTTGGGGTCTTAAAGGGAGAGACGGAATCCCCTGACTCTGACTCTCGCTTCATCATCTCAAATACGACCGTGCTTCTTCAGTGTCAGTACGTTGTCTGACCTGTCCAAGCCGGCACTAGACTCCTTTCCATCAACGATGCTGCCTCTGAAAGTTATGCTGCCCTTCTGGGCAGCGCTAGGGGCCGTTCTAGTTCAGGGGCGAGAGTCTCCGTTTGTGTTCGCCGCGCCAACAACACCACAAACACCAACACCACGCTCCCTGCGGCGGCGCTAACCCTTGCTAAAAATGGCAGCGAGATATACAGGGCCAAGTTCCCTGCGCACGACCCCAAGACGCCCAGATTCAACAATGCGACGCACGCAAGCATCAACCCTCTCTGGAGGGTTGCTCAGGGGCTCAGGGGGAACGCAAGGAATCACCATCCTCATGGGGTGAACGGGCGGCATGTCAGAGCCTGCCAGGGGGCGCGTGCTCCCGGGACGCGGAGCGTGAACGGTGCGTGTTGCAGCAAGGGTCGTTGGTTCCCGCTCAGGGGTGTTGTTGGTGGTTTGACAATGACCGCTAACCCCGAGGCTTAGGAAGGCCGGTGCGGGTTCAGTCCGGACTTCTGTGGCGCTGATGTGTGTATATCGTAAGGCAGCTCATGGCAGCACGGGAGTGATAGGGAATTGTGCTAATGCGATTATCATAGGAACTGTGATGCCAAGGCCGAGTGCGGATTATACGCAGCCCCTGGCAACGAGAAGTGTCCGCTCAATGTCTGGTGCTCTACCTTTGGTTTCTGAGGCACCTCGGAAGAATTCCATCTCCAACTCGGCGGCCCTCGTCCACATTTTCGTATGGGGCCGCCTTGTTTCGACACCAGTGTTGTGAGCACTGAAATGCGATGAGAAACATAGTGATTATCGATATTTATTCAAGCTGTCGCAATGCCAGGTATCTCATCTCTATGGACAAGCAGATCTACGCTCATGCTAACTCGCACATGCCGTTACCATCCTCAACTGCACCGACGCTATAACTTCCCGCTCCGCTTGTCGACCGCCTCCCGCAGCAGCGCAATCACCCCGGCCGGGTCCTTGGCCCCAAACACAGCGCTCCCCGCAACAATCACATTTGCCCCGGCATCCGCCGCCTGGTCGATCGTCCCCGGCCCCAGCCCACCGTCCACCTCGATGTTTAGATCCGGGTACTTCTTCCGCAGCGCCTGCACTTTCGGCAACTCCGACGCCATGAACTTTTGCCCGCCGAACCCTGGCTCGACCGTCATCACCAGCACCATCTGCCCAACCAGAGTATCAGTATCCCACAAAATACAACCAGGAAGGAGATAGGGAGAGCTTTTCTTACATCCGGCCGCTCGGCTTTGTCGTGGCTATCCAGCACCTCGTACAGCACGTCGGCCGGCGTGGCGGGTTTGATGGCGATGCCGGCCAGCATGCCCTGCTCGTGGATGTAGCGAATCATGTCGCGGGGGGAGGTCTTGAGGTCGGATTTGGCGTCGGGACTCTCGGCGGCAGTCGAGTTGATGGCGGCCTCGTAGTGGAAGCAGTACAGGTCGCAGCCGGCCGATTTGAACTCCTTGACCCATTTCTTGGGCTGGGAACAACAACACTTGTTAGCTATGTGGTAGAGGGGCCGAGAGAGCTGGAGAGGGTGGAAGTACCTCGGCGATCATCATGTGGCAGTCAAAGGTGCCCTTGCCGTGGGCTTCGGCTGGCCTGTCGACGTGGGAGCGGATCTTGGCCACCACGGGCGGGCCGAAGGTCAAATTCGGGACGAAGTGGCCGTCCCTAGTAGGGCCATGGTGGTGAGCTATGCGGCGTAGTCAGGGGGAGATAGGTACCTTGGGCAGAAGAACCTACATGATATCGACATGGAGCCAGTCGGCGCCCCGCTCAATAGTCCTCGAGCATTCGGCGCCTAGGTCGGCAAAGTCTGCCGAGAGAATCGACGGGGCAATGATTGCTTTCGGGGCCATTGTTGCTGCTGGCGTTGCTGTCAAGTCCTCGTTGATGAGGTACTTGTATAACTAACTCTAGGTTGAGATTATCAGGCAGCGAGCTCCAAGCTGGGATGAAATCTCGCGGGTCCGGATCTCGGACCCTTGGCGGGGGTGGGGTTACCATGACGTTAAGAAGGCCATTTTCGGCTGCGACTCTGTGAGTGGGCCCACTCTATTGGTATGGGCTTGGCGGTTAGGGATCATCATTCTTGGTGTCCTTACATCACCCCATCAACAAATGGAATGTTGAGTTTGTCCATGAAGGTCGACTTCACCAAGTGCGTCTTGGCCGACTTTTCTGCATCTAAAGCAGCATTTGTCTCGTAAATTGCTGCAATGTTTGAGAAGTGAAGGACAGAAAACAGAAACAGCAGTGAAAATGGCTTCACTCCTCTCATTCGTGCCGCTGGTCAACCGACTGGTGACCCCCCGCGAAGAGCCCAGGGCGATCGACATACCGCCCGTCGAGGTGCAAAGTGTCGAGGCCAACCCAGACAAGAGACCGCGTACGCTCAAGCATCTACTTAGAGCAAACCACGTCAACCACTCCATCATCTATCACAATCTGCAGTTCGACAACCACATGCCGCATATCCTGTGCTCTGCCTACCATCTCGGCGCCGAGTCACACCAGCTCTACCGCATCTACGACGAGGAGGCCAAGAGCCTCGAGCCATGGAAAGAGTCGCCATCCGAGATTGCCGAGGATGATTGGCGGGACTTTTTGGGCGACAAGAGGTACCAGCGGGCCTATGTAGATTTCTTTGAAGATGCCCTGGCCATGAAGCATGCGTACAACTGGAAGAAGGTGATCGATGAGTACATGTTTAAAGGGGATGAACCCCTGATCAATGGTCTCATAGGCGGCCGTACGTTACGAACCTCTTTCCTTGGTCTCTTTACACTCATGGCCAATTCGACTGACTTGCGCCTAGTTGGCCACCCCCTGATCCACCTTGGCTATGCCTACGAATTCGACAGCCGCGAGATCGCCATGGAGGCCCTCGGACTAGCCGCTACGCAGTACAATTTTCTGCACAAGTACCTTGACAACCCATCTTACACCCGCCAGTCCTCCTTCTCCTCCGCTTCTTTCCTAGAACTCATCAACAAGCTCGCCTCAGATGACCGATTTGACGGCCTCTTCAAAGAGCCCGGCTTCGCCAACATCGAGCCCCTCTTCCAAAAGCACGAATCGCTCGTCCTCGAGTATTGGAACGCCTGGGACTTGCCTTCGTCCGAAAATCCCGCCAAACTGTTCCGGGAGTCACAGGAAGCTGCGGTGGCGTTGCTCGTTGCGACGGTTCGCCCCGGAACGCACGCCTACAATTTCTTTATCGTTCACGTCCTGACAACGAGCCACGCGGTGCGGATCTTGCTGCCGCTGCTGCCCGCCAAATTTCACATCAGCTTGGTCCGGCAGTGGTGGCTGCTTGCGCTGGCCGTGTACATCGCTGAGCTGAGGCCCAAAATCGATCCAGATTATGTGCCCGGAGATTTGAAGGGAAAGGGGTGGAGGCATGTCGAGCATCAGGCGCTCAACTCTGAATGGGCCACGGATGCGCATTATGTCAAGGGTGAGTCTGGAACTCGAAATGTTGAGGGCGTTTCTGCTGACTCGAGGCAGCCATTCGGGCCATGAGGGAGGCGGCGAGGACCTGGGGAGATGTTCATAACAGGTATCTTGCTGCTGCGGTGAGGTTTGCGGATGACTTTGAGGGATGGGTGCATTGAAGGCGACGACCCGGGCTTGGGAACGGGACAAAAATGGGACTAACCAAGGATGTAACTGAGCAAGCTTCCTCATAGGTGGCCAGAATGAGAAGACGATATGCCAGGAGGACTGTTGATATCGCCGAAGATGCGGACAGGGTTAGGGTTAAACCTAAGCCCCTTGATGTTCAGCAGCTGAATCTGTCGAAGCATTTGAAACTCCAGCTCCCCACCTGTTGCCAGGCATTGGTCTGCATTGCCCTGCCATTCACATCAGATTCGATCAACGGGAACACCACACTCCCAACAGCCATTGAACACATTAATGCCTGAAAGCTGCATTTGTGCAATGTGACAAATGACTCATCTTCGTCTGAATCGCCAGAAACCTCCACAATGGTGCCGCCTGCAAAGCGACGCAAGCGCGCCATCGTCGACGATGATTCAGACGACGACCAAGAGGACAAAAACAAAAACACCCTGAGGCGCTTCCTCGTCCCCTCTCCCAATAAGAGCCAGGCAAACAAGTCTCCGACCAAACTCTTTACCACCGCTACCTCAAGCAGTCACAATGCACCCACCGCAGACTCACCGAACCCAAGTCCGATCCGCAAGACAACCACCCGCGCGGCCACCGCATGCTCCTTATCCTCCAACCCCCCGACGCCGACAACGCGCAGCCCCAGCACAAGCCCGCTAAAATCCCGCACAAGGGCAGGCACCCAACGGAAACGCAAGGCAGCAGAGACAGCAGAACAAGAAAAGAAGCCCAAATCCGCCGACCTCCTGACCCTCTTCTCGAAGCAGGCCCAGCGAAGTCAAAGCCAGTCCTCCTCTTCCCTCTCCCTCTCCCTCTCGTCCAACAATACCAATCTCAGTACCAGCAATCTCGGGTCCTCGTCTTTCAGTAACGGGAGCGGCAAGAGCGGTTTTCACCTGAGCAGTAACAGGCTGGTTGACATCGCCAGTGACCCGATTTCAGAGAATGGAGGGGACAAAGTGGAGGATGACGACGACGACGTCCCGCTGATGGTGTCGTCCGCCGCGGCGGCGTCGAGTCTTGTCGGCAGGGCGCAGGCTGCGCACCGGAGGTTCGCGGGGAAGGGGAATGGCAGTGCGGTCGTGGGTAGTCAGCAGCGAGGGGGTATTGGAACAGCAGCAACACAATCGACGGCGGGTGGGCGAGGGGCCGCAGGAGGTGGCGGGCAGAGATTCATTCTCCGCGCCGGTGCAATCAAGACAACAACAACAGCGGCGGCAGACAACGGGGACGGAGCGCGGCCGTGGTCGGAGCGGTTTGCGCCGACCAGCCTGGACGAGCTGGCCGTGCACAAGCGCAAGGTGCAGGACGTGCGGCGGTGGCTGGACGAGGTGTTTGCCGGCCGCATGCGGCAGCGGCTTCTGGTGCTCAAAGGTCCTGCCGGGTCGGGCAAGACGACGACGCTGCGGCTGCTGGCGCGGGAGGTGCGGTGCGACGTGCTCGAGTGGAGGAACCCGGCAAGTTCGTTTGGCGTCACTGGCCATGGGTACCAGTCCGCTGCTGCGCAATTTGAGGAGTTCCTCGGGCGGGGAGGCAAGTTTGGGCAGCTGGATGTTGAGTCTGACGGGGCGACGCCGCCGCCTATGGGGCCGCCTCCGCCTCCAAGCGGGAAGCCTCAAGGGGCGGAGCGGAGGCTGATACTGGTGGAGGAGTTTCCGAACACGTTTATGCGATCATCGGCTGGGTTGGTTGCGTTCAGGAACGCCATATTGCAGTTTCTTGCCGCCAACACGCCCACGTTGGCTGGGCTTGGATTCGGCCACAACTCAGAGCCCGTCACACCGATCGTCATGGTCATCTCGGAGACGCTGCTTACAACAACCTCGGCTTCAGCGGACAGCTTCACGGCTCATCGGCTGCTTGGTCCGGAAATCCTGAAGCACCCAGGCACTGGTGTCATTGAGTTCAATCCCGTTGCGCCTACGTTCCTAACGAAAGCGTTAGAGCTCGTGGTGCAGAAGGAAGCCCGCAAATCAGGGAGGCGACGGACGCCTGGGCCTCTTGTGCTTCAGCGGCTAGGGGAGATAGGCGACATTCGGAACGCCATTTCGTCTCTCGAATTCCTCTGTGTGAAGGGGGATAGCGAGGCGGACTGGGGCTCCAAGGTCGCATTCACGAAACCAAAACGAGGGTCCAAGGACATACCGGCGCTTACCAAGGGCGAACAAGACAGCCTCGAGCTAATCTCCCAACGGGAGGCGACCCTCGGGATTTTCCACGCCGTCGGCAAGGTCGTCTACAATAAAAGGGGTGACTACCCCGCCGGCTCGCCCGAAGCGGCAGCGGAGGTCCTCCCGGACTACATGTCGCACCTCGCCCGGCCGAAACGGTCAGAGGTTGCGGTCGATGCGCTCATCGACGAAATCGGCACCGACACGCACACCTTCATCTCGGCGCTTCACGAAAATTATGCCCTCTCTTGCGAACAGAGCAGCCCACTCGACCACAACTCGTCTCTCGACTACATCAATGGCTGTCTCGACTACCTGTCGGGAAGCGATCTCCTGTACCCCTCTTGGGATATCTTCTTCGGCGGCAGGGGTTTTGGTGGCGGTGGTGGCGGAGGTGGATACAGCGGCAAGGACTCGGGCAGCCACATCCTGCGGCAGGACGAGATGGCATTCCAGGTAGCCGTGCGCGGCCTGCTGTTCTCGCTGCCGTCGCCTGTCAAGCGGCAGACGCACCCCACCGGCCGGGGCGGGGACGCGTACAAGATGTTTTACCCGACGTACCTGAAGCTGTGGCGGTCCAAGGAGGAGCTGGAGGAGCTGGTCGATATGTGGGCGAACAAGATGTTGAAGGGAGAGGATGGCGGGCCCGGGCCGCCGCCGCAGCCGCTGGGGTATGTGAACGATGGATCGTCCGCGTTTCGCAAGACGAATGGAAGTAAGAGTGGGCTTGCTGGCAACCAGGTTGCAAGGCAGGTCAAAAAGCTTGATGAACAGGATCATTCGCATCCCCAACCTCTTCTCTCGCTCGGAAACGCGGCGCGCCAGGAATTGCTCCTCGAACGGCTGCCGTACATGGCTCAGATAGCCCGACGCAAGCGGTGCACTTTTGGAACGATGAGGATTAGGGATCTCGACAAGGTCGTTTCCTTCCAGGGCATCGGCTCGCTGGGGGCGGGTGAAGATGAGGGCGAGGACGGTCCAGACGAGGAAAGCGGGGGCGTCGCCGGAGCCGCGGAGTCCTGGGCCACCGACAAGCCTACCGAGGAGGGTTCGCCACGAAAGAGGAGGGGTCTGGGTGCGATACTGAGTGGCCGAGCGGGGAGAGGCAAGAATGAAATGGAGGAGGCGCCAAGTCTTCCGATGCAGAGTCTAGTGATTAGCGATGATGATATCGAGGATGATTAGATGTGAACCATAGATGCTGATGGCTTAGCTTGGTAGAAAAATTTCGCTCTGGAAATTCAGCGGTGGGTCTGGCGTTAGGTTGTATCGTGGGATTAGGCAGGACACAATATTTGCAAGCTTTTGTGCGCAAATCGCTCTTGTATTGAATCAACCTCGTTGTTTCGTCCTGATGAAGCCAATGCTGCTTCTGCTGCCGACCTCCTTTCGGAATGAGAACGTGGTTGAAGGCACCAGCAAAATGGGCACCGTGATGGCTGGCGTGGCTATCGTCGGCTTTCCAAGGAGATAACGATAACGATAGCGACTGGTAGCCTGATGTGGTGTTGACCATTTATATAGTTAAGTGGTAGGACTTCGGATTCGGAGTAGGCCCGCTCAGACCGAACTCATTTCCTGCCTTTTACCGGATGTGACCGTGAGTTGGCCTAAAATACTCCATTCACCAATCTTTGGAAACAACTTCTGGAAGTCCCAGATTCGATTCTCATTTTTGTCGTTTATTTTTTCCTTGCCCGTACATGGCTAACAACAGCTCAATAGTAACCATCTCTTCTAGTCAGGTTTGTCCGGCCAAGTCCACAAATGATGAACGCGTTTTTCTGTTGAAAGAGCTGCATCTGCACATCACGAAGGTCATGGTTCTGTCTTAGCATGCATTTGACTTCCATTCCAGTCGCGAAGATGGATGCACAAGCAGGAAGCTTGCTGTTTGGGCGGTTGCCGCCAGAAGTGAGACCACATATACACCACTACCTTCAATTCAACACGATTTACGTTCGACCAGAGGATGCACAAGCTGTTCAAAGGTTCCCAGCTTAGGCCGGCCGCCCATGACCTCGCTCTACTCAGTACTTGCCGTCGAGCCAAGATCGAGATTGGCGAAACATGGCTGCGTCACGTTCTCTTTTCAAGGATCCTCAGACAATGCTCGACAAGCTTACCGCACAGCCCATCGAGACCCTGTCCAAGATCCGCCACTTGACCGTCGGCCATCCTCTGGTGTAACTCACATAAACACTCTGTCGTCTCCTATCCCCTTGTTGCCGCTTTGAAGCTCCTTCCAGGCCTGCAGCTGGACCAGCTCATAGTTTTCAGCGGTCACGCAACAACGTTCAAATTCTCTTAGTGCCAGCGCCGGCATGGCCAGCTACTCAGCACTCGGAGGTCTCATTAAACACGGCAACGTATGGAAAACGCTGCGGTACATCTCGCACCACTCAGTATTGCTTGGGTATCCATCGGCAACACGGTCACCACGACGGTCACCTCCCCTACTGGATGGGCCATTGGGAGGCACAATCCTGGAGGAAGCTTCAGCCAAACCACTGGCGATCGGTCCTGGAAGCGCGCGACGGGGCGGGCTGAGAGCCTTCCGTCACAAATCTACCGCGCCAAGCAGCCCGGCTGCTATGGTTCGGCCCTCGACCCAAGCAGAATGGTGGAATCCGGACAGAGCTGCGCGATAACTTGGGAGTCACAGCCGCACATCTTCCCCGCAGATGCCGAGTTGATGGTTGGAGACGAACGGAAGAAAGAAATTCTGGTCATTGTGAAGAGGGGCGATGGCATCGACTGTGAGGAAAAGGAGCCGCTCATAGAGTCTGATTAAAGGCGCGACTTCCCAGGGATGACATAGGCGCAGATTCACGCTCTCAGCGATGTGTGGGATCGTGAAGACGACCCTAACTCTGGGTCCAATCACTTGGGATTTCCAAATGTCCACGATGTCTCTAGGGACGTTGACGAGTATCACTGGTCATGGTTGAACTGAAAAGTAGGAGACGGGGTGAAGGGGGCGGGCTACGCCTTACCAACAATGCAGCCCTGCGATCAGTCTGGTTCTAATAAGAGATTCGTTGCAGGGTTTCTTGTCGAAACCAAATTGGCCGGAAGGTGCACCTTGCCCTTGAAATGCATGCAGAGCAACTGAAATTAAAGCGTACGTATTGTACAAAACGGATACTGGACACTGCTATGAGGGGTCGAGTGGGACTTTGGCACCTTAAACGAGTTGTTACGTCAGCACAGACCATCACTCCTGGGCTTGGCGCCTACCTTACCGAATGCGTACTCACATCCTCTACCAAGTTTCCGCCCGGATCCATGCTACCTCGGCTCGAGAGTTCCATGCCCCTCGAGGCGCCTGCCGGGCCTCGGTCTCGGACTGGACGAAACATGGACCGCACACCCGTCGTTCGGCAAGACGTGTTTTGGTGCTGTCACTCGACGTCGAGACAGCATCTTTCATTGGCCGTCGCGGGTGGAACGGCGGGCTAACCAGAGTGAATCAAGTAGCGGTGGCGGGGATCCGATCATCCTGGGGCATCGGTCGGCTGCAGCTGGGGGAGGTTGGCACACGACAGCACATCAACAACACATCAACACCCACCATCACGCCTCCAGCCTGACCCGTCATTCTCCCCGCAGTCCCCTCAAACGCCATGGCCGGACGGGTGCGCCAGCCCATCGACATCGGGGCTCTGGAGAAATGGATTTCCAGGAATGTGCCCCAGATTGAAGCGCCGTTGGACGTCAAGCAGGTAAGGACCAACAATCACCATACCAATTCACCTCGGGCATCGTATCAACTAACTCCCTTCTGCAGTTTGGCTTCGGCCAGTCCAATCCGACCTACCAACTGACAGCCTCCGACGGCAGGCGCTACGTCCTCCGCAAGAAGCCGCCAGGACGCCTCGTTTCCAAGACAGCCCACAAAGTCGAGCGCGAGTACCGCATCATCCACGCTCTGTCCAAGACCGACGTACCCGTGCCCAAGGCCTACTGCCTGTGCGAGGATTCGTCCGTGATAGGGACACCCTTCTACATCATGGAGTTTCTGGACGGCCGCATCTTTGAGGACCCCGTCATCCCCAACGTGCTGCCCGACCACCGCCGCGCCATCTGGGCCGACGCCGTGCGCACCCTGGCCAAGCTGCACCGCATCGACCCGCGCTCCGTCGGTCTCGAGAACTTTGGCAAATCCACGGGCTTCTATAGCCGTCAAGTCGCCACCTGGCGCGGCGTGTGCGATGCCCAGGCCGCCGTTCGCGACGTCGAGACTGGCGAGGCCGTCGGGCCGCTGCCATACTTTGACGAGCTCATGACCTTCTTTGCCGACGAGAGCCAGCAGCCTGCCGATCGCGGCGCCCTCATCCACGGCGACTTCAAGATCGACAACCTCGTCTTCCACAAGACGGAGCCCCGCGTGATTGGCATCTTGGAGTACGCCCTCCCCCCCTTCCTCATCCTCCTAACTCCTACCCAGGACTAACAACGTGTGTCCAACCCGCAGTTGGGAGATGTCCACAATAGGCCACCCTCTCTCGGACATCTCGAACTTACTCACCCCGTACTTCACCGCAGGCCTCGACCCGCGCCGCTCCGTCAACGTCCACCCCGGCTTTCTTCCACGCGCCACGCGCGGCCTGCCCACTCCCGACGAAATCACGACGCTCTACTTTTCCGTCGCCTCTTCCGCGTCGCCGAGTAGTTCCTCCCTGGAGCTGACCCTCAACAACCCAGGGGGCCGCCTGGATAGCGTCGACTCCGGGGATGCGAAGCGCGAGCTGCAGTGGGCGCAGGCGTTCAATATCTTCCGGCTGGCGGCCATCTGTCAGGGTATTGCGGCACGGCAGGCCGGGAGGCAGGCGAGCAGCGAGCAGGCGAGGCGGTACGGCGATGCGAGGGGGCCGTTGGCTGAGTTTGCTTGGGAGTTGGTGCAGAGCGCCAGGTCGGGCGGAGGAGGTGGTGGTGGTGGGAATACTGGGCAGGGCGGAAGGGGAAAGGGGACGGGGGCGAGGCTGTGAGCCTTGGTCTTGGGTTTGACTGAGTCTTTTATCCTGGTTGGTCACGGTAGAGGGCGCCGCGGTGGTCATCAAGCAAGCAACCAAGAGAGTATATTGGCATTGAATCCTGGACATGGCTGATTTGACATTGCATTGCATACCCTACCACCTCAATCCCACGTCACGATGGGAGCATCCAGAATCGAACCTTGTGTTTACTCCCGCCCTTCTCGAACAATTTGCATCTCCCCTTGCCCGTGGCTTTCCATCTTGCCCTCCATTATCCCTTCCACCTCCCCGAATACCTCACTCAATAGACTCGTGACATGATTAGCAAGCAACCCATATCACCCAAGTGAGCATAACGTTTAGTTGACAATGGATGGATGAACAGAAGGCAATCTCCCGGGTCAGCAGACGGAGAGACGAAGAAGGCAGTTCGAAGAAGAATAAATCGATCGCTGCTCTTTTCCGCTTGATCCCATAAAGTAGGCAGGTAAAGTAGAGATGTCCAGACCAGACCAGGCCGGCAGTAATTACATCAAAGTCCCAATTCCCATTCCCCCGTAATTTTCGGGCCTCAGTCTACGTCCTCCTCCCGTGTACTTCAAATTCGCTGTCGTCGAACCTCGGGCAAAGCTCCCCTCTCCTCACCAACCCAGCCAACACATTTTCCGCAGCGTGGCATGAGTCGATAGAAGGAGGAATAACCAGGCCGACTGCCCACCTTCCACCCGACCTTCACCCAAAGTTCTGATGTAAATCATCCGCAAGGCCGAAAGAGAGCTGAGTGATCAAGGCGACGCGAAGCAAACCATATCGTCGACGGGTGACAGCCGAAACGAGAAGAGAAAGAGGGGCATCCACCACCAGCGACCGGTCCATCCTGATTCTCCCATCCCCGCTCCGATCGCAAAAAGCGGAGAGGAGAAACTAGGAAAAACACACCATCACCTTCTCTGCTCTGCCATGGCATACCGAAATGAACCCTTCAGCCCCTTATCCCATCCCCCAGTAAAAGAGAAAAAAGAGTAAACGCCGTTTCCCGTGTGTCAAACGCCGACTCCGCTCCGCTGCTCGTGCCATCCCAGTTCCCATCCCATGAGTGCCATTCTTGCCGTGGTCAAACTCCCACCCATCATGTCTGTCGAATCCCCCTCCCCAAAACCGTGAAAATATGAATCCGAATCGAAAAACAGACGGTCTATAGGGCATTGTGCTGGCAAATCCATTCGCGGTCCATGAAGTGATGAAAATGACAGAGGAAAGAAGCGGACAGTAGAGAAGGCCATGCCCAATTTATTATCCGGCGCTCTGGCTTCGCTAAGCCACCTATGCTGGTGTCCCTTTCCCAGACAGGGGGAAAGAGAGAGTGTATA